ATTCTGATGGTCAGCTGCCATTTGACACCAAAAAAGACCGAGTTGTTCCTAGGGAGATAAGGCACAGATTGAAAAGAGAGTGTGCTTAGTCATAATAGGAAATTAAGCCCAGTCCAGGAGGTTCCCACCTTGTCTCAAGCAATTCACTTTCCTGGCCAGGACAGATTTACACTTACTGCACAGGCTTTGTTAGACAGGCAAATTAACACAAAGTCGTTCGGCGTTGTGAAAGGGGCTGTAAAAGCTTCACCAGGAGACTATGTCCACAAATATTTTTGTGAAGCAATTGCACATACTTGGTTAGAAGAACCTGACTCTGCATTAACAAATTTGAGTGGAGTACTTCCCCCTATGCATATGCTTAGAAACGGAAGTATATCATAAAGGTAGAACAAAGGCAGCTTCTCTATATATATTTTTTAAAATAAAGCCAAGACATTCAAGGCTAGATCTTCCAAAAAAAAAAAAAAAAACCAAACCCACAACCAGCCAACCAAAAAACCCCTTGAATTCTAGGACTGCAGGTGAATTGTCAGATTTGTGGTACACACCTGCACGCTCACCAAGGAGAGCTGAGCACACATCAGTCCCTTCAGTGAGTGACCCTGGAACCTGCAATCCCTGAGGGCGGGTTTCTGACCACAACATCTCTCCAACAGCAAGTCCATCAGGAACAGCATCACAGCTTTTGTACGCCAGGGACCTAAGACTTAGAACTTCTCATACAAACAGAAACCTACAGTTATTCTTCTGAAACGCTGCTGGACCTTATTTTCCATTAAAGCATGACTTTTAAGTGAAGTGGTGGAGCCTAAGCCTTCACTTTACTTTTTCACTCTTTCAGGACAAGGAAATTCAAGCAGTGAAATACCTAGGTGTATGCAAAAAGAAGAAGTTGCAGATGCAGCCAGTATTATCCAGCATTTAAGATCACCATGAAACAACACTAATTTACTACAACAAATGTGTCACTTGTCTGATTTAAATTCCCAACTACAAAACACAAAGTCTCTGGCCCAGACACTAGGTTTGGAGTTGCCTGGATTCCCCAAGATAATTCTAACATTAAGAGTGTAATTTTCCTTCACTATCTATATTTGTATCTATTCATCAAAACAAAGAAAAATTACGTATCTGAAACAATGACTGAGTCATTTTTTTCATTCCAAGAATATCAGAAGAACAACAGCTTATTAGATCTTTGCTAATTTTACACTTGGGAAGAAGTATAAAATCTGGGAAAAAAAATTGCTATGGACTTACTAAAAAAGCACAACAAAAATATGAACACTATCACTTCTAGCCATCTTCTGGTCTTGGTGACAGTAACAAATGTTAATGCTTTCCCCATATGACAGTCTTTATTATCATCTGTCCTCAGTGCTTCCTGTTACAAACAGGAATTCCAGTGAACATATGCTACTTTAAACATTAGATTATATTGATATTAATAAAAGTAATCTGCAACACTGACCTTTCTACTCCTATCAGGCTTATTCCCATTTAACACTGAGCAATGAATAATTTTTTTTCAATCCAAAACAAAACGTGTATGTCTTTGACAGTTTCAGACACAGATTCTCCCAAAACAGAGAATAACTAATTTCCTATTACCTACCCAAGTTGCTGCTGTCATTGCCTTTTGTAAAATCCCCAATAATGCGAAATTCTGAAGTGCTGGAAATGGTAGCTAGGGCATCCCTGTGATGAGAAAGTACTGAAACTTACTTTTCTGTAAGGACCTTTACTGTGCATCAGCGTAAGTGCAGGTGTGAGGTGCTTAACAATAAACTCGGGCTCCCATTTGGCGTGCAGTAGTGGAAACCTGATAGAGCATCCTGAAAATTCACCCTGCGGTCTCAGTCCTCACAGTCCTGGTATGGTACCTTCTTCTGTAAATATGAACAGTGACGAGCATGAAATACACACTATGAAAACACACCAAACTGTGACACACTGTTTTTGACCCATGCTGAAACTCTAAAAAGGCATCCCACATTCCATAGAAATACTCATGAAGAATATTCACTCCCTTTTGGCTATAACACCTACCTTGCTCAGTCAAAGTGCACTCTTAACTAAACTGAACTACACGTAACCAAGTGTAATCTGAACTATTAAACTGCCAAAGGCTGAAATATCAGAAAACAGTAACAAGTGCCGACAAATTCAAAGCCTCCCATCTTAGACAAAAACCTTTCACTTGTCTATCTACAGGTAAACTGGACATCTTACTTAAAAATAAGCACTTAAAATATCCAATGGATTACTCTCAGCTAAGAGCATGGATAGGAGTTACTGTTCATGATTCAAACATTCCCTTTAGGTAACAATAATTTGAAATGTTATATATTTAAACTACCTATCTGAAGAAAAAATAAAATAAAATGGACTGACCAAAAAGTAGTTTGATGCGAAAAACAAAGTGAAAGATTGCTTAGCTCACTTTCTAAAACCAATTGCTGTTGCAACTTAACAAAAAATCTTGAGCTAAACAACTAATAATCCAGTTTGGATAATTCTGCTATCTTTAACTGAGATGTACATAGCTTTTAGGAATATTAGTTTATCAGAATTTATTCTCCTTTCTGCTGAAATGAGAAAAGTAACACCTATTCTCATTTCACATGCCCATTTCACATGACCATTTTCATCAGGAGTAGAAAGTTCAATAATATTGTGGAAGATTTTACCACAGGAGAATGAAAATACATGGCAAAAAGTTCAGAACCTCCACCTCCTTAGGCATCATCTTCCATTAGCAGGTATACTGTTCTCAAGTGTTTGAAACGGATCCATCTAACCTGACAGTGCTAGCATCTCCCAGGTATCAGTGGAACAACTTCACCAAGCTAACACATAACCCTGCACCAGTGGGTATGAACTAAAATGCATTACAACCAAGATGCACACAGCTGTTAAGGAAGATGCATAAACTCCAATTCAGAAAGAAACATAAACAACTTGTATATACACTGCAGGTTTTAAATATGCTAATGACAACAGTGTTCATGGTTTTAATAGCATTTGTAAAGAAAGTGAAAATTTTTACCTATTCTTAGTAGTTTCAAGTGGTGCCAAAGACAGAACTGCTCCTTGCATGTAAGTATTTTAGATGCTTCAAAGCTTTTATTTTTTAAAAGCAAGAAAAAGGTGAGTGTGGAAAACCGCTACCAGCCTCTTTCCAATGTCACTCTCACTTTGAGATAAGGCATTCTTTGCAAAACACTACTAAAAGTACTAAGTTCCTCAACACTACTTGCAAGTCTCAGTCAGCAAAACAAAACATCTTTTTGCCACTGAAGAACAAAGACAACAACTTTTTTATTCTTCAAGGTTTTTCTTTAGGCACATCCATGTCTAGGTCTACAGAATACACAGCTTCTTTTTTTTCTTTTAAAAAGAGGCTGGATAGGGTGAAGGGAAGGAATCCTCAACAGCTACTAAATTCCACCCATTCTCCCATCCAAGAACTAACACTACCATTGCTTCCACAAAGCTAACCCAGAAATAAAATCCAGCAGAGGAACTAATAGGAAAGCAGCTGTGCCGATGATACGTGTTCACTGCAAGAAATGAAACGTGTGCATTCCCAGGAGCCAGCTGTCCTCTGTCCAGACCCATGCTTACAAAAAGTGATGGTCTCTTTCATTAATACCACTCTAAGACTACTAGCGTTGAAGAGGTGAGTTAAGCAGAGTCAGAAGAAAGGCCTGGGTATCTGAACAGACAATGGGCTAGAGCCCTTAAGATACCAGGCCCTTCAACTCCAACACTGTCAAGTCCCACAGTTAACTGGTCACATGGAGAAAACGTAACCCAAAATGGAACTTGGTAGAAGTGGAGCGCAGTATCTAGCACTTGACAGGACTAACCCCTGGGATGTGAAAGTTGCGTTGGATACCAAATGATAAAGAGAACCAACATGCTAAGCCTGCAAAATTTATTACATCTCATGGCCCAGTGCATGGCAGCCACTACACGGTGGTCACGCAGCAGCTTTCCCTGTGTGGGGATCAAGGCAGATCCTGTGCTCTGAAGCAGCAGCGTGGGGCATGGCTAAAAGCACACGCCCCGCTGTTTCGACCCCTCATGGCAAGCCCCATGCCTGAGGAACACTTTTTTTCACAGACTGCACAATGATTAATGCTGACTATTCCAGAAGCAAGGCGGCTTCATATTAATTCCTACATAGAATCATAGAATCATCTGGTTTGAAAGAACCTTTAAGATCACCGAGTCAAACCACTAACCTAACACTACCGAGCCCACCACTACATCATGTCCCTAAGCACCATGGAGAAAGTCATGACAGAGTGCTGTGCTGCCGTTTTTTGAGGTGTTGAAATAAAATAGTCTTGTTTTGCTTTAGAAATAGTTTTCCCATGTACAAACATCTGAAAATTACAGTGCCTACAGAAATACAAAACCATATATAACTTTTCTGGGAGGAAAAAAATAACAAAATACCCTCAAAAGACAGTATAACGATATTACCATTTAATTAAAGAAGCCAAATCCATGAATTCCACATTAGGAATATAACTGACTGAAACAGTGGCTTACTAGTCATCTGTCCTGTGGGGTCAAGCATGCTTGCACAGAAACACCCACTTAGGTAAAAATTTGTTCATAGGTGAGACAGACACCAAAAATGACTTTTTGCAGAGTCCTGCTCTGATGCAGAAGCCACCTAGCCCATCCATGACATCATTACTGCTATTCCTAATATTATTTCTTCTTACTTAGAAATGGGATTTGCGTTGCCATTGCTTTTGAAATCTACAAAAAACGTTTTTTTCCCTCTGCTTGTCATAGTTTTGGTAACTAGCCTCATAGACTTGTGAAGAGTTTGCAAGAAAAGATAAAATCTTAAAATCCAAATAAAGCAATCTTTAGCAAATGCTGTAAGGTTCATATAAAGCATAATGTAGGGTTTTTTAAAATTAACTGAAATTGTTTCGAATTAATCTTTCACAACAGAATGAACAGGCGTGACATTGTAAAGGAACCAGAAACACATCTGCAATTTTATTTCTTGATCATGACAGTTTGGAATTTATTCACTTAAATCCTCTGTTTAGACACAACAGCAGTAACAAAATATCTGTACACTACTTCTGTTACAAATATAGATACTATTTAAAGTGACTTTACATACTCTAATGTAGGCATTTCTCGCTCTAACCAAGGCATAAGTATAGAAGAGCAATTAGATAACAACAGCATCCAGAAACAATACCATCTGTTTTCTTTCATCTTACCATATCACAGTGTAACTTCTAGAATTGTTAAAGAGACAAAACAGTGCGGTTTTTCAGTTAGTTCACTTAGACATACCTATCACCTGTTAATACTATTTCACAGACATTCCTAATACTGTTTTTTGTCTGACTACAACAAATGCTAGTCTTTTTTATCTTCCCCTGATAACAGCCTTACCATTGCCTGCACTTCCAGTTCAGACTTCTCTTAAATGAAAACTGACATGGTGGCCTTTTCTTACCATTTTTTTGCTAATTAACACAAAGGGTCTTGCTGCTAGTTAGCATGCTAATTAGCTAGGTATCTTTCTCCCTCAAAAGACTTGGTAAAATTCCTCTGCTGAAAGGTAAACCACGGGCAAAGTGTGCTTTATCTGCCCGATTCCTAAGAGCCAGTTTGAAGGAGCAGAGGCAAAGGCAGACTACAATCTGCTAAGGGTTTCAGTGAGTGCGGTTTTTGGACAGTTTTAGTGAGTATCCCAGCTTAGGAGACTGAGTACTTTAATAAACTGATCAGCCACACTGCTGCCTAAAGAACAGCTCCGTGGTTGCATTGTATTTACTAGACACTGTCTTGTATTTGTGCGTCTAAAATTAATAATCCCCAAACAATATTTTCAGCCCTTAAATCTCCTCTTCTGCCTAATGCAGATTCAGAAAGACCTGCACTGCTGTCTTTAACTACTCACCTCCACTGGGAAGGATTTTCAGCGCTTTACTACTGGGTTTAGACCTCCTCAGTCCAAGGAGGACTCCACCTCAGCTGCTACTGATAATGACAGCAACACCATAATATCCATTTTTTCCACCTTGGCTTATCCACAAATCTCTGGCTGCAGGTAGGTAAACCTGCCCTGAGTGGTTTGTTCTTGGCTCTGATTCAAGCAGCTTGCAGAAACCTCTGCACTGAGCCTGTAGTTAATCTTGCACACTGGAAGAGGACAACCTTCACTTATGAACATTTCATAGTCGGAAAGTTGTTTTCACACCCATAAATACTAGAAAACACTACTACTATAAAGGAAAGTCTAGTTCTCTTATACCGCAGTGGCTGGGCATTCTCATTCACCAGTAGTTTCCACTAGCAAATGGATTTTTCAGCCCTGAGAACAAGTCCTCTCCTTCCAAAACAAAAACATACACAAACCTGTCTGAAAAAAAAATACACCCCAAACCCTCAAACCTAGGCCAAACTGAAACACAGTTGTCTTTTTTTTTTGATACACCGTGATTTAAACACCCCAACAGACAAGCAAAATAACCCACCCAAGTCACCTACCCTGCTCCTTCTACTTGGGAATGGTGAAATAATGCAAAAAACCATCTAAGACCATTAATCATCTGCCTCCAGATTCCATACTTTTCCCAAAATTCCCTATTTTGTTAACACTTTCTTTCTTCAATAACCTGATTTCTGTTTTCTACTGCTGCCCATGCTACCCCCTCGTTGACTTGGTGACTTTATAATTTTTCCAACATATTTCAAATATCCAAAACCTCTTAGCAAAACATCCCAGTTTTGTTGTGTAGTTATTAATGCAAACATGCCTTTTTTTTTCTTTTTTAGTAGCTTACAAGCATTCATTATAATACTAATATGAAAAATATCCCCGTCTTTCCACAGTTGACATGACTCCATCCCAGTGGTTTGACAGTAAAAGAAATACTTCTAGTGTATACAAAAATATGGTTAAATGTTATTTTTCCGCAGTGTTGTAACACAGTCCAGTGAAGCTGGAAAAGCAATAAGGCTATATAAACATTTCCATTCTCTTTTCTATCCGGAATGCAAATAATATAGTCTTAAGCATCCTACCCCTTTTGAGCAGACAGTTCATGACAAAACAGTCAAGGTGACTGTTCCTTTTGTCCTTTTCAGAATAGCAACCGCTTCCTCATGGGTCACCCCTTCTAAACTCTGCCCATTCACAGCAATGATTTGATCCCCTCTCTTCAGGCGTCCATCTTCTGCTGCTGCACCCTGAAACAATACAACATGTAACTGCAGACTCAGGCATGTCTTTTTCTCCCTGCCACACTGTCCTTATGGTCTGAATAAAATGGACTCAATGCACAAAACCCCCTTAGTTTTTTTTTATTTTCAATGGCTCAAATACAGTCAATAGTAGTACAGCCTGCTAGTGCTGCATTATGCCCAGCACTGTCTAAGTTTCACAACATCCAGAAATCAAATCTACAGGATTTTTAGATTCCCTTAACCCTGTTTGTCTAGCTATTGTAACACCTAAACTCCACTGTCATAGAAGTAAAATTTTCAAGACCTGAGGATGTTTTCAGCAGCTGGCATAAGAAGATCAGTAATCAATACCCAGCTCTGTACTCTGATTTGTTTGGTAGTCTTAATTCCTGTTTTCTCTGACTCAAGGCTGTTTCCTAGGGCAGTCCAAACTATCTAATCCAGGTCAGTACCTGAACCTCTCCAAAGGTCCAGACTGAGTTCAATTATTTTACCTTGGTCTACATTCCAGACTGTCAGTCAAAATAAATAAAATAGTCCCCTATACTACCTGAAGAAAATATACTCTTATGTTTAAGGCAAGTTTTTCTAAGTGACTGCACAATTTCAGTTTTGAGAGTTGAAGAAGACTCTGCCATACGCAGCCCCACATGCATTTGGAAATTCTTAAGAGGACAGCCTTCAAATGCTGTGAACACACTTTGACCAGTGCTTGCACTAAGGATGAAAAGCTGTGAGAAACTGTGACAATCCTTTGGCTTCAAACGCAGGCCATGGCTGAAGACGGCAGCCACTGTGAACTAACTAATAAAATGATGGACTGAACAAATTTACACTCACCTTCGCGAACACCGTCTTCACGTAGATGGGCAAGTCTCCATGGGGACTGCCATAACCGCCCACAATACTAAAGCCCAGGCCATCTGGTCCTCTATCCAGAGTAATGGTCTTGTACTGAGGAGGTCTAAGAACAAGAGAAAGAGTACTGCAATGTTGTCTGAACTTATGATTTAATATGTAGAATATTCAACAAAAAACATTTTTCCTTTTAAGCTAAGCAATACATTTCCCTTTCCACCAAAACTACTAGCTTTTATTACAATGAACTGGCTATTTTAGTTCATGTAAAACACTGTAACTCTCTAATGTACTTGCTATTACTTAGAAGTAGCTATTTCAAACACCTCTTCCACCCAGTTCAGGGCATATGACCCACTAAAAAATGATGAGTTTATGTTGTATGATTTAATTGCTCATCTCCTCCTCTAATATATGACTGTATATAGACCATTTATACATACATTTCCCCACATATACTTTGATTGTAAGAAATTTCAAAGTTCTGTCTTTCAAAGTAGATCTGTGTGGCTAAAGAATCCCCATTCTATCTTCCCCTGTTCCTAGAAGAAAAATGCCTCAGATTTAGGATAGAGTTTGGGGCAAAACTTGCTTACATAGCTGTACCTTGCAGTATACCAGAAGCAGTATACCTTGTATACCAGAAAGGTTTGACGCTCCTGATAGCCTAGTGCTAGAAAGTACAATATGGAAACACAGGTACCACTGTGGAAAGGGCCTTGCTGTTTAAGTCTGAGAAAAAACATTTTGGGTGTATCAATTAATTCTAGCTACCAAAGCTCAGTAAAACAAAGGAGGTTGTATTTACAGAGAAGAAATCACATCTTCATCATAACTCTACATGGTGGGCAAAGTAAAGCAGAACAGCAAATCACATCAGGTAAAGTGCAGAAGAAGACCTGCAGCCTACAGGTCCTATGTATACCAGATGTGTAAGTCATGATTAAGTCAAACAATTACTTGCTACAATTTATTAGGTTGAGTTCCACCTAAAATAACAAGCTACGGAAGTTGTACATTCTACAGTCACTGACCCTAAATCATCCTGAAAAATGCTGGTTGAAGTTAGTCCCGCAAATGAAAGACTGGACGTAGGTGGATCTTGCTGCTGACCAGTTATGACACTCACTTCTCCTCCAGCTACAACCTAGGAACAGAGTTTGTAAATCAGTAAAATTAAGAGTTCTGACACAAAAATAATTCATTATAGCAGCTGGCAAAATAGTATTCAGAGAATAGTCTAAATGTCACTGAAGATTTTTTACCTGCAGCTCAATAGTGCCTGAAGCATTTTTTAAGAGACTAACAGCTTGGGAGTGAGTCATGCCCTCAGTAGATGTTCCACAGATGCTAACAATCCTGTCCCCAACCTGCAGAAGATAGTATAGAAAAATCTAACTAACAATAAATCAAGTTACATAGTTCTATTTGTCACTTTATTTCAACAATAGCAGATCTGTGTATTTACATTTAGCCAGATTTTATGAGTAATATAAGGCAGGAAGAAAGAAATTAGCAACTGTTCAGAGTATATCTTCTCTCTAAGACAAATAATCTTTGAACTATACAATGACCCAACATAAAAGTAGAAAATTCAACATCAGAATTAGCAAATTTCACTGGTTTAATATACTCAGTGTAAAAAAGTAATGATGCTTTACAGAACCGATCCTATTACTCCAGAAATATACAGCATGTAACAAGAGATGCATTTTGCATGCCATGTGAAGACAGACACATTGAAGGAGTAAGTTATCATCAGAGACTGTATGCTTGAATTCATCCTGAAATAACACTGTCTGTTTCCAAGGACCATAAGTCAACTTCAGCCACCTCTGGTACAGATTGGATACAGTATGTGTGTAAGTGCTGTATCAGATAAGACCTCTCACTTTAAAGAACATAAAAAGCACTATCTCTATCCTAAGGCAGAAAAGAATAGAAAACGTGAGAGATAAAACAGACTGCATACATACAGTTGCAGGAATGACCACCACGCTCATCAGTGGAGCTCACTTACTGAATCCATTCTCATGTTTTAATTTTCACAAGATGACTACCTCCATAATCCCAATATTGGTTTAGGGCCTCTTTCCCGAAGTTAGTATCTTTCAGCAATTACCTTTTACCATGCTACCAATCTGGATTATCGTTTTGTCACTCCAAACAGCAAAAATTCTTGTTGCAGCCAGAAGCACTTATGACTGTTATCATTGAACTGCTGATTTATTGCCTGGCTAGAGCAATTACTGTGCGTTACTCATGCAAGCTTTACAACTTTCTTAACAATTAACTTACTCTGAGTTTCTGAGTCTGAGCTGCAAGTCCATTTGGATGCATCATGGCAATAAATATAGGAACATCTCCAAGAGGACTTCCTACACCTCCAGCAATGCTCACTCCTAGTGAATCTGCAGGGCCCTGTTATTGTTATGAAAAAAGGATTAGATTTTTCTGAAAAGAAAAATACATGCAGAGAATTGTAGGCTGATCTCAAAAAAATACTAAGGCTCCTATCTTAGGAAAATCACAACTCCTATGTCTCAAGCCATTTTTTAAGCTAATACACCTTGCATCATTTAGAGAAAGCAGAGAGAACACAATATATGTTTCTTACTATCAGTGGTAGGTGACAATTTCCTGACTTAGTTCTACGTTTTATCTTAACCAAACGAAATACTTAACAGAATTTAGTGTCAGACCCTTAATGTCAGCACAGAAAGTCTTGGAAAGGCAAACTCGACAGATGCGATTGCTTGTCCTTAATATGGTGTATACTAATCTCCTATTACGAAACTCCCAGACTAGAATTAATCTTTATGCTCCCCCTAGTGTCCTGCTGCTGAAGAAAAAACCTAACTGTTCACTACCATACAACAACCTACTACCTAACTGTGAGAACTGCTATTATAAACTGTTATTTGCAGATTCTACTGTAAAAAGAGAATGGCTAAATACAATCCAAGTAATCAAGTGAACCAGATGCCAGGCAAAGTCAATTGAATATAAATATTTTGGACAATCAGAAGCAGTGTGTGACTCAGATCTCACATTCCTGTAAATAAGGAAACCAACTGAATTGTACAGTTAAAAACCTGGCAGCTGTCACATAAGAGTTTACCCATTAAAAATATATGTGGAGAAAAATATAAAGTATGAAGCAATGGGTTTGCAACTTCGGTACAGTTCCCCTGACTTCTCTAAGCAGACTCTGGGTTAAACTCTGTTTAATAACAGTAAAATTAGGTCTCATCATCTCTTACTTCCTCCTTCTACTTTCAAAACAGGTCACAAAACGCAATAGCATAAATTGCACTGATTGTACATAAAAATATAGGCAGTGGGGATCATACAGTCCTTACTTGAAAAGACAGGCAGATTAATCAGCTATTGCCACATCAATACCTCTCTCAAAATAATTAACAGGACCAGATTTCTTCCTTTCTGTAAACATACCTATTCACAACATCTGCAAAACCTGTTCCTTATATATACAACTTCATGCTCTAACTTACCTTTTTTATTTCAACTGTTCTTAGTCCCTGTATTTCAGAAGTTGCTGCCAAATGAAATTTAAAAAAGAAAAGTTAAACTAGCTTTTTTCAGAAACTTTTCCATTAAAGTTATCCTAACCACTACGATGATTCTAACTTTCTGATGGTTTAATACAGACATACGTTTTAAGCAGATTTTGAATGTAGATGTCATTAAATTAATAGGACTTAAATACTTCTAGAATGAGTGAAAGAGTCATTTTTTGTCTCCATATAAATAACTTTTGGAATAAGACTGCAAAGCATCGTCAAATTATTATTTGCTAGCAATACTTTGGTCAGAAGTAACTTGGTTCTAAATTTGAGCATAAGACAGCTATTCCACATGTATTCTAATTTAACCACAGAGTATCTGGATTTCTATTAATAGACATCTTGACTGAAGACATATTTAGATCAAATAGAAAATTATGGTTCAACTGAGATTCTAAACTGCTGGTATAACAAGCTGTTCATTTCTTTTATAAAAAGCTATTCAAAGATATATATATATATGATGTACTGTACAATAACTACCCCTGCAGCGTTTTAATGACTAAGAAATCACTTTCAGATCTACAATACACAATGACGACATTTTAGAGAAAATGAAAGATCTTAGCTATCGGTTCACATGTATAAAATACTGAAAGCACCAAAGAAACCTTACTGGTATTCTTCTTTAGACCACTTTCAAAGACCTCAGGAGCACTGGACCCAGAAACTGGGACACTGAACGATGAAAGACTGGCACTTCCTTCGCTGACCTAAATACAGTGTTAGACTGAAATTAGAGAGCAGCTTCAGACACCTGACTGTAGCTACTGTATTCAGCAGATTTTCCTGTATTCTATTTTTTCTGTGCCCAGTTAAAGCTGACACAGCGAACCTCCGCATATTTCTTGGTCACTCTAGAGGACTCCTTGTTTGAAAAATTATTAGACCAACCAAGATTGCACGACTACCACCCCATGCAATGCTTTGGAGTTCTGCTTCTGAGGGCCTGACTGTGCCCTTTTATATGCGCTTTCTACCAACTCATAGACAGAGTTGAAAAAAATTAGCCATGATTATCAAGGAAAGACAGAATACAAAAGACAGAACTTTATAAATCCTCATGTGTACTCTCACGTTCACCCACTGCCTCATCTAAAACAAAGATTAGTTTCTCCACTCAGCCTCACCTGCACAATTTCCAGAAACACTTTCGCTATACGTGCAGGGCAATATAAAGGGACAACATGGCTTCTAGTGAGACTAGTTCGATGACTGTTACAGACTCTTCAAAACATTCAACATTGTGAGTTTCTTCTTACTTAACAACTTAGATAAGACTGCCCAGAACCTACATGTGTTCATCTTGTTTGGCACTACCCATTTTGAAGAGAGCCTAACACTTCAGTCTTATCCGGTCTTAACCCGATCACTTCAAACTGTTTAACTATGACTTGTTGTATAACTATTTGTCTGCAGTAACTGATGATCTGCATACCCAGTGTATAACCACAGAAAGTTCAAAGGTAACTTGTGAGCTCTCAGAGATACAGCTCCTACTGGAGAGCATCAGACTGCGAGCTGCTGCCATGTGTGCATTCCTGCATACAAACTGATGTGGGTTCCTAACACACCACCATTAGATCAACAATAAAACAAACTTGAGAGAAGCCTGATGGAAAGGCTGCAGGTTTCCTGCTTCTGACGACCAAGATTACAGTAAGAATACACAAGGAGTGGAGAAACTCACTAAGTTTACTGTAACAATACTCCATGGCATGCCAAGCACTCCTAAAGTAACAAAGAGATTTAAAGTCCACTTCAACTTCTTCTGGTATCAATGAGAATCAGAGTTCTCTCTGCTTTCCAGGCTGGAGCCATAAAAAACAGACTAGGCAACACAGCAAAGCTATTTCTGGAATACATTTTTGTCTGGATTATGTCTTTAACAGATACAATATGCTACAGTGAACATATAAACAGTTACTGAAAAACTGCGAAGTAAATAAAAACTACTTTTCTTCATCTTGGATCAAGTATGTGCAAAATCACTGTCACCCATTTACCCATTTAACCAAATATTTAGCCATTATTTCTTCCAAACTAAATACAGTTACACACCTGGCTGCTCTGGGATGTTCTCCTCTCGGAGTGGAATGGACCAGCTTTTATTCTTCCGACCTCTAGTCTTACTGTACCTAATGAACACTAAAGAACCAGTCACTTATAACACATCTCTTCTGTCTAAAACGTCGAAGCCTATGACAATATTTAAGTCATTTATTAGATGGTTGAAGAAGAAAAAAATATGGACAGAGGAAAAAATAACAGGCTAACAACCCTGCAATGAACGCTGAGCAGAGAGAGCTGATGGCAGAATCAGAGGCACACAAACAGCACACCGTGATACTCAGTACTGAGCAGGGTACTTTTTGGATTAAACAGTACTACAATACAGATGTGAAAATTGCACAAGATGACTAATCCTGTTATCTTTCACTTTTAACCAGGACTAGTTTTTCCTCCTCAATTGTAATGCCAAAATACATTTTCACAATGGCATTTTTCAAGGAATAGTGAAACTGACTATTATCACAATAAGCACTAAAAATAGTGTAACACCACAAAGTATTAATCATTATTTCTGTTGATGTGACTGAGAACATGTCATTTAAACTGCTACGTAGTCATCTCTCTCCTGCTCTTGAAATTTTCTGTTACTCTGGATCGAGACCAACATTTGGGCAGGAGGTTTTCCAACCATCTATCTGTAGTTAAACTGATGTTTCTGCATCTCACTCTCAACAGGAAGCTGGGTGATATGAACTGTTTGCATATTGGAAAATCCTTTCACTACTCTTTAAGCTTTTAATTATATTGTTACACAAATGAGATAGATCTTAAATGCATATCTGAGTAGAAAATTCACCCTGCAATCAAATATTTAGAAACCAATACATTAGGCTGATTTTGGAAACAAATAGATAAGTTATTATCACAAACAACATTTAGAAAACTGGATTTACAAAATACTACAAATACTATCAAAAGAAGATTACCCATCCGCAACATATTCAAATACAAAAATCTCAAGGTTTTGTTGTGATTTTCCTATTCCTTCTTTCTTCCACTGGGAAGCTGTTAGTATGAACTCCTGTATGTAAATAACTTAATATTACATAGGTTTGCCTTTATTTATCATGCTTTAGCTGTATTGCCCTAAGAGAGTTTCATGTATTTGTCAGAAAATTCACAGTAAAAAATAGACCAGTATATCAAAACCAACAACAGGACACATCCACTCAAATAAGGTTTCCATACCTCATATCCTGTTGCTATTCTCTTAGGGGTGACACTAAAAGAGATTCATTAATAATTTGCCTTTTATTTTTCAAATAATGTTGACTTTTCTATGTCTTGAAGACTTGATCAAAGCTCAAGCAAACCCATTCTTTCCTGCTTGTATAAACTGACACATATTAAACCACATGGAAAACTCTTACCTAAAATGGAAAACTGAGGAAGTAATCGAGGTACCTAAAAATTACCACACCCTCATATAAAATGCAAACCCACAGATGAAATTTAAAAGCTGCAATGTGTGAAAGTGGGAGGTAGTACTTTCCAACTAAATTTGTGAATAAATCAATTCACATTTAGTTTTATGACAGCTTTCACTCTCTTCCCATTTGACAAACCTGTAAGTCAAGTGAGGGGAAAAAATAATCAGCTTTTCACATGTTTTAGGGATACTTACAAAGAAACACTGCAAGAACAGCTGGAATTCTCAGACTGATGGGCACGTTCTAGTGGTCTCATGCTACTTAATATATACTGTGATTTTCCAAAGATTATAATTAATTTTCTAACAAAATATATTTCATGCAATTCAAGAAAATTCACTCCTAGATCTTGCTCTCATAAATGAAAACAAAACTGATATCTGAACTAAAAATGCTGACTGCCTACATGTGAGTGATAGTGCTTTACTCCATTTATACTGCATGAATAAAACAGAATTGTTAACAATAATATATTCAAGGTATTTTGAAAGCCTTATTTCTCAGGGCTAGGACAATTAATTACAAGTAGCACTGAGTGCTATGAAGTCCTTAAAACATGAATACACAAATGCTAAGTGGGAACCAAGACTCTTCAGTTAGATACTCGATTGAATGCTTGCCAAAATGAAAGAAATTTTCCAAATAAAATGGCATTTTAATATAGAGGAGCTGTAAAAGTGCATTATATAAAGAAGAAATGCACTATCCTATAAAAATTAAAGTATCAGGTAAGAATGTAAAAGTACTTTACCCCAGAAGAGTATATTAATGAGTTCACTATCGGAATACAGACCCCACTTCTGTCATTCTCACTCACAGGCTCATGCTGAAAACACAGAAGTGCTCCTACCCCTCCTTTTTAACTTCCCGCCCCAACCCACCCACCCCTCCCAAAAAAACCCCAAACCAAACTCACCCCACAAACCCTCAAGTAAATATTCAAAAACTGCAAAAATATACCTTTGAATGTTGAGTGCAAGTAAGCATGATCATCTGTCTATGTATCCAAGTGTCAGCTATGAGTGGTGGCTCTTAATTTTTTTCCAGTGGAATGGTATTCCATTGGAAAATGCTGACTCAATAGAATTCTTACCATGCAGCAGGAATGTCTCAAAACCTTGGATGGAAAACAGACAAGCTGGCTGACCAGCTGGACTTCCTGCCAGACCACAGGAAATGCTGTATATCTGACTTCATTCTGATTTGGAAACGGGGAGAACGTGAGAAGCACAAAATGTATTGAGAACAGAAATTCTGGTTCCAAGAGCTGCAGGTAGGAGTTTACTTCAGTTATCTTTGTGAGAAAGCAATTTCTTACACTAGATGCCTTGGTCACTGGAAAATGCATTACAGTATTTAATGCATGTATGGTGACACTACGCATACACAGAAAAAAAAAAGAAAAAGATGAACATTATCAACTAGGAAAGTAACCAGTTTTTGGCACACTGATACACTCCATCATTTAAAGTCAGTTCTGCATATCTGTCTAAAAATGTGACATAATTACCCAGTTATCAGTTAGTTGGAGAAAACACAGTGTTAAGTTTTAGGTTGTTCTAGGTACTGGTCTTCTTTTGGCCTATAAATATATGGCACTCTGCATGACCACTACTCCCATTTTCATCAGGGTCAAAATCTGAATGCTCTAGAATGCAGAAGGCTTAAATTTGGGATCCACAGGTCATTCTCATTGACATCTCAACACCAGTCTGAACTCAGTCTGAATAAAGCTAAACTGGATCTCAACTCTTCACTTTTATCCACCTTCTCTTTTCCCAATACCTTTAGCAAAGCTGCAACAGCCTCCTGGTTAGCATTTCGAACATCTTCTCCATTCACTGTCAATATCTGGTCTCCTTGCATCAGTCTCCCATCTGTATCTGCTATTCCTCCTTTCACGATGTCTGACACAAACACCCCCGTATCATTTCTGCAAACACACACATGGAATTTGCATTACAGTATTGTTTGAGGGCCATTTTTATGGCTTGCTGTTGGAAACACAATGAACATTGTCTCATTATTCTCTTTAATAATGTTGGCCTAGGTCCTCTAGAAATGGACAATTTGCTTAGGCACAAAAATGATGCGTATGGCCTTCAAGCCCACACGACCTGAGCACCAGACCCCAGCAGAAACATAAACATGCCCAGCAAGCTGCAGACACTGACTGCCCAGGTACATTCATACCTTTTCCCAACAATACTGAGGCCAAGGCCTTTGCCAGGCTTCTTCTGGAGCTCTATATTGAGTACATCATACATGTCTTCCTCCTTGTACTGGGCCTCATCTCTGTACACAGTCAGACGAACTTTTTGGGGAGTTTGTCGGAGGACATTTATTGCCTCATCATGTGTGGCATTCCTGAGGTCAATCCCATTGACCTGCAACGAAAGCATACAATTTTATCTTTATCAAAGTGTGCAGGACCTTCCAGCAAACAAACAGAAGATGCCTAGCTAGCAAATGACAACAAAAATGACTGAAGAAACCACCACACCTCCAATATCTGGTCCCCAGCCCACAGTCTCCCATCTTTAGATGCTGCTCCTTCTTCATATACTTCATGGATAATGATTGCTCCCTGTAGATAAATAAAATAAAAATAAACTGCATTTTGAAAAAAAATGCCCTACTTTGAACCAAGAACAACTGAAAATTCCTACTATAATTCATCAGTGATAAACAGAAGTCAGACGTAGGATGAACAAATTATCACAAAATTTAAAAGTTAATTTATACTTTCAATTTAAAAAGAACCTTTTCTTTTCCCCCTTTTTTTCCTTGAACTGATATCATCGATATTTTTCTATAAATGCTACAGAAACAAATGAAGAAAAAAACCTCTTCTATCAGACATTTTAATTTCATTATTGTTATTTCATTTGAGTGACACACATATTTTTTCAACCAACCAGCAAAGTGTCTGCTCCTCCAACAATGCTCAGACCAAGACCAGTCCGTCCTTTCGAGATATCAATGGTTGTTTCACATCCAGGAATGATGGGACAAGTAGCTGGGTCAGAGGCTAATGTGGCTGGAGTTGAAGATCTGCTTGTGTCTAAAACAATAATTTAACATCCCGGTTATTGTAAGAGGTCTCAATATTAGGAAAGTGACGTTGAAAACAGCATTTTGAGAGTCCATTGACACTTCTACAGCAACAGCTGAACAGCTGACCTACAGAGAATGATGCTGTTGATTCTCCCTTCCCCTCAGACAAGTACTAGCCTGTAGATTTAATTGCAGTTGTCCTGTTTTCTTACTATCAAATATCTGGATCACAGGCCAGATAGCCAAAGAAGCTATTGTACACAACAGATTGTACTTGGATAGAATTTAACTTAAACAGCTACACCAGCAACTACACAATGTAGATCAGAGATAAATTAAGTATATAGTATGTATTAAATACACGGATTCAAGGATGTTAGCCCTGCACTTTTGCAAAGGGTCAAGTCAGGATCCATCTAACTAAATATTCCATCTCAGACTCAGATCTGTACCATGAAAAAGAACGTTAAGTATGAACCAAATAGAATGGTATTTCACAAAGACAGAAATTCATGCTCAAGTCAAGGGGTATAAACATCATTATGCTTACTGGCCATCTAACAGAACTTTTTACCCCAATCCAACTTTTAACTGCCTACTGACACAGCTTTTGTAAGCAGTAAGTTTCACGGTGTAAACAGCTATTCTCATAGTACAATGGTGTCCTACTGTAGCAATTTATCTGTAAATTCAGTGTCTTTGATGTCACAAATGGATCTTTGCTTCAGTATTTCAGTCAGCTCTGTATCCTTCACAGGGAAAAAATGCTGAAAATACTACCAGGGGATACTGTGTAGCAACTAATGGAAAGAATCAGCAATCAAAACATCTGGGAAGTTAATGTCATCTCTATCACTCATGTCCTCTGTGCTTTAAAGATAAGCCAAAATTACTTTTTTTCCAAAAGGTAAAAATAGGCATCAAAATCCTCTTGAGGCACTTCAAAAGGGCACTGATTAAAAGAAGTTCCACTGAAACTAACAGAGAACCTGACCATTCAGACATACGGATTTGTGTTAGATAAATACTTGGGTATAGCATGAATAATAGGTCCTGCAGGAACAGTAAGCCTCAAAACTACAAGTCTTGCCCTCTGAAGGGAACCAGAAGGGAAAACGACACTTTCAAAGGGTAAAGCTTCTGTGGGAGTACAGAACACATTACTCTGCTGTTCGGTTATGCAAGTTCTTCACGTGTGTGATGATGACCAACTGCTCATGCTTAGTTTGAGCTAAGTAGGTGTCATAGTTTAGGCTGGACTGGCCAACAGACAACCAACAGATGCTCTCTTTAACCTCTCTGCCTTCAGAGAAGAGAAAGAATGAGAGAGAGAGAGAGAACTTACGGGTTGAAAAGGGAAGTAAACTATTTTAGTGAAATCTTATTAATAAAACAATGGAAAGAAAATATAACAACACTAACAAGAAAATAATGAAATATATAGTATATATACCAAACCTGAGCTCCCAGGATGACCAATTGAGTCACCAGAAGGCACTGGGAACATCCCAGACTGGACTGAGCAACAGATAGAAACTGGATTCCAGATCTGGATTCAGGAATGCATGGATTGGGGTCAAATGCAGATGAACAGACTCCTCCTCAGACACCAACCACTGAAGAAAGAGGCTGTCCCTTTGATCCCTCAGCTTTTATACCAGTTGTAATGCACATGAGATGGAATACACTGCTGGTCAGTTCAGGGTCACCTGTCCTGTCTGCTCCTCCCTGCAGGTGAGAGCCCTTTATGCTCTTCCATTTCTGACCCTCCAACTTGGTACGTAACAAAGTTAGCCGACTTCAGTCGTTATAGCAGTAAGTACAAGCAGGAGCCTCTCCGCCTGCCATTTCTTGGTATCAGCTATAAACTTTATCTGCTGGAAGCAGACACTGTCTGAAATATGTGCTGTTAATGTCAGAGAGTGCAATTAGATAGAAGAGACTTAACTCTACCGAAACTACCGAAAAAGAAATAAGTTCTGTTTTACCTCAAACCAGAACAGTATGGGAGTCAACGCTTAAGTATAATTTTGTCCAGAAAGCATAAAATGGATATGATATACATGAACTGAAGAATTGGAAGGGAGTCTTGGTACGCAAGGTTGACCTTATCTAGTTAGCTGCATCAGTACTGGGTGAAAACAGGCCTACATAGCACTGCTGGAAACACCAAAGTTGGGTAAAGACGTAGTAGAAATCAGACCAGTAGCAAAGAGGTAGTTAGAGACAGGTTGCTTATTTGGAAGGAGTGAGAAAACAAGGTCCAAGGGCAGCAAAAAGGTGGGCTTGGTAGAAGAAAGTGAAGGAATAAATTTTAAAATCAGGCAGAGATCCAAGAGGAAGGAGATCTTCCAACGGTTTGGCTGTGGATGCTTGCTAATAGTAGTGAAGCTAAGCTGCAATCACAAATCCCCAGAATGATGGGAGGGAGCACCGCTGATATCTCCTCAGGTCTTTATCCCTAGGACTTGCTGTGGTAGGGTGGAGATGGAAGGGATAGACTTGGACAAAGCAATAGATTTTACCCTAAAACTAAATGCAGAAAGGAAGACAACAGAATTATTACCTAGTAGGTCTCCAGAGTGTTTCTTAAGATTTCTTTACAGTAGTATAATTGCCTGTCAATACTACTGCTAGCAATAAGCAATAGAAGCATGAGTCAGTAATACTTGCAGTGATGTACATACAAATTAACTGTGATGTGCGCATTACTCAATTAAATTATTATTAGCTTCTTAATAGTGTGTTGCTTAACCAATAACCATCATCAATCAATCACATTTCGGCTCTCCACTCTAAAATGGGAGAGTCCAACGTGGCTAGTCATAAATGGCAGGACAGTCTAAATCATTCCCCTCTTCCAGGAAAGATGACGTGACTTTTCTCCCTCATTTAAAGGAATGTCTACCCCTCAGTTCTAGAAAACCATGACAGAGGGACTTGCTGCATAGCCTTCAGGAAGGAGAAGGAAATCCCCCCCCATCCTCCCACTCCTACAACAGGCCAGCAGGAAGGCAAAAGGTAGGTCTTCCATGTGGAGCTCCACTGCTTTATTTAGATGGATCTGTAATCCAAAAGAACTAGAAAATGCAACCCAGACAACAGCTGAGTGCATACAAAAAGAGAAACTTGTTTACAAGCTGGGTCTTCATTTTTATGTCACAACCCCAGTGAAGACAGACACATAAAGAGAACCTTACTTTTGACTGGTTCTGGTTCTGGTGAGCTGGAAGAGGGGGCAGTTGTTGGCAGCTGCATGTTTCTCCTTTCTGCTGGGGCAGTGCTGGAAGGGACTGGTGCTGAAGCCAGGCTATCCGTCTCTGCTGAGTTGATCGTAAGCCTCACCATAGTTTTGGATGTCTTCAGGAGACTAATAAACTGAATGATAAATAGAAAAGCTGGTGAAGCATGTAACTGGACTGTTCAGTTGTAAAACAAAAATAAAGCAGAAGAAGGGATACTGAAAAACCTGCAAAATTAATTGTGATCCCACAGAAAAGACATCAAATCCTCCCAAGACTTTACATGTCAGTAGAAGTATTTTCAGAAATTACATACTCAATCTCTCTGTCTTTTCTTCCAAAGCCTACCTACTTTCCTGCAGACAGCTTCACTATCTCTTACTCATTTACTGCTTCAGAGACTGCAGTGCATCAAAGAGTAAGATGGATGCTCTCCTAATTGGCCTTTAACAAACAGAAAGTATGCAACATTGATGCAACTCACCCATGTAAACCTACACATATTACACATATTAACTGTATTGGTTCTAATACTTCTAAAGTGGAGTAGTTATAAAGAGTCATTATTCTGTGACAGTTCACAGCTTTTGTCCCACAACGAAGTGATCAGATCTGAACCACAGAGGGGAAAAAAAATCACATTTGTGGCACAGAGAGGTATGATTCATGTAGTGCATTAATGTAAAATAGCAGCTGAGATTTAAATTCAGTCTTTAGCTTATTCTGCAGTACTTTCCTTATCCAGACAATGCCTGTTGATTCCTTTGGTTCTTTAGCCAGTTTCGAAAATTCAGTCATGAGTATAGTCATGAAAGCCTCACTGGTTTAAGACACAATCACCTCCTACATTAAGTGGTGTGGTTTCTGCAACATTCCTGACACTTGAGAAGCACCTTTTCTACTGGATATCCCACAACAATTTCATCATCCACTGCCAGGATCTGATCTCCAACTTTGATTCGTCCATCCTGGAAAAACCATAGAATAAAAATATGAGCTCTGGATGCCACTCAAAAAACCATTTTTTCATTCCCTATTTGGATTTTAAATGTTTTCACACCTTTGCCGCTGCACCATGATCTGTTAAACTCTTAATAACTACTCCATTAACTGTGTCTTCTTCACTAATGGCAATTCCAAAGCCTCCTTGATCCTGTGGCAAACAGAGAAATGCAAATGCTTACGTACTGTGTTTTTCAAAATGTTAGAGTACGTTCACTAAAGACTAGCAAAGCCTGCAGACCTAACACAAGTTTGGGTTTTCACAAAATATTACTATTTTTAATTAATCTATTTCTGAAATAGTTTGCCAACCTACAAACAGTATAGAAGCTACCAGGATAAATCTGAAATACTTCTGAATTCAAATCCACTCTTTTGAAACGTACATGGTCAATTGTGATTCAGTTGGTAAATTCATACATAGGAGTAAGAAACACAACATATTTGAAAACTACAAACTGAAGCAAATAAAACTTCATGATATAGCTTAAATTCATTATTTAGAACTGCAGAAAAAATACACGCAGGATGGGAAAACACAGAGGGTGGAAAACAGTATGGTCTTCCTGTAAAATTATTAAATATTTTGGCAGAGTGTAATTTCCCTACTGCTTTCACCTAGAATTAAATCATCATAGGATACCATAATCTTTAAGGCATCTTCCTTGTTGATAATGGGAGGCAAGCTGCCTTCCAAGCAGAAAACTCTGTCCGCAAGTCTCTATCCTTACTGCCCCCTAAATGCAATTGGCTTCTGCATGTCAACAAGCAGGAGTAGCATTTTTTCCACCCTCATTTGGCAGCTTCAAAGTCACAGAACATCTGGCCATTTTCTCCCAGCTGCACAATTTCCACTAAGTACGTATGTTGTCTGGGGGGATCTGGTGCTTATAATCTGCTAGTTCATTTACTTTGAACAACTAAGGCAATGATTTCACCTGAGTCACCACCAGAAACTGGTTATCAAAAGTTCTGCAAATAGGACAAGGACTTCTTCCAGGGATACAGGCAAATTTACGTGAAGGTAAAGGGAGTCAAGAGGTTGCCAAAGGCAGTAACCATCAGGAAAACTTTGGGATCCGTTCAAAAATAGCTAGGTAGCTCTATCCTGACTTCCAGCAAAAGACAGTTTGTTCACCATAAGAGGGACTCCATTACAAAAAAAGCAAGCTAATGACTACAAATGTGGCTGATGTAAATTTAATTTTCAGCACATACCTTAGGAAGTTCCACATACTGAATGTTTTTACATGAACTGAAGTCAGAACAAGCACTGGAGTTTGCAGCACCGATATCAATCTAACAGAAAATGAAAATATAGCTGTGAGCAACTATATCCAACATTGTGCATCACAACAAAGTAGCACACAAACATCTGAAGTATGTCTGATCGTTTTCTGGATACCTTTGAACTGCTATAACCCTATTTGCAGGATTATTAAGACTTACTTCATAGTTTAGATGAACATAAAATAAACTAGAATTGAGCACAGATGTACTGAGTTTAGCAGCTTTACTAACATCTCATTTGTTTTTCCCTTGGGTTACTTTTCCTTTTTTAGTCAGAAAAGGCACTCCTCTATCCAGAACAACGTTAGTACCTCAGTCAAATGAGAAAAATAAAAATTTACTTTACCTCTTGATGTTGAAGTGTCCCTGAAGCGCACTGTGAACCCTCTACTGACTTTGAAGGGCAAACAGCCATCTGATTTACTGCATCTTTACTTCTACAATAGATTCAGTTAAGAACGTAGTAAGCATGTAGTAATACAGGACCATATTTCTTAGAAGAAATTTAAGTCTAGCGCTTTCTTTTACTTTATTTCTGGCACTCACAATGCAAGTACCAGAACAGAAAACTCAAGACATAGTTAACAACTACTAGAAACTCGGTTCAAAAGCACATCTGCCTTACCAAAATTAAAAATAAAACAGAAACACTCTGAAAAACTTGAGCATATTAAAAATAAAACTTTTTAATGAAACCTTTAACCAGAACTTACCTGATAAAGATTATTTTTACTTTAGATGGCGCACATTTGATTATTGAGGAAGCATTCTGATGAGTCCTTCCATAGAGTATTTGCCCATTTATCTATATAAAGGAAAGTTGCAATTATTTATCAAAAATATTTTGATATATTTTATTTATATTCATTTTATTATATTAATATTTTAATTCCCTTAAACTAATTTTTAAGCTTTAAAAATACCTAATATCCCATATCACTGGCTAAAGCAGCAACTGTATTAAAAGAACAGAGTATGTTGTGTCCTGCTTTTACTCCCTTCTTCCAGTAAAAAATTCCTTATAGTTTTAATTTCAGACTAACACTGTCACAGTGCTAAAAATGTCATTCCCTGAGTTATACTGGGTTGACTTGGCACATCATGTATTTCCACTTGCCATTGATCACCTCATGACTGATGTGGTGATAAAGCAGGGCCATGGGAAATTCTAACCATAACAAATAAATGAATTGCTTATATCCAGCAACAAGATTGCTGTTATTTATTGTACCTTAGCTCTGAGCCAGGCACTTTATACACAGGAGTTTGAACACCGGTGCATTTACAATCTAAAGATTTGATCTGACAATCATTGTGCTCATTTGGGAGAACAGACACATTGAAACTCCCTTAAGGTCCTAAGATTCAGGTATGACTTGAGGTACCAGTGTGAATTTGTAGAATAAATCTGGTCCACATTTTATTAATTTGTTCTTGGAAATGAAAAGCTGCAGTGCAGAAGTCCATTTTAAGAAAGAGGAAATGACTGGAAAACACAAAGGGAAAATAATGCAACACACATTGACGTAGTGCTAATATAAGCAAAGAAGTAGTGAACAGTGAGCAACAGATGCAAGACAATGAACTGAGGGTTAACAGCATACATAACAGCAACCCCTCAGCTCCCACACAGGCTGTGTCCACCAGGCATGGTCACAAGGATACTGAGCCCTATCATTTACACTGAGGGTGACAATGTAGATGGAGCACTGCTTCCAGTGTTTGCCATGGGCTTGTGAAGAACCAAGTCAGCTGGAAGATGGGGCATGGCCCACCAGAGCTGAGGGACACCTACTTGGGAATGTCTGGAGCAAGCTCAGATGTCTCCTCTCAGCAGAGGTGAGACAATCTCTTAGCATTAATTTGCAGGTTTACAGTGTGGACAGTAAGCAAGAAACCACGTGACAGCAGACTCAGGTATATGTGTCACAAAGTGTTCTGAGGATTCTCAGCATCTGCAACATCAAGGTTTTAAAAACAGGCGTTTTAACTGATTCAACAGAACAGTCTAGAAGGTAACAATGGACTCTGCAACTAACAGGTCCCTCCATGAGACTAGGTCCATAGTGCCACAAATCCCTAAGTTTCTCTCTTAGTCTGCAACTGCCAACCTACACTGTTTACTCTCTCAGCATCTCCCTCAAAGGTTTTTTTGGTCTCACCATTTCCTCTCTGTACCATCTCCCCAGTGCATCCTCAAACACACCTCCACATACACTTTTGAAGTTACACAAAGAATTTCTGCAAGGGTAATGTTACCTACTACTGTCAGAAAGCATGGGAAAAGCTATAGCACAGAATACATCTGCAAGTATCATCCACTGAACTGTGGTAATATAAAAAAATCCCTTATCCTCATATACATAGGGGAACGTTAGCTGCACATTCAGCAGTTGCATCCCTCCACCAAAGCCACTAGAAAACAGCCTGACTGTGTTGTGAGATAGAAGCCCATAATACAAACAGATCTGTTCCTGCTTCCCCAATTTAATTTCCATTTTATATGTTACACAACATAAAAACATTCTCATATCACCACACTTCCAGTGGACAGAGAAGAAATTAGAAAGTCTGGAGCACTCCATGGATGGATGGAGTAAAGGACTTCCAATATTTTCCATGGTCTGCAATGCACTGCCCTTCCACACATCTTCATAACCCAGAAACTGATGTCATCGCCCATTTTCATCCATTTTAAATACATACACATCTTTACTTAGTACTATTATAACCAGAAAAAAAAATCCCAGCTGAAACTATTTGGCATACACCAGAATTAAAATCTGCTATTACAGTGACGTCAATTTGGTTATCTTGCGGATTTCAAAATCAACTGAAGAATATATATATTGCAGGAAGAATCTAATATTTTAGTGCATTTTGAGTCAGTAGGTTTGAGTATAGATTATAAAAACTCACCTCTAGTAACTCATCTGCAATGTGTAACCTGCCATCTTTGCCAGCTGCTCCATTTGGATCAATTCCCACTATAAAGACACTCATCCTGGAACGGTCTTTGTTACCAGCAAGACTAAGTCCCAGGCCTGTCCTTCCTTTTTCCAGCTCAATCATGTGTAGCTCTCCCGGTAGATTTCCATAGCGCTGCATGATCTTTTCTAAATGTAAAAGTGCGAGCAGCAGAGGATGGATTTACATTAGAAAGTTTTACAGGACACCTAGAGAGTAAAGATAAGTGTCCAGGGGGCAGGACCTGACAGAAGAATCCCAAACTGGATGACAAAATTCTAAGTGTACACCACACTATTTTTTTAAGCTAAGCCTTAGATGATTTATAACAGTATTTCTAGTTCCTTGTTTTCCTTCTAACTTCAGAAACCATTAAAACTTCTCTTAAAAAAAGACGACTTTTCACACGTAAATGGAATTATCCTCCCTCCAGTATCACCTTCAGGTAACAGACACTACCACATCAATCACTGCCATCCATTACCTAGAGTAAATTGAGTCTTCAAGTAGTCCTGCATGTGAAACAGTGAATTTGGACCACAGAGGAAAACAGAGATGAAGAAGAACAAATTAGTTTTGCATTTCACTATGTGGATCTGACCATGCACAACTGAAAGCTGGCAGCAACACTTAACACTCAAACCACGAAGCACATGAGAATGAAGTAGCTCGAACTGGATCCCCCAAATCTTCTGCTACAGTGCTATTTCAACACTTGAGTATTCAAACATTAGGATAAACTTACTCCAGCTATAACCAAACTCATCCTCCTTCTCCACATCCTCTGGGACTCTGCTGGAAGATGACTGTGTAGCGTCATAGCTCATTCCTGAAAATGGTGAAGGAGGGGGCAGAGGCAAGTTACAAAGCGAAGTCTTTTCTGGCTCTAAATCAGACTGACCAAATGCCTGTGGAGAATAAGAAAAATACAGTGGCTAAGCAGATGCAGAATCTGTGTAGTGCAAAATAGTATACAAAAATGTTGAAATGGCGATGACTATGGCTTTGAAGTTTAAATATCAAGCAGCTGGAATTCTAAATTAATAACACGGCACAGAAAGGCTGCAAGAGATCCAAAATAGAAACAAACACCAGGCAAGGTAAGAGATAACATCACTCCAAAATGTACTCGGAAGCAAACAGAACTCACAATAAAAGCCCAATTCAGTAAAGTTTTATGTGCCACTTCACATTTCAGAAAAAGTCTCTTGCAAAGGGTGATTTTTTTTTTTAATGCCATATTTGTATAAGACTTCTATCTTATTTTTAAAAGCCACTACATGTAATTTCTTCCCATCATATGCTTGAAAAACCAAATTGGAGCAAAGGCCAAGGAAAAAAAGAATTTGGTGCTCTCAAAAATACCTCCAGAAAGAAGAAAATAACCGGTATTTTAACTAAAGGACAATTTAAAAACAAAATGAAACTGGTGATAATTGAAGAAATCTACAGTAACTGGACTTTTTAAGTCTTATTTACTGGTTTCCTACAAGCTGCACAGGGGAGATCAAACAAACGAGGATACAGATTAAATCACGAAGAAGAAAAATACTTTTGGTCTTGATGTATGTGGTCTCTTCGTATTCACAAAAAGTGAAAAGTATCAACACATGACTACTGCAATATAATGGTTAAATGCCCAAATCTACAATCTGGCAAGCCTCTGTTCAAGTCAGTTTCCCTGAGGAATATGGACTCTGATGAGGGATTTGTCTAAGTTTTTGTAATTTATATCACTTTGGACTGCTCAGAGTAAACATGCAGGCAAGAAACTCATGTCTGAATATCATCATTCTGAAGCTTATGCATGCCCAATAGACTTTGATACTTCGCAGATCAGCTGTTGATGTAAACAACAAAAACTTCAGATGAAAATCAAGTCTTTTTCCAATACTAGGATCTTCAGGTGTTGCCCTAATTTTGCCTCCTTTAGTGGAAGTTTTAACACAGTAACTCTGTCTCTGGATGTCAAAAACACTTTTGCCAGATTTCTTCATCAGAGGCTACAGTGAAATGAATAACAACATACACCTTGGAAGACTTTAATCCACTTTAAATAGAAGGTTTTGAAAAAACTAGAAATTTACCAATGTCATGATACTGAGATTTAAGGACAGTCCTTATCTCTCAGGGAAAATAAGTTACCTCATTCTCTCTATACTCCAAAGCTTTGAAGAAAATCCAAATACCCTATTTCAGTTCCCTTATTCTCCTTTCGCTTGAAAAAGACTTTCCTTTCATTCAGGAACTTTTTCTAGGAGCTTAACTAAGAAGTCATTAAATGTCAAAAGCGGGGGGGAGTTTTAATACAGCACACAAGCCAATCATTTTTATGAAAAGCACATATAACTGCTATATAATATTTATATCGGTCATGTTGATCTGTGTTTCAAATCTAAGACAATCCCATCCTGCTGAGATACCTTGCATCGCTAAGTTTTACATAGGAATTATTTATCATTTATGCAAATTGGACTCTAAAACATGCTAATAGTCACAGGGCAGACATAAACTTCAACTGATGCAGCAAATTTCTAGCGAAGACATTTTTACCCATCAGTATGAGAGTCGGGTGAAAACACTACTAAATAACGTTCAAGGTGAATTTTCATAATCAAAACTCCATGTGTCCTCCATGGAGAAAATCTGGTGACAGACCTCAACCTCAAGAAGGGGTGAAGAGAAGAGCAGTTCTAGAAACACTTGTTTTTCAGAGTGCTTCCTAGAGTTTTTAACTAGAAAGCTACATAACACACTGCAAAGATGAGGAAATAGTGTGGAGCAGATGAGCAGACCTTACAGTAGTCTCCGTGTTTTAAAAACAAAATAAAATATCAGTTTAGTGGTACTCTTGGTAAATGACAGCGTCCAAGAACCTTGCAAAATTAAAGAAGACATAAGAAAAAAAAAAAGAAAAAAAATCCGAACCAAAAAATTGCTCTCAAGGACCTCTGGAAGAGCTGTAAGGTGTGGATGTACGGCTACAGATCAGCACTTATGAACTGCAGCCACAATAATTTGACTGACAAAAAAATGCTTCTTTCTGTACCCCTGTCCACGCATACACAAAAATGAACATGTCTGATGTTTAAGGAAATGCTGGAACAAAGGTAAAAGCAAGGCTCCTTTGTGAGAAGGGTACAAAGGGTGTTACAATGCCATTTGGGCAGAGAGGACCACATCCTGCCTCGGTAACACAGCCTGCCATGCATGCACCGCCAGCAGTAGAAGCTGTCCGTGCCCCCCCCCAGTTTATACACACATAAGACTTTCGCTCCCTGAATCGGGCCACATATAAAAAAAAAATATCTAAAATACTATAACTTATGAAACACTTTCAGCGTGCCACAGCACAGTATTTCATTTAAAATGCAAAGCATCAAGACAGTGCATGAACCAATCTGGCTACCGGGGTCACTCCGATCAGAGGCAAGCAAATAGGAAAAACGGCAGCGAGTTTGGAGCGGTATCACTTTCAACAAAGGAGGCACACGAGGAGGAAGCAGCAGCACTCCGGAAGGTATCACAGGCCATGTACAAACGTACAGCACACAGATGGTAGGACCCACTCACTGGAATTAAGACAAACCTTGAACGGTGTGGGAGCAAAAGGGTTAGTTGGGGAACAACGGAAGGTAACCCTAACTGGATTCGATACCTCCTACAGCAACAGAAAACAGCAATCCACACGTTACAGCACCTTTGGCAACACACAGCATTATTAATGATTAACTGATTTTCAGTTACGGACTCACTTTACTAACTGCAGCAACTTTATTAACTCCATTTATAAAGGGAAAAGAGTATTTAAGGGGCTATTAAGAACTCTGATTCAGCAAAGTTTCTTGCTGTACATGAACCTTAGTTCAGCAGAAGTGACAGAGATGACAAAAGGCCATTCTTATCTCAATGTTAAAAAAGGACTTAATGCAGAAACTGCAAAAACACTACGTTTTCTCTGAAACTGTGTGCAATTTTTTTTCAGAAATACTTTTGGAAATATAGAAAAGACAAGCCATTGTTTGTTACACTTATACTCCCTTTCCTCAGAAATGAACACAAAGACAGATTTCAAAAACACACATACAATTATACACCATGTATAGTATCATAAATGTTTGTTGTACATTCGATGCATTTGACAACATGGGAAAACAGACAAAGGGCATAATCACTCCCAAGATGTAAAACCAGCGAGAAATTATTTTATTAAATCATAAATGCATGCACCTAAGAATTAAGCCTTTACTATTATATTAGAGGTTAACTCTGTTCCCAATATGAGTGACCATGCAGTAAGCACTAACCACAGAAAAAAAGCATCTAACTTTTTTCATATTTCCAAAGATGTCAGCATCCTGTTCATAGTGCATTAAAAGTATTTCCAAGAAGCAGAGGGAAAATATTTTCAGCATCATAAAATGAAAGCTGCCAATGTGGTTTATTTTCATGCAAAAAGAAAAAAGAGATATCAAAGCTGGAAAGTCCTTACCACATAAAAAGAAAATGAAGTGCACAGAAGCAAAACACCTCACACTGATGAGAGAGTTACACTCAGGTGGGTATTTTAACACATACCAGTGGGACTGATTCTGTAATTGAGAACCTACTATTTTGGTAGCTCAGATTAGATTAGATTTAGTGATTATAATTAATGGAGCGGGCATTTCTTAACTTCCTCAAAACTTGCCTATGCGCGTTGCGTGTCTGTGTCTTTTTAATTCACTACACATCATTTGCACTCTCATCAGCACAGTATTTTACCCGAACTGTTATAAAAGAATTTAAATGAAAAGAGACACTAATGGCGAAGAAGCACACACATAATGTTTGGTGAGTCAAAAGCAGACAGTGTGTCATCATCCAACCTTGTTAGTGTTGAACTGCGAAGCATCAGCAAAGGGGTTAGTGCTGCTGAAGAGAGCTGGCCTACAGAAAAGACTGTTCTGCGAGAGAGGCAGGGAAGGGCTCTAAAAGGAAAACGTAATAGAAACTAAGCAAAAACGTTTTTAAATTAACCCTTTGTGACTCCTGAAACAAAAAGGTTTATTAGCAGCCTGTGCTAACCAAACAAGGTCCACTTCCTGCACTTTGCTACAGGCATATGAAGGTAAGCAGAAGTGTACTTGCCCTGTGTTTGTATCAGCTATGTTTAGCAGAGCTTAAATGAAAAGCACCCATCCTCATACCTGTTCTAGCCTCAGAAGTGCATTAAGTGCAAAATTCAGCAGCATGAACAACTGAAAATTTACTTGCTGCGATATTTGTACAATTTTGTTCAAGCATCTCAGCATATGGATACTCTTACACATTAGTCAGTTATAAAATTGTGAATTTCTAGATTAGAATAAACACAATTATTTGTAATCATGTAGTAGGGTTAGTTTTATTTTTAAAACCACAGATTAATTCTCATTATTTTATCTACCTCTTGTGGTAACATGCTCACTGTGCATTTCGCGAAAGAGGTTTAGTAATAACAGGCATCTCTAAACAGAATTCATATCCAAAAATAACTTTTATAGATCACTTTCTGCATGTGTGCATGCATCTATAATTTCCTGAATTTATAGCTTAATGAAACTAAATTCTCTGGTCTCCTCCTTAAACCATACAAGGTACTTCCTCATTATTATTTAAGACAAAAAGAGTTTTCATATTTAGACAAAATTAAAGGATGTATTCTGATCATTTATATTTCATATTCCTTATACTTTTTGGACTGTTATGTATTTTGAGATCAGAACCTGTTTAGTAAAGAGGGAACACCTCTGATTTTGCATAGCATATTGGAAATACTGTTCAATACAGAAAAGTAATTTTTACACTAGGTGTATCCATCCGGCAATTGCCTGAACGTCCTAGGGCTGTAAATTTAACAGTGCTGGATAATAAGCAGCATAGTAAGTGAACATGAATGTGAAAAGCTTGCAGCATCAACTGATACATTTACATCATGGTAATTGAATACAGATGTCTGTTGCTGTTTAAAATTTTCTTAAAGCATTTTGGTTTTTTTAAAAGTATTTGAAAATAGAAATTGCATCTCTAAACATTTATTCTCAAATATTCTTTTGCAAAGCAGAAGTAATGTAGTTTGGTAAGACAACATATGTCTTGGTTCTACAGTATCTTTAGCAATGAGAAAGTAGAGCTGTGCACAAACAAGGTTTCTTCACTGGTGAGTCACTGAAAATCAACAAGCAGTCTCCCTACAGTACAAGATTTTCTGTTTACACATGTGATTCACATTTGATTTTGTCTTTTATAAAGAAAAGTTTGGGAAAAGTAATTTGCCAGTGTAATGATCCTATTACAATTTAACCATTACATTTGTCATCAGCATAAAATTTTAAATGGTATCTTGATGAAATTTTAAGCAACTAAAACAGGCATCACAAACATTTTGCATATAAACAGTGAAATCTTAGTAAAAGAGAAAACACAAGATCAGCCACAATAATTGAAAATCTTGCCTTTTATATTTTAGCACCTAAAATACTACTGCTAGCTCAAACTCTGATCTGTGTAACAGCATTGTACTAATAAGGACTGAGTACCATGATAAAATGTGGAGCATTTGCATTTGCTTAAACAGGTTTAGCGTGCACAGTCTAGAACAAGAAAAGCAAATGTTAAAATAAAGGTATTTTTCCTTTTACTGTTTTTTCACAAAACAAATCCTAAAATAGCAGCATTTATTTTCCCTCCTTTTTTTTTAAATTTTTTTCAACCTACTTGTGTTTAGCATTTTATTAATGTGTCCAGCATGCTAAAGTATCACAAACTAGCTAGCATTTCTCTTAGCACAATGCTTTAACCCTACAAATTATCTCGGATGACAACCATGGTGACAGACTAATCCTTAGTCAGAAATACCCAGAGCAGTAGTAGTATGAAACACAGATTGGATGGGTAACTGCTTGCAAGCAAAACTATCAGCTATCTTTTCACAGCCCATTTGCATTTCTTGAGCTATTCTGGAGTACACTTAGGATCTCTTTAACTACTAGAGCAGCCTGAATGAAAAAACAAAGGGGAAGAAACCAACTTATTAGCAACATGTCACTTGAAATTGACGGCCTTGCTAAATACATAGCAGTACCATATTAAATATAGCTACTGTGTGCAGGCAGCTAGCTATCTGGGTGACTGCACATGAATGAATGCAGGAAATTCCTTTATAAGATCTTATTATAAAGTACAGATGCAGGTTTCGAAAGATGAAAACAATAAATATAATGCCATTTACAAAGATCACAACACAGCACGTGTACAGTAAGAGCATTTGCAATGTTTCTGCTTACAAAGAAACAAGGGTTTGTTAATAAACAGTCAAGAAATAACCAAGAAGCTTAATAATTGGAAAATAAAGAGAATAAAGAACTACAATCAAAAATAGCAAAGGAGCATTCTGAAAATAAAATTAAGTTGTGATAAAGCAATGGCATCATTCCATCCCAAACTGTCCTAAACATTCAGCCGTGGCAGTTTTGTTCACATCACAGCAAATGCAAAAGCCTTACTTTAGTAGCTTGAGCATCAATAACCAACATTCAACAGAGCTTTTTCATGCAACTTTACCTTAGATGACTGACGATAAAATGGGTTAGTAGTTTTCTGCCCACGGGGAGCAGAAGCTGAAGAAGGGTTATAAAGAGACTCTGGCTGGGGAACAAGAGTTATGAGACAACTAGTAAATAAACACGCAGCTTACACAGACTCTACAATGAGGAAGTTTAGTTTCTAGTGATGCAAGCAACTTATATTAAAGCTCAGTAGCTTTTGTCTGCAATGTCCATGCAGCTTAGTGACGGAAAACTTCCGTGTACTTCTAGGTCCTTTCATTAATGTCCAATGAATTTTTTAACAGGTGCTGTATTTCTGCATGCGCTCCTCAGACATGCTGTCAATCTCTAAGAGCTGGTTTTAGTTAGACTCCTACTCTGCCCCCCAACAAATTATCTTTCTTGAGGCTTTTCAAAATAGTTTGAGGACGGCGTGCTGGAGGGTAATTCCAAATCCAAATCGATTTCATTCTAAATGGAAATAATACTCAAATCAAATATTTGTTCCTAAAATAGCTAAGATGGAATTTTCAGGATTAAATATCCCATTCCCAAACACCACCACCTTGAATATTTGTTTCATCTATTACTATGTATTACATCTCTTTTCACGCTCTTTATGCTTACCTTTGGTCTGCTTATAATGCTCTGTACCATAAAGACTACAGGATTGCCTGCCTTCCGTATGGCTTCCACAGCTTGTTCATGGCTGGCATCTCTGAGGTCAATTCCATCCACCTGTAATTGGAAGACCTCACCTTAACGTTGTAAGAAGCTACAAGAACCATGAGTCTGCTTTGGGTTTTGATTAGGAAACTTTCACTAAATGCTAAGCCCAAACCTCTTGTTTTGGTGGGATTTCTACTGACTTGGCTTGAGGTCCCTCACACACAGGTTTGTGATTTCCAAGAGCACTGAAAGGACATCAAATAAATTTTTTCCGTAGTTTTGAAAACACATTTCTGAACATTCTTGGTTCAGGCCCCACACGTTTTCCCACAGGCAATGTAATATAAGAGATATGATAATAAGAAGAGATAAAGTAATCTGAAGAATGATAGTGTCTGCCAAATACCGCTTCCTGTAAATCCTATCTCAGAATAACCTACCTCTCAGGACTTGAAGAGATTTACAGACTTAAACTTGTTAGGTGCTGGAGGGTCTTTCATTATGAGATATTATATCAGCAACAGTGTACTTCTTTCCCTTTCTTTTCTTTTTTTTTTTTTTTAAAGCAAGGTCAGACCAATTTTAGCTACTAGTCACTTTCCCCAGAAGTTAAAATTTTTAGGTCAGAGCTGAAAAGCTTTGTCTCTTCTAGAAGAAAGCATTTACAAAGGATGGCTAAAGACAAATTTTTGCCTAGTTGCTTTTCATCTTCATATGCAGTGGTGTATAAAACAGTTTGTCTTGCAATCCAGGTAAGAACCATGTTATGGTGAGGTTAGCATCAGTAAAGCATTCTCACAATGACCATAATAAAAGCTAGAAGCTAACACAGAAAGGTTATTTGTTAGTGGCAATTCTTGCACACGAAGTCACATAACAAGGATTACCCCTACCTTTTTAATCGTCTAACTCTACCTTAAACTTAATCATCCAATGAAAATAAAGAGAGAATACAAACAATCTGAGAGACAAAATTCTAAATCTATGCAGAATGGAACAGACACACCAAGGCTCTCCAACTCCTCATGTCTGAAATACTTTCTGCACTAACAGAGAGAAATGCCCAGATACTCCACAACTTAAGAAACTGAAATAATCCATTCAGATGCAGTCACATTAACACAACATTAGCTACTTAATTTCACTCACGCACTCCAACTTCTGCAAGCATCATTGTCAGAGACAATCATTGCATTCATAAAAATCCAGGTATACAAATAGAATGAAAGTTTTTAAATTTGCTGCCGACCTCCCAACTTGATGTACACTGGAAACTCTTCCACCCTGCTGCAGAAAGTGCTATCTATATTAAGGTATTATTTCAAGACCCTTTATAAGGATCCTGTAGCAGACAGTAAACTGCAGTTTGAGTAGCACCATGTAAAGCAAGCCCAGTCTGATCCGGGGAAAGAATCACCATCTCTGTCAAGCTGTTTTTTCTGTTCTTACTGATGGACAGCCAGCTAAGGACATCCAGCAGGGTTAAGAGGAGTGCAGTTCCTAAATGGCCTGACACTGGAGACGGCGTAACATGTGACTTACTGATAATCACCACAGGAAAGACACATTCCTTTCAGTATGTTCGCTATTCTTTAAGCAAGAAAGTAGAAGTGGCTGCATGAGCACATGATTGGCTAAGCAGAAGAGAAATCTAGCCGAATTCTTCCCTGCAACACCACTGGCTATCCTATCCTCAACAGTGTACTTCTTTCCCTTTCTTTTCTTTTTTTTTTTTTTTAAAGCAAGGTCAGACCAATTTTAGCTACTAGTCACTTTCCCCAGAAGTTAAAATTTTTAGGTCAGAGCTGAAAAGCTTTGTCTCTTCTAGAAGAAAGCATTTACAAAGGATGGCTAAAGACAAATTTTTGCCTAGTTGCTTTTCATCTTCATATGCAGTGGTGTATAAAACAGTTTGTCTTGCAATCCAGGTAAGAACCATGTTATGGTGAGGTTAGCATCAGTAAAGCATTCTCACAATGACCATAATAAAAGCTAGAAGCTAACACAGAAAGGTTATTTGTTAGTGGCAATTCTTGCACACGAAGTCACATAACAAGGATTACCCCTACCTTTTTAATCGTCTAACTCTACCTTAAACTTAATCATCCAATGAAAATAAAGAGAGAATACAAACAATCTGAGAGACAAAATTCTAAATCTATGCAGAATGGAACAGACACACCAAGGCTCTCCAACTCCTCATGTCTGAAATACTTTCTGCACTAACAGAGAGAAATGCCCAGATACTCCACAACTTAAGAAACTGAAATAATCCATTCAGATGCAGTCACATTAACACAACATTAGCTACTTAATTTCACTCACGCACTCCAACTTCTGCAAGCATCATTGTCAGAGACAATCATTGCATTCATAAAAATCCAGGTATACAAATAGAATGAAAGTTTTTAAATTTGCTGCCGACCTCCCAACTTGATGTACACTGGAAACTCTTCCACCCTGCTGCAGAAAGTGCTATCTATATTAAGGTATTATTTCAAGACCCTTTATAAGGATCCTGTAGCAGACAGTAAACTGCAGTTTGAGTAGCACCATGTAAAGCAAGCCCAGTCTGATCCGGGGAAAGAATCACCATCTCTGTCAAGCTGTTTTTTCTGTTCTTACTGATGGACAGCCAGCTAAGGACATCCAGCAGGGTTAAGAGGAGTGCAGTTCCTAAATGGCCTGACACTGGAGACGGCGTAACATGTGACTTACTGATAATCACCACAGGAAAGACACATTCCTTTCAGTATGTTCGCTATTCTTTAAGCAAGAAAGTAGAAGTGGCTGCATGAGCACATGATTGGCTAAGCAGAAGAGAAATCTAGCCGAATTCTTCCCTGCAACACCACTGGCTATCCTATCCTCAGGCACGGGCATAACGCTCAACTTCTTTTGTATCAAATCCAGGTTTCTTCATGACAGCAGGAAAAAATGTCTCCCTAACTTCCTGCACAAGAATGGTGTAATTTGTGTAAGATTTGAAAAGGAAATAAGCTTGACATTTATTTGCATGATTTGCTATTCACTGACCGTTTCTGTTGCTATCCAATATGCCAAAGTAAAACATTTTAGCTTCACCAAACAAGCTGATTCCTACACATGCTGACTTCAAAACAGGCAGGTAGAACTGCTGGCTTTACAGACCGATGCTCAGAGTCAGCCATCTATGCTTTAGGTTGTATATTCAACTTAAAAGCTGTCTGCACACACGCATCAGCAGATGGTACTGCGCTCCGTGGCTCAAGAGGCGCCAGCTGGAGCAATTTCACAGCTGTCGGCTCAGGACCACACATCCATCTCAGCAGCTCACAAGATGCTGGGGCTATTGCAAGCAAAAGGCACTCGGCTGGTACCTCCACGATCCGATCTCCAGTTTTCAGCGTTCCGTTTTTGCCAGCTGGGCTGTCTTCCAGGATGTGCTTGATAAAGATCCCTCTCATCACTTCTCCATTACTCAGGCGGCTCCCCATCCCTCGTCCTCCAACAATGCTGATTCCCAGCGACTTGCTGGGCTCCCTCCAGAGTTCAACCCTGTTGTGACAAAACAAGAACCAAAATACATGAAAATCTGTTGTGATTATGACAATGCTGCACACTGAAGACATCAAGATTTGCACAAGGGTTTCAAAACATTCAGAAAGAACTCCTCCTTAGAAAACTTTTTCTTTTTCCGTGGGAGTTATCTCCTGAATTGCTCAGAAAGCCTATAATTCCGTCTACCGTTGTTCACTTTATTTTGGATTCTAATCAAAACTGTAAATCCTTCTCTTCATCTCTTCTTACTGGCTCTCAGAGAGTCAGTCTATAAAGTAGTAAAGCAATCAAGATACTGCTAGATTGCAGGGATTTAGCCCAATGGCAGTAAAAATCAACAGTGAATTAGTCCTGCAGCGCACAACACATTAAGTGTAGCAATTCTGTTGTTTTCCTACTCCCCTTAAAATATATTACAGGTTTCAAAATTTTTGCATTTTAAGTAAGATTTTACACTGTGCAACTAGATCTGCACTTACTTTCTGGGCTGGTTCCAGTTACTGAAAGCTGCATTTTGAAGTTCACTTTCTTCTCCCTCTCCTTCTTCACGTTCTGGAAGCTCTGGCAGTTCCCTGCTGATGAAAATAAATATGCAATTAATTTTCAAAGAACCCACATAACCACTAGATTTCACTGCAGAATTTCATGTATTGGATCACCCTGTCAGCATTAGAATTTGTACACAGGGTTCGTGTGAGGAACTTCTTTTTCAGATGTCTGTTAGAATATATGTTGTGTTTGGGCATTCCCTGTCCACTTTTCTCTGCAGTTAACTTACTACTAACTGAAATCACAAAATAAAAGACTCTGTATTTTGAAACTAGAAACAAATCAAAGCTGAAGGTAATTACTTATTGTTTCCAAAATGGAAGAAATTACAATAGCAGCATTCAAACCAGTTACTGCTTTTGGAGATTAATTTCAAGAAAACAGGAATTATTAGTCACTTTGAATATTCTGTCCTGTCACTGTAATGAATATTTGAAACTCAAGGAAAAGAACAGCATAATTAATTCTTTCCAGTATACATTCTGGACAGACCATCGATGCTGAATTCTTGTGCTGGAAGGACTGAGTATTTGTGGCAATACATAAATCAACTCCCATGGTATTTTAGAGAAGTTTAGGATGAGGCACTATTCAATCTCCTTTTTGGGTACATCAAACACCTATAAAACAGCCTTGAAAAATGTCAAAAAAAAATTGCTATCCAAAGCAAAAACTGTATTCTGAATAGCTTTCTATTGTAATGGCTGCTGATGTGAAGAAAATCATCCATCTTTCAGCTTTTCTAAAATAAAACCTATCTTTCTGAACTGTGCAAAGTGTATGGAAAGAGTTACATCTGAGAGCCCTATGGGAAGAAAGAGTAAGTCCTTTGACTCACCTGACAGTATGTGAAGCAAAAAGTTCAAGTGGCACAGCTCCCTCTGCCTGTTGTCCCAAACTGGCCCTGTACTCGTCTAAATGTTCTGCTGGCACATACGTAATACTGCAATAAAATGGGACATGATTAAAGCATCACATGAGGACCACTGGTCCTACCTTTGGTGGGTGTGAGGAATGGTTATTAAGAAGCCACTCGAAACCAATTTATATAGTTATTGACTTCAAAGCCACAACGCTGAGTTATATGAATCCTTTGTGACTTTTTGACAAACATGCATTTACGGTCAAATGAGGTAGCTGACCAGCACATAATTTTCTGAGGGCTGGCCACTCCATTTTAAGTAAATGGTGCTTGAACAACAACAAGAGTGTAATAGAGTCAATCCAGCTTCAGTCAAAACAGAGATTCCTCGTGCAAAGACAAACACTGAAGGATCTATAACATGTGAAGCATTATTACCATCCTAAATACCCTGTGTGGTGTTGTCAACACACCAGAGGGACGGGATGTCATCCAAAAGGACCTGGACAGGCTGGAGAGGTGGGCCCAGGTGAACCTCATGAGGTTCAACAAGAGCAAATGCAAGGTTCTGCACCTGGGCCGGAACAATCCTCGCCACCAATACAAACTAGGGAGTGAGGTATTGGAAAGCAGCCCTGAGGAAAGGGACTTGGGGGTGCTGGTGGATGAGAAGCTGGACATGAGCAGGCAGTGTGCAGCTGCAGCCCAGAAGGCCAATCGCATCCTGGGCTGCATCAAAAGAAGCGTTGCCAGTAGGTCCAGAGAGGTGATTCTGCCACTTTACTCTGCTCTGGTGAGACCTCACCTGGAGTATTGTGTGCAGGTCTGGAGCCCTCAATATAAGAAGGATATAGACCTGATGGAGCGGGTCCAGAGGAGGGCCACAAGGATGACCAGGGGGATGGAGCACCTCTGCTATGAGGACAGGCTGAGGGAGCTGGGGTTGTTCAGCCTGGAGAAGAGGAGGCTCCGGGGAGACCTAATAGCAGCCTTCCAGTACCTGAAGGGAGCCTACAGGAAGGCTGGGGAGAGCCTGTTTAGAAAGGCCTGTAGTGACAGGACGAGGGGCAATGGCTTCAAGCTGGAGGGGAACAGATTTAGACTGGAGATTAGGAGAGGGTTCTTCACTGTGAGGGTGGTGGAGCACTGGAACAGGTTGCCCAGGGAGGTGGTTGAGGCCCCATCCCTGGAGATATTCAAGGTGAGGCTCGACGAGGCCCTGGGCAACCTGGTCTAGTTGGGGGTGTCCCTGCTGACTGCGGGGAGGTCGGACTAGATGACCTTTGGAGGTCCCTTCCGGCCTGGGAAATTCTATGATTCTATGATTCTATAAATGCTGGCTGAAAATGCTTCTGGAAGTTGGTTTGCAGGAGGTTTTGTGCTATCCTGGGCAGTTTCGTATCTGTTTTAGGCTTCTATACTTTTGCTGAAAAATACTGCATGGGTTTCAACATACAAATGTGTTACAGCACAGCACCTACGCCACAGGAAGCAATTCCCTGCTCAACTCCTTCTTATACCCCTTCATGCACTTCCAGCCGGCTTGGGAAAGTCAGATCACCATGTCAAATGACATGCATACTCCTGAAGCCCTACTGTAACCCAATCATGTTTGAATGCCAGAAGAAGAAATGGCCCAATAGACTGGGGAGGAGGAAAACAAAGAGGAGGAAAAAAAGATTAAGGCATGAAAAATATTTCTTAAAAAAATTCCCTCTACAGGCAAAAGGACACTATCATCTAAACAGAGCTATTTAGATGGTCCTCCTTTAAAATGCTTCATCATCTTAAAAACCTTCAGTTGTTCAATAAGCAGCTTCACTATCAGATCCTAGTCTGCCAAGAAGTAAGGCTGACGGAAAAAGAACACCAAAAGAAGGGCTGTCTTCTGTCCATCACATGGTAAAAGAATTATGAACACATTTCCCCACAGAACAAACAGAGAAAAAAATATCTTGACGACTTCACATGGACATGTAAACTGCTGAGAGGAGACTCCTTCAGCTCTGAGTCTCTCTCACCTGGAGCCCTCTCCTTTCCATCACTCCCTCACTGGAATCCTCCTCTGTCTGTCACTCCCTGACTGCCACTGGTTCCCCCTCTCATTGTTTTTCTGCTGAATACAGGAAGCAGCAGAGGGCAGAACAAATAAACTTTTATATGACTAATGATGTCTGTACCAACTGTACCAAAATTGTTGGTATGCAAACTATTACAGGAGCCTAACCCTCACAAATCAATGGGCCCTGATGTTATCCAGCCGAGGGTATAAAGGGATCTGGCTGACATCACTGCGAGGCTGCTCTCCATAATCTCTGAGAAGTCGTGGTGACGGGGGGATGTCCCAGGAGACTGGAAGAAGGCATACATCACCCCCATCTACAAGAAGGGCTTAAAGGAGGATCCAGGGAAATTACAGGCACATCAGTCCCTGGGAAAGTTATGGAATGAATCCTCCTGGGGGCTATCACAAGTCTAATGTAGCACATAACTGGGAAAATCCAGCATGGATTCACCAAAAGCAAATCATGCTTGACAAGCCTGATAACCTTCTATGACAAAGTAAGCTGTGGGCTGATGTGGGGTGAGCAGTGGACACTGTCCACCTGGATTTCTCCAAGGCTTTCAACATGGTTCCCCACAGTGTCCTCCTAGAGAAATTGATGCATTACCATCTAGATAAGTGGTCTGTGCAGTGGCCAAGGAACTGGCCACTGAGGGTGATGTTAAATAGCTCCTTTTCAAACTGAAAATCTGTCACAAGTGGGCGCCCCCAGGGATGGATACTGGGTCAAATGCTGTTTAGTATCTTCATAAGTGATCTGGATGATGGGATAAAGTGTACCCTGAATGAAGTTTGCCAATGATACCAAACTGAGTGGGTAAGTGGACACTTAGTGGAAGGAAGAGACTCCCTGCAGGGAGATCTGGATAGGCTGGAAAAGTGGGACAACAAGAATCTTACGAAGTTCAGCAAGGACACATACAAAATCTTGCACTTGGGAAAACATAATCCAAGAGTGCAGCACAGAAAGTGTACCCTGAATGAAGTTTGCCAATGATACCAAACTGAGTGGGTAAGTGGACACTTAGTGGAAGGAAGAGACTCCCTGCAGGGAGATCTGGATAGGCTGGAAAAGTGGGACAACAAGAATCTTACGAAGTTCAGCAAGGACACATACAAAATCTTGCACTTGGGAAAACATAATCCAAGAGTGCAGCACAGGCTGGGTTCTACCCGGCTGGTGGAAAGAGACCTGGGGGTCCTGGTGGACAAGAAGCTCGAGATGAGTGAACAGTGGGCTGCAGCAGCAAAGAAAGCCAACAGGATGCTGGGTTGCATCAACAAGGGCATCAACAGCAGAGATAAAGAGATTATCTCACTCTGCTCAGGGCTTTTCAGGCCACAAATGTAATACTGTGTTCAGTTTTGGGCCCTATTATACAAAAAAGATGTGGACAGGCTGGAACACGTCTAGAGAAGGTCCACAAAGATCATCAAAGGACTGGGAAGCCTCCCATGTGAGGAAAGGCTGACAGAATTGGGTTTTACAGCCTTGAGAAAAGAAGGCTTAGGGGAGGCCTTATCACCACGTTCCCCTATTTAAAGGGTGGCGATAAAGAAGATGGAGACTCCCTTTTTACAAAGAGTCACATAGAAAAGACAAGGGGCAATGGGAGAAGTTACTCCTGGGGAGATTCTGTTTGGACACAAGAGGAAAATTTTTCACAATGACAGCGATCAGCCATTGGAATAATCTCCCCAGGGAGGTGGTGGATTGCCCAACATCGAACACTTTTAAGATTGAGCTGGACAGGGTGCTGGGCCATCTTGTCTAGACTGTGCTTTTGACAATAAAGATTCGACCAGACAATCCTTAAGGATTGTCTTCCAACCTGGTACCCTATGAAAATCACCATAAGCACCATCTTTATTTGTTGTCTTCATCAGTGCCCAAGCACATTCCCTACCTCCTCTCACATCTATCATATCTAGAAAAGTGCAGAAAATGGTCATTAAGGAGGCGCCTACGGTGCTGAGCATGAGGAACTGTCCAGTTCTTTTAATGGATATTTCTAAATCATCATACTATCACCAGCTTTTTTTTCTTCCTTAAATCTCCTCCCTCTCCTACTTCGGCATTTTTTCAAACACATAAGTGTCCTGTGCTTGACACAGAACGTTTTCATTTTCAAGTGCCAGGGAGTTAACATACACTAGGGAACAAACACTCAGCAGAAGGTCACTGACTCTTACATGTCATTCCTGAAGGCATTCTAGCACTGGAAAACACGCAAGACATGCAGCAGTTATTTCACAAAACCCTAGCAGTGAAAGGGAAGAGAAGCAGGAGGAAAAAAAAGTTTTTGAAAATAACCACTACTACTTCTCAGCCATCTCCAACTCCAAATGCACTGAACCGTAGCAAAGTGCCAGTATTATGGTCACAAAACTCTTACAGGGCAAATGCTGCTGCAGAAGCACCACTCAGTAAGCCCATAAGAATATCTTGCCTCTACAAAACTACAAGACATGCAAGATGCATTTCAATGAAAGAAAATGTATTATTTATCCAGTTACATTCACCTGTTTCATCCCAATTAAATTAATCCATTTTCACCTTATAAAAATAAGTAGGTAATATTCTCCCTTGAAAGACAGCTGCAGTAAAGAAACCAGAATTGCAATCAACCTTCCTGATGGCAAGAAGGCTTGGACAATCTCCTTTATACTGAACTGTAGCTGGAAGCTATTGTTTAAAGTATGGAAAGGAGAACAGCAGACTCCTAAAGAGGAAACAGATATGCCCAGTTTCAGCCTCGATGTAGACTGGCAGTAGAAGTCTTTACCTCATACTTCTGTGCAACATCAGCATTACAGATCAGCTAAGAGGAAGGCAAACCATATGGACTCCAACTTCTTGGATAGCATGTTGTTCTTCATTATACAAGTAAGCAACTGACATAGTGCTGGGACATACAAAAGGTACTGCTCAAAGGCTGCTCTCAAACAGCCTTATATGCTACTCACAAATTTCTCCCAAAAGCTGTTAGATACATAAGCTTCCCTTTCTGAGAACAGAACAGGTTCACTCCACCATTTTGAAATATGCATCTAAAATTGAGCAACTGAATTAATGTAGTCAAATTTAGATAGTATCACTGGGAGCTGTTACATTTTAGTTCTGTGCAAAATTACATTATTTCTATTCTAGTGCTTAACTACAGTTCTAATTGCCTGATTTTAAGTACTCAAAGGAACATTCAATATGTTTTTAACTGTTCATTCTTATCTACAACTAAACTTCAATAATGCTTCAGCTACTTCATAAATATAACACTTAACTAAATAGAACATTCACTTGCATTTTGGAAAAAAAAAAAGTAGCACAAAAAAGAAAACTAAATTATATGGATCAAATGCATGAAAAGGTATATTCTGTGTAGGAGTTCAACTTCCTTTCTTGCTCATGATTTCCACGGTTCAGTTAACTGTAAAGGTTTCCCCAGCTGCTCTTACTAGCTAAGCTGTATTATTGACATGACTGTCCTCCTTGTCTCTCTCCTTTGCACGTTACTATTGAAAGGAAAAGTTATACCAAAAAACTAGCTCTGAAAATTAATTTTAGGAAATATGTATACCAGAAAGCTGTTTGCTAAGTGACTGTCCTGCTCCTGCCTTCTGTGACACAACAAGGCCAGATTGTACTAAAGACCTCAGATTTACGTCTGCAAAGAATTTCTTCCCTCCTTAGTACTTCATGGGCAGACATCCTACAGTTATCAAATCCATCACTTGCTGGATCACTATTGTAGCTCACTTCCTGGAGGTCGCAGTGAGGTCTGAAGATATCCAACATCATCCTGAACAGCTTAGCGTGCCACTGGCCCGGAACAAGAAGGGTATTGGGCGTGCCTGGTCAACTTTGTTGACCTTCTGCTGTGAAGTGGAAATGAAAGTCTACCCAGGCACCTGAATGGTTCATCTGCAAAAGGGACTGATAAATGCCTTAATATGGTTACAGGGAAGACAGTAAGAGAAACAAGTTCCAGGAAATAGGAATCAAGACACAGAAAACAGGAAACAAATGACTGCCCTACTATTGCATTGTAATTCATACATTGTTAAAGTTCAACAATTTCAATGGACAGTATATGCAGGGTTTAATCATTTCCTTTCTTTCACAGCTGTACAGTTCGAAGGAGAAAGTGTTCTGGTTTCCTTTCTTGAGAGCTACAACCACTCTCTTCTCCCCAGAGATATGCACTAGTAATGAAAGCAGTGGCAATGGAAACACCAAAAGGCGTACATATGAAAATATCTTGTCAACACAACACTGCATGCAGTACAGAGGAACATTTATCACATGCTTGACTGAACAGCCACACAAAACCTTGAAACACCAACAAACCAAATAACAAAGTATGGAAAATGTTCAGGACAAATTACTGTCATTGACATTTAAGGTCTAACTTGAATCTTTTTATACATGGAAGTAAAATCTAAGTGCCACGTAAGTGCCACAGAAAATATGACACTGAGATTAATCCAGATATCAGTACATCGTACTCCCGCCAATTCTAGCAGTGAACCCTGTATACACACACACACACACACACGTATGTACGTGCTCTGAGCACATCTGGGGTGGCTGTCACAGATGAAATTTAAAAATATTAGCAATAATAGCAGGTGTTTTCATTCCAGTCTGAGGAATTATGCTCCAATCTTCAAGTTTAAAGCCATATATATATATATATACACATGTATATGTACACACACAGTCATACCTTTTTTAAAAAACAGATATATACACTTCCACATGTGCAGCCACACACGTGCACACACACATACAAAGAGTATGTACCTATATCTGGATGTATCCCTGACATTACTATGGATGTCATAAAAGCATGGAATGATTTTACAGACAAGTTGCAACACAGAGCCATAATGAGTTTCTAAATTGCCAATACTCACACATAACAGAGGGCCTGATCATCAGCAGGTGCTGGAGAAGATCTAGAATGTGAAGCATACGATGCAGCATCTTTTTACAATGGTGTTAACAAACGTCAATGTCTCATGCTGAATGCGACAGGCATACTTAATGTAGTTAAAAGTGTGAGCTGCTTTATTTTTTTCTCTTTTTTTTTCCTTTTTTTTTCCCCCTTCTACCTCCGCTTCATCTACACCTCCCCCAGAAAGCATCAGCTCTTTATTATAATCTACAGCAATGATTATTAACAAGCATGGAAAATGGAATTGCAATCTATCTTTTATTTCTTAATCAGTAATTCATCCCTGCACTTTAGGCAGGTGAATTCTGATTCAGCTCTGTAATTATCTGACAGATGTTACAAGCAGCTGCTGCTGAGCACAAAACCCTGGCTATTATTACAGAAATATAAGAGCTCCTGGCAAGGTGGAGTGAGAAGTGAAACAGAATGCATAAGGCCACACATCTGGCTTTCCCACATACAAAGGAGAAAAAAATAAAATACCTAAGTCTGAAATTTAAATTGCTCGTTCTTCAACTATTCAAAATCAAATTTCCTTTAATAAAATAAAACAAAGCCTTTATGTGGAAAATACGAACAGCTTTATGTTTCTCAACAAATCATATTTGCCACTGAAACACAGCTTTGATATTAAATACTTCTCTCTAATCACTCTTTGGGGGCATCCTGCTACCCAAGAAAAAGCTCAGTCTAAAAGTTATGGTAAAAGCTTTTCAGCCCTGCATGGATAAAAAGAAATTATATAAAGATGGCCTGCAAATCCTGCATGGTGGTACACCACATTAGATCTGAAAGGACATCTATATAGTTGTGTATCCCTCTCAGCAAGCAGGAAAAACTATCACAAGATAATGTTCTGTATCTGCAAATTTCTGATTTGGGACATTATCCCCATCTTTGTATCATAATATTTTTCCAGTATTCTGTACTGCTCCTGAAAGTACCAATTAACAGAATAGTTCAATTATGCTGAATAATTTTGTATCATAACTATGTAGGCCCAAAAATATTGTCTTTACTCTTGCAAGACTTCTTCAGAAGCTACCAAAAGATTTGATTTTACAACTCTTTGAAGTGCAGAAGCCAGATTCACTTTAAACCCTTATCATGTGAATGCACTGAAGAACATAAATAGAAAATGAAAGACAAAAATCGAAAGTAAGTACATAAATAGCAACTGCCCCTTTTCTGTGAGATCTTTCAGAAAGGGGATGCACTGTTCTCTGGAAAATCTGAAAATTCATGTCTAAGACAAGATTTTGGCATTTCCAATGTATCTGCAGCAGACTAAGACTACAAAACTAAACTTTAGTCAGATAGTGTAAAATGCAGCAGCTATAAAAGGATAAGCACAAATAATGAACACATCTGTGGCTGATCATGTAACTACAGCACTAAGGAAAACTCCTCACAAAAGGATGGTGCTGAAGCATTTGTGTATCTAAGCAGACGTACACACACATGCATGCACACATATTAAATTATTTCAGTCGTGGCAGTCAGAATTGTAATACAGTTTGAAAGCCTACCATAATAATCAATGCCACATTTTATCAATGCTGACTCACTCATATTCGTGACAGCATTGACAACAATGTAATTCATTATATGAGCATATCCCATTACTTAAACAAGTTTGCATTAAATCATAATCCTAACTGCATGACACCCGTGGGGGAGACAATGAAACCTACCACCCACCATGAAGATACCTGGCCTACATATTCCCAAAATGTGAGGTCTCTTCAAAGCTAGAATACTTCTGGGGAAGGACGGCATGCCCTGCAGTCCATTTTGAACTGACAAAAACCACAGAGCTACCTGCAACGATACTGGGACTGAACTGATCCCTTTCAAAGCAAGGCTCTTAAATAAGTAACGGCATCTATTACAAACAGCTCCATTAATCCCATTTGCAGATCTGACCCAATCCGTGCTACCATGCGTTTGATAAAAAAAGCTACTAGTTTTTTTGGCACTGTAAACCCAGCATTGGTGTGTCTAAAGCACTGTCCACAAGCGTAGGAACAACCTCATTTCTAGATGGTGTATGTGGGCAAAGTTAACTCCACAACCATGACAGTTATACAGAACTGTATTTCAAGGGAAATTTAAAATTCAGTAAATTGAGTGAACTTGAGAACAAGAAACTTTCTCATCAAGCACATAAATTTTTCAAAACTTGTCTTAATTACTTCAAGTTTATAGTAGTGCTCCCAAGAGTAGATATTTATGCAGTTGAGCAACAGCTCCTTTGTATGTACTAATAAAAAATCGGAAGTAACTTAACCAAACAGACTGTTCTGCTGTTTGTCACTGAAGTACTGAAAATGTTTTAAGTATAACTTTTCTGCATTAATATCATGTGTCATACTTTCTGTCTGGCAGTCAAAACCAAAATCTATTACAAAGATCCCCATCAAATGAAATCACTTGTGCAATGGCCAGGACAATCCAGCTTTGAGAAACACAAACACCTTGAGAAAATTCTTACTTTCTTTAGAAGACTATGAACACAAAACTCTGACTAATCCCATTCCTTCAATAAAACCAGGGCAGTAATGAAGATGATTACTAATGACAGTAATAACTTTTCTAAGAACGTCCAAAGCCTCTCACACAAGTGATTTTATCTTTCAAACCCATAAAGCTGTAATCTGAAGGTGAATTATCCAGCTGTAACTTAAAAGGTAAACTCATGTTGTAGAAACAGACAAAATTTTCATTTAGAATACTTGCATAAATAAGCAAGGTTTCATTATTAGCATCTTCATACCACAATACATCACCTAGCTTTACCTACTTTATATCTGGTCCAATGAGCGAATGCCTCCTGAGCATAGCCCGGGCTTGTGCATTGGTTAAGTTAGTGGTTGACTCTTCATTAATGGACAGGATGCAGTCCCCCACACCAATCCGTCCATCACGACTTATTGAGCCTCCATGGATGACGCTGCGGACTATCATTCCTGAGCCATCTTTATTGGAACTTACCGTCATCCCTACAGTGAAAAACACATAAAATAATTAATAACATCTTTGAGCCCCAAGCTTTGAGCTCCAAGAAAAAGAAATGTAACCTGGAGCAGGGAAGGTAAAAGCCAGCCAGCCATCCTGACAAGTCAGCAACCTATAAACATTGCTCTTGTTCTCCCTTGCATTTCCTTCTTTCCAACAGGAGACAGAAGTCACAAATCACAATCACAGTATCTTTATTTTACCTTGTGTCATTTCACATATCAGGCTCAATATGAAAAAGACTGTTGAAAATTTAAGCAGAAAATATATTAAAAAGGTAACGAAATTGATTCTAAAACACCCAAATCTACGAGTCTTCTGGATGGTTCACTGAGTTATATGCCACATTTAGTTTGGTTTAAAATGGTTCTCTTTGGAATGGAGCTGCAATAATTAAGCAGTTAATTAGGTGAATACGATCAATACAACCATTCCCATATTTTCAACAGAAAGGCTGAATTAGATGCCCTTGAGATAGTGGCTGCCTTCCTGCTGTCCTAGGTGGGCCATCACTTCAGCCTGACTTCTGTGAGAGCCCGCACACTGCTGATGGATACAGTCCACTACTGGAGTTACACCACCTGCTGTGGCACAGCAGGACACTACTTCTCAATGTTCACACACACCACTTAACTCCACTTTCTTTTCACAAATGGGAAATGAGACAGAGATGCTCTTCCCCCTTCTCCCCCACGGGGAGCCCACAGTGGTGCTGGGCTTCACATGTCTTTGTTACTGTTCTTACATGCATGAGTTGTCACTGTTATTTTCAGGGCAGTTGGTGCTCGTGAAATCAACGCTGTTGACAGTTCTAGGAAAAACTGTTATTCACTAAGGCAACGCAAAGGTAGCTGAAGGGCCAAAACCCTAGTATTATTAATTACTACTACACTTGATCTTAGCACTGGAACAGGTTGCCCAGGGAGGTGGTTGAGGCCCCATCCCTGGAGATATTCAAGGTGAGGCTCGACGAGGCCCTGGGCAACCTGGTCTAGTTGGGGGTGTCCCTGCTGACTGCGGGGAGGTCAGACTAGATGACCCTTGGAGGTCCCTTCCGGCCTGGGAAATTCTATGATTCTATGATTAATGCTGCCAATTTATTTATTTTTTTTTCCCACCAACATGGCAAAGATGAAGCCATTGAAGTAAGGGCACCTTACAGTGTAATTGGAGAAGGAGGCAGTGACCACCTCACTAGGTGTTCTGGTTTTTCATGTAAACATCAGGCTAGCAAGCACTGGGAGTGCAGTTGTGTGTCTGCAAGCCCTTACCTTATTGTCCAGACTGTCAGTGGAAAGAAGATGACTGCTATCCAAAGCAAAACCACCAAGGATACTGCATATGAGAAAATTCTCACTATTTATGTACAAACATGGCTACATAAGACAGAGACTGAACACTTTACTCTGTGGCCTTAAACCTTGTGAGATAAACGGCCTCAACAGTTTAGAACGTTTATAAGCTACCCAGACTTTATAAGCTACCCAGGCTACCCAGACTCAGCCAACCATACAAACCATGCAAACATCTGCCTATGTAACTGTCTCAGAGAAAAAAATAAAATACTGTAACCATTCAAAGAACACCACTAATCTGAATATTAATTTGTGCTTTTTAGGACTCCTTCCAGAAAGTAAAAATTTCTTAATAGTGTTAGCTCCTCACACCCATTTGTAGCTGAGATCAATGTAGCTGTCTAAAGTATGAAACAGTGGCCCTGACAAGCAAGGAACAGCCCAATAAGCTTCTTAGACACAGGAATACAGAATCACAGAATCTTCTAGGTTGGAAGGGACCTTAAAGATCATCTTGTCCAACCGTCAACCTAACTGACAAAAATAGACACATACATGTACTTCTACTTTGGTATGCACAAGTCAAGGCTTACCTTTTGGAAAAACTGCAAACCCCATCTTCATGATGGCACTTTATATTAAGCAGATGAAAGAATATGATGTTACCATTGACTGGAGATTTATGATTTGCCAAGTAATGACGTCAGCTGTGGTCAGGCATAATTTAAACACGGGTGTATCAGACTGGTGATAGAGGCACACAATGCCACTGATTTATTGCCTTACTATTACAAAAAGAGGTAAAGTGCCTGTCCCCTATCCCTCAGATAAGTAATGCTACAACGTTGAGTGCATCACAGGCAGCATTTGCAGATGCCGCCCTGGGGTGGATGCCCCAGCATTTACACTCACATACTCCTTCCAACAACCTTTTCTTTACAGATCTGCTCACACTAGTTGTGAATGTAAATGTAAACATGAATGTAAATCTGAATGTAAACACGACTCTGCAATACAGTGGTCTCCGCTAGAATTCCAGCAGCGTGCACAGAAAAGCAAACTGCCAAGGAAACAGCTGAAATGTGGTTTGAAATTCTGAACCTAGCTTTGCTGCTCGGTCGAGCCAGCAACAAACAACAGTATTACTGAGGCTAGTGTAATAACACTTCAGAAAACCACCACTCCCGGCTTCTACGCTGACACCCTCATTACAACAGATCTGAAAGGCTGATGTCACACTTTGGACAGCTACAGTTTCAGGTTAAAAATGCAAATGCCACTGTCAAGTTGCCAAATGAATCACACAGGACAATGGCATTTCAGCTCTTCTTGCATGTGGGTGCTCTGTCCTCTTACCTTTTAAAAATCACAATGAAGAGGTTACAGCTCCAGCTGCGGCTGGATTTGAAGAGCTGTTGCAAGCTATCGGTGACACCACTTAAAAGGAAAAAAGAAGTGCCAGTTCTCAACTGAAATAATTGATGCAGCTGCAGCTTTCAGCAACATTCACAGCTCTTGATTTAGCTCCTTTTGTAAAAATGAAAGTTAAAAGCAGTGCAGTCATGTGTGTAAATTGGTCACTGTGCCCAGGCAGCTTCGCAGGCCAGAGCACACATAGACTTGAAGAAAAAGACTACAGTCAAAAGCCAGGAGAAAGCATTATTCAGATTTGTACTGTCTATATGCGAAAGCCAGCCTTACTTTTCATGCATGTAATGTCTGCCAATGTGCACCCTGTCCCAAGTTTGCATTTTTATGCTGTATTACACGTGACATGAAATTTGCCTTTTATGTTCACTGTATTTAAAACCCTCATAAGACATACATGAAAAACACTGCTCCATTAAGTTAAGAGGTTATTGCAAACAAAACTTTAACAAAATCCAAATGCCTAGAACTGCACTATGACGTGCACTTTATGCAGCCTGGTAATGAGGCCAGTAAAGCTCGTAGTCACCCAAGCACCTCATACCAACGAAAGTATAAACTTATACTCACATCAGCCTTGCCTACAGCTTTATATTTTGGGGATCACCTCCTGATCCAGTTTTGAGGCTGACTGTATTACAAAGGAGAATGCAATATGGGCAGACTGAGCATCCAGACACCAGAGGGCCGATTGTTCCAGGCAGAAGTGCCCACTGAACCACAGCATCACAGCTCCCCAGCCACCTCTGCACAGCAAGGGAGTCCTCAGTGGTGGCTGTTTATCAACAAGGGGCCCACAGCCTGCTTTCAGGTTGCTTTCCATAGACAACTCATCCTAAAGCATTTGTGGAGTCAATGCACTCTGCCAGCATCCACACAAACTCCTGCCCTACCAACACCAGAGAGCCTTCAAGGATGCGCAGCTGGCTGGAAGAAACGGCAACAGGAACCTAGACCAAAGCAAATGAAACCACGTACAGGAACGTCACTGCTCCTCACAATAAAGCCTCCCTCGCGCTGGCTGGGGAGGACACTAAGCCCATGCCACCCCTCACACTTCCCAGGGCTGCATTAGATATCAGGAGAGGACAACAAAAATGTTTCCATCTGTTGTGCCTCTTCAGTTCAAAATGTGCCTCTAGCCAGTATGCTCTCAAAGCTGCAGATTGCAGATACTTAAAACTCTGAAATTATCCACAAAATGATAGCATCACTGAGTTAAAAATACTACCTAATAAATGTATCAATGATCTGATTTTCAGAAATACTGGGGCACTTAAGATACGAGTACAAACATGTAGCAAGGAAGCGAACACCTTGTTTAGACCCTTTTGACCATTCTCAGAAAGTAAGATCATTTTGTGTTTACATATATTTGAAAGTCCAGTCTGCAGCTCTTTGGCCAAAGTGTTCTTTTCTACAGCATTCCTTGGCTATACCTCCATTTTCCACTGTACTATATAAACATATAGACATTAAAAAACAGTGTATTAAAATAGTTCTGTTAACATTAAGTAAGACAAAACTCCTTTAAGGGACAAAAAAAAATCTCAGTGAGACTGGACACTTTTGTGTTCATGGTGACATCAAATGGATCCACTGACATCACAGCCAAACAGGGCAAGAGCAGCAAAGAATTAATATCCCGTTAAGTCTTCCCCACTAAAAGGGAAATGCTTAGTCTTTACCATTAAATCAGGAAATGTGAGAAAAACAGAAAGCTGTGTTCCTGAACAGGTTACAAAAAATGTTAGCTACCTTACCTAGACTTGAATTGCCTTTTGCAATAGTGATTGTCTTCTCATACACGTTTTTCACCGAATTTGGGGCTGTGGAACTTCCCTCCAAAGATACTGGGCATCTCTTTTCCATTAAAAGCACTTGATCCTAACGCAAAGGAAAATAACATCAGTTCAGTATACAGAAATAAAAAAAATGAATGGAGATACAGACCTCAACTCATCTTACCTCATACAAAAGCTAGGTGCATAATTAACATACATATCCTTATACAGACACTGGAAACGTTGGTCTATCAAAGAGCAAACCAACATACATGAAGTTTCTGTTTTCATTCAGGTAATAAAGCAAATCTACCAAAGTACACTTTTTATTTAGGGACATCAGTTACACTCGTAAAATTTGTGGGGTGAATTCAAGGGTTCTCGGACTCATTCACTGCAGATGTCTGACAACATGCCAGTGCTAAAGTAACAAATCTTCTAAGAAACAGTAGCTCTTTTAAGAATGTCTTAATAAATCACTGAATGGAAGGAAAAAGAAACACGTCGCAGTGACACATAAGGGAATATTCATGTTTGGACACTGTGGCATCACAAGCCATTTTGTAAGCTGAACTGCGCAGGCTTGCATGAACACCAGGATGCACCTTAGCACTACAGCCCCTAAGCTTCCTAGGCCTGGTTTCCAGCTGTGCATCTCCTCTTTGCACCAATTTGCTCTGTGGAGCTTACCAGGGGATAAGAAAAGCCCCCTGGCCTGCCTAATGGGTACGCTGTGGTCCAGCAGCGTCTACTGCTGTGAGGTATGAGCAGAATTTTATATACCCTTGTATCGCCAGACTCTGGGAGATGACTATCTTGATGCCATAAATTATCTCATGTTTTAGATAGGTCTAAATCCTTAAGTGTTGATGTGAGCTACCATATCTGATGTAAATTTATAATCAAACCACCACAGATGGCTGTTGGCCAGTGTCAATTTCTGAGAGAGATTCTATGGTATAACCGGGCCTTTCTGTAGGATTTTAAAAAATTATTATTAAAAAAAAAAATCATTACATTTCCAGTGGGATCAAGCTGCGTGGCAGTAGCAATGTTTGTACTTAGTGCAATTTCTGCTGTTGTCTGAGATCCAGTCCATGTTGCTATGTTTTCGCTTTCATTTTGGTTGATATCCGAAACATCCAAAGACAGAAGATCCTTTTTAGGAAAATCAGTTGCAGTTTCAAGACTATTATCCACTACAGACTTTTGCTCTCTCACGCTCTGATTCAGATCCATATTGTACAGATTCTTGTCAGATACACAGCAATCAGCTGCAGCATTTGAATGGTCCTCTCCAATGGACTGTTAAACACAGGAGACAATGAACAATCAACATTTCTTCATAATACAAAGTGCATTTCATGCTAAAATCTTAAACAGAAACTAATCTCACAGAATTTCAAATACTTGTTTTAACATAAGTGTCTTCAGTAGATCCCTACAGGCATTTTACTATAAAATATACTTGATTTCTCAGAAAATTTCAGAAATACCAGAAATTAATGAAGTTACTGCTGAAGGCCAAATTCCAATTTGGTACTCTTCAATAACCCTCCACTAACTTCAGCAAAGTAACATCCCCTCACACATTCTCAAACTAGACATAACTGCAGCAAGTTATAAATATTAAAGCATCCGATTGTCTTTCTCAGGTAGAGCTTTGCAAGACCAAGGTCTTTACTTCCAAAACACTTAGCAAGCAAAAAGGAATTTTGAGCAGCTCAGACAATAAGCATGCAACCTAATTATCCATTTAGCTGAGTAGAAACGTATTTAGATATCCCTTCCACACAAAGAGGAAAAAGTAAAAAATTGGTCAACTATCAGCAAAAAATGAACACGGACATTTTGAAGTGTGACAACAATGAAATAAAATGATGCAGCTACAGAAGCTTAGCAGTTAGTACTTATTGCAAGTGTATTGATTACGGCTGCAGTACCAGGCTTGGTCTCTACACAAATTTGTTTTGACTTTCAAGATTCCAAGGTGCTCCATTTCAAATATTTTAAAGGATTCCAATAATTACAACATTCTGAAAAAAAATAATTTCAATACTCTCTAGCTAAGCTTTCAAAATTAATAATTTTAAATGCTAATGCTATTAGATATCAGAAAGATATATGAAGGACTTACAGGCTCTGTATCAGCATTAGGGATTTTTCTCTGAAACGTATTAAATGTAGCCAAAAGAAGGTCTACCTCTATCCGTCTCAGTTGTTACCCACTGGTCCTATGAACTCTTCTATTTCATTTAAAAAAAATAAGGAAAATATGTTTCCCAGGATTTTGGGATATTTTATACCATTAGTTTTTCTCATCTTTCATGAATTGTATACATGCTTTCTCTGTCCCCAGACTGTTGTCAAAAAAGGTTCCCCTGTAAATAAGTGGTTAAGTAGCATCTGAGAAGATAATTGAGCAAAGCCTAAATACAACTAATCTGTATGATGTAATCAATAAAATAATTTCCTGCCTTTTGGAAAACAGAACATTAGGACTATAACCTATTTGAATTATTTCATAAGGTTTCAAAGACAGCTGGGACATCTACTTTTAAGTCTGTTTTGTATCCATTTACAAATCAGTGAAAATAAGACCCAGTCCATGATCAACATGCATTCTATATGCCGTATGTACATATTAGAGTCGTAGCATATGCCCATTTTTATTTTTGTTTCATTGAAAGACAATGATGTAATTTTTGAAGATAAATACAATGTCAGGAATTTGCAGCTACAGCAACATGTGGTCCCATTAGGGCATTTGTATTACTTGAAGTTTTTTTCAACACCTGTTTTAAAAGTGAGAGCAAAGGCATTCAGAACCTCTTAACTTCACTGCAGTCAAAAATAGCTGAAATACCTCTGCATTCCTAATAGCATCAAAAATCAATTCTTTCATTTTTATTGCATTTCACTTACTTCAGAAGTCTTGTTTTATGAATAGGTTTTCTCACTATGTTTACTTTGTGAAGTCACTCATAATTGCAGAGTATAAAATATTACTTGATGAGAACTTAATACTTCACAGTGGTGCACTGAGAGGAATACTGAAAAGTCAGGACCGTAATCTTTGAAAACGCATGTAAACTGAAGCCATCTTTAAGTCAATGCTGAAAATAATTTAAGACAGCCTCAACGTGATAGATAATGTAAATCCAGCCTCCATCTCATAAAATGCTTCTCAGCATGCCAAATGCGTAATCCATTTAAGTAACAATTACAGAGAGATACAATGCAATCTGTCCCACTGTCACAGCAGAGACGTGCTCTTTTCTGGATTAGGAGGAACATTAGAAGATGAATTTAGCTTTCCAACCAGTGCCTTGTAAGGGCTGAACATATTCCAGAAGGGATAAAGGGAGTTACTAGAGCTCAGGTGTGGAGGAAAAAGCAGCTACTCTGTTCAAGACCACAGACTGCAAACGCTGGAGAAGTCCCTACAATGTTCCTTTCAAAGACCACTGCGAGGAAAAACAACTTGGAAGACTCCAGACTGGCGAAATAAAGCTACAGATTGCCAAGAAAAAAAGCATGAAAAATCAGGAAGAGAAACAAAACGCCAACTCTGATACAAACAATCAAATCATTACGGGTATGTGGCCAGCAAGAAAAAAAAAACAATAAACTGATCTTTGTAATGCTCTTAAAGAATTTATCTTCGTTTATTGACTTTAAATAGAAATTATTAGCAATCAGGTGTGTGATATATACGGATTTACTTTTAATTACTGTATCATTATGAACATTCAAGAACACAGTAAACGAATTAGCAAACGTATTAAATATGAAGCATAAAAGCAAACCTTAGGATGAAAATTTACTCTTGCTTTTTCTACCTAAAATATTGTAAAATAATGCAGTTATTTTGTGTTACCGCTCTTTAGTGTACTCTGTAGTAACAATGATTAAGTTTTTATAGCAGACTACTCACCACAGATTTAACACTAGAAACATCTCACCATACTTTATCTGTCTATACAAAACAAAAATCCAAGCTCTTAACCTTCTAGCTGCCCCTCTCTTCAACACAGACATCTGAAAGACAACAGCACCACCCAAAACAAAACTGCACTTTAATCTGCTAACAAATAGTGCAGTTTGAACCAGGATGACATGAGACATCTAATAATACAGCGTTTTCACACCTACAATCAAAGCTTTTAATCAATAAAACCGTCCTCCTTTTTACCTTGGGAGTTGGCAATGGAAGAGAGAAGCTGAAGTTCAGGTCACCGCTGCTGGCACTGCCATGCAGAGCTATCATTGAAGCCTGGAAGACGTCACCCTCCAGAGAATACTGCGATGCAAAGGTGGACTCATCCACTAGATCTGCCTCGCTGGAGTCCACCTAGCAACAAAAGCAATTCAATCAGCCAGGCTATCTGTTACCCTCACACCACCTAAGCCCCAAACACATGCACCTCAGCCACTACATTCTGACTGACACTTCCCTTCTTTTTTTCTCCCCACCCCCCCCCCCCCCCCCCTCCATGTTTTACATCGGAGTTACATTTGCACAGCACAGAAGGAAAAATTTCAGCTTCAGTTATAATTTATGTTACTACATCTTAAGAGGCTGCAAAGAACATCTGAAGTAAAGCGAGAGTCCCAACTGGAGTAAGTTGCAGGGCTGAGGTAGGCTCATGCCTGTTAACAGAAGTATGAGGTATTGGGAAAATTCTGCTGTGCACTCTGGCATCAATATTTTCATTTCTTTAAGGCTTTTTTTTTTTTTCTTCCTTTTAAACTTTCTTTTACAAGAATTAGCCCTGAAAAAATAATGAGCTTCACTTAGTGCAACCTGTCAGGCACGTTCCTTCCACTCAACTTCACAGGTTTGGTTGCTTTCAAAAGGGTACAAAAAATAATCTTCTGAAAACTGCAATGCTTTTCAATACATTTATATGAAAAAATGATTACATTATTTTTTATTATTTCCAAAATCATAAAATTTCCATTTGAAAACAAGATTCATATGGACATTTCTCCGGCCTTATATGATAAGGAATCAAATAGAATTCTAAAAAGAGTTCCAGACATGGATGTGCACAGTATTTTCTGGTGTTTTTTTTTCTTAAATCGAATACAGTTTTTATCATGACTCATATACTTTCAAATACTAGAAAAAAATTAAGTCCTAAAAGACTTAACTTATGGTCTTATTTATGGTCACAACACTTTGATTACAACTTCATTTTCCTTGGCATAGCTCAAGAAAGCAAAGTATGATAAATAAAGTGAACAATAAAAATGATCAGTGAGTACAGAGCTATGTCCGCACCATAAACTTGTATGAAACAGCCAATTGCACCGTATCTGCAGGGAGGGGACCTAACTTGTTTTTCAGACTCTGTGGTTAGTAATACTATGAATTCATTACGTCATATTCACAAAAGCAATAGCAACAATCTCCAGTGATTCAACATATTGATTCCTTTTTGGGGTACAAATGATATTATTATTATTATTATTATTATTATTATTATCATCTCAATCCTAAAGACCTAACAGATAGTTCAGACTGCTCCTTTGGTCTAACTTACTTTCAGCCCATCTTCTGGAAAATGTAGACTAGTGTTACTGAAGCTATGCCCTACAAAAAGGGATTGTGAAAAAAGTGGGCAGACCTGTAGAATCCGGATATAGATTTGTCAATGAAAATAGTATCTCATGAGTCCACTCTGCATCTTCAAGTGGGCGACTGCACATTCAATTTCATATTTTGCACATTTAATTAGTTAGCAGACAAAGTGACAATTTAACCTTATTATCTGCCACATATTTTCACTCTTCTAACATAATTTTAATTATTTTATATGAATCACAGATAGAAGTCAAATTTTTAAATACTTAAATTTTAATCTGATCTGTTCAACTCATCTTCAATTAAAGGATATTTATAATAAATAATCCAGCTTCTTCTCTAATGAATAGAATAAGGCAAATATTATCATCTAACTACTGGTAACAAGGTAACAAACCGCAGAAGGAAAAACAGGCAGTCTTGTTTAAAAGCAAGTTATTAAATCCAGCTTGTCATTTCCAAATGTGAAAAAAACATACTGGAATCAGTAATTCAGAGATTTTTGCCTTGAAAGGAACTATTTCAGATTTTTGTTTGGTTTGGAGCTTCTTCTAATGAATTAAGTTCTGGTGTTTAGTAGAAACTGCTTTCCTATTAATGTCCCCAGAAAATGAGCACCAAGTAATTTCAGTATTAGACCCAGATCAGTATAAATGAGAAGACACACTCATTATGTATTTATATGCTGCTTTTTGGGTTTGTTTGTAGAGTCCTGTTTCCTTTGTCTTATTTATCTGAGTTCTTATTGGTAACTTTGAGGCTATGTAAGGCACTGAATGCTAAGGTAAGGCGCATTGTTTGTACAAGTGAACAACTTTTGACCTTGCAAATCTCATAATCACTGATTGATGCTGAATCTAGAGAATACTATTAGGAGGAAGTGTTGGCAGCTTTTGGAGACAAACAGCATTTCTTGTAAGGCTGGCTTACATGCAAAAAGAGTTCCAAAAACTTTTCAAGATGGAGAAGTGATGTGTTATGATATGTAGGCAAAGAGATTTATTTACAAAATAAGCACATGAACATTTCTCTACACCAGGTGAGATTTTCAAAGGGATACTCAGCGCATGCAAGAAGTGGGTAGCCATGTACTTCTGAAAATCTCAGCAAAATAATTCTAAAATATTTTTTTCCAGCAACTAACATATCATAGGGCAGATTCACAGCTCATGCAAATAGCCAAAATCTCCAGATGCCAGTTTCCACCATGTGGGGATCCATCCCAACTACGGTGGATGAGTAATGTGGTGACAGTAAACACTAAAAAAATAAGCATGTACAGTGACATAGTAATTCCTTTCATTACAAAATGCAAAGACTTAAGAAATCTTTGGTAAGTTGGGCCACTAACCAGAGCCAGCTCAGCATGGAAGAGGGCTGCATCAGCTGGCCCCTCCTCCTCAAGTGACTGGGCAGTGTAGAAAAAGCAATCTTCCTTAGCAGAGACATAGCCCTCCTCTGGTGAAAGCTGCAGAAAGAACGAAGCTCTGAGTTGGATGAGTGGCCAGGACACAGGGCGTGCAGAGTGCATTGTGTGGTGGGGTTTAGAGAGGCAAATGAATTCCAAATGCAGCAAAGAGTTCATTTCAATCACAGTCACAGCGCTGGGCAGGTAAAACAATTATTTTTTCCCAAATTTACCTGAATCGATTCAGCTGTACGCATCATTTTACATCCCCAAGTAATGAAAAAGGCCCGTCCACCTACACCACAGAGCCCATAGCTTAGTCCGAACTCATTTCAATTTCTGCTCTTATTAAACATGTATTAAAACTGCCATCAGAGCTGCCAGCAGGGAAAGCAGCCTTTACGACCTTGCTAGGCGCAGAGTAGTCTTGTTAGCAGACAGGAAGACGACGTCCACTGTCTGCAAGATTGCATGTACTCAGTGGGACGGCCTCAAGAGGACAAAACACAATTCTGACTATAAACCAGCAGCTTCTTCTGACACAATTTGATGCTAGGTGCGTTCAGCTGGTACTGCAAAGAAGCCAGTGATTATTCACAGTGTTTAATTAACTGGCAACCATAATATGTGAAATATTAAAGTGCAAATGCTGTATGTTTACAAACTGCTGGGAACAGAAACAAAACCCCCCAAGCATTTTCTCTTTTAGAGTGACATCTTCTTAAGTATGAAAATGTTGATTTGCAAGGCATTTTAGTACGTAATACAGAGTTTCCAATGTAAAAAGCGAATTTAACAACGGTTAAAATGTACCCTCCTCTTACTATGAACAGTAAAGTTTCTAGTAACTTAAACAGCCATTCCCTTCCACCCTCTCCATAAACATCTACTAAGAAGGGAAATTTGGTATTGCATCCACAAAGATTTTAAGATTATTATTTCAAGGAAAGAAAATCCCCCAAAGACTGCACCTGGACTTACAAATATAGTGAAAAGTATCTTCTTTGTATGTATGAACTGATTTGAATTTAACAGGGACACTAGTCCACTAGCATCCTTACTGATACACTGTCTTTGTTACTCTAGGTCTCCTTCAATCTCATTCTTCTAATTCTCTACTTTCTAAAATCAAGCCTGAAATTATTTACGGCTGTATTAAAATAACCAGTTTGAGGTATATGAACTGATGACTACTCACCATTGCTTAAATGTAAAGCATGCAGTCTTAATACACAGGCTGCATACGTACTGTCCCTTACAAAGCAAAGGAATAGGCAATTCCAGGCAAAATACATAAAATCGACTTTCTGTCATGACCTCACACATTAAGGGAATCTTGTGAAGTGTACAAAATAATGCCTGGCAACAGCCAGCCCTCAAAGATTGCGGGGTTGCAAGATGCTTCGCTGTTTTCTCAGCTGCAAGACAGATGTGCCAGGTCCTGCAATCACACCACCAGTCACACACTACAGAGGCCACTCCTTCATACAAGGAGACAGAGCAATCTGTTCAAGACAGTTTCTGGATGTTTTGAGCCACCCAGCTGTACCCCAAAGCACAGGAACTGTATGCAGAAGTTAGGGTCATCATGAACCAGCTTAAATGACATGAACAGTACCCATTGAATTCCCAAATCCTTACAGGCAATGGTTTGGCAACTCCTATTTTAACTATTCCTGTTGGGGCTCCTTTCAGTGCTTGTACTGCTTCCTCCAGGCTGCCATTTTCCAAGTTGATATCGTTGACAAACATCAGCCGATCTCCAGGAAGAAGTCTGCCATCTTGCTCGGCCACACCCCCAGGAACTAATGAGCGAATCACAATTACAGTGTTTGCTGGATCAACAGGATCCTAATTAAATAAAAGGAACAAAAAAAAATCATTTTAATTATTCTTTTATGCCCTGAGAGGCTTACTTTTATGCATGAGCTTTTAGTAACAACCCAACAGAACTGGGTTATTAGAAAAGCTGGAGCCCTGCTCCAGATGAACCCTCAGCAGGAACATACCCTCCTGTCCATACTGTCCATATGTTTAGACTTCCACCTATTTTTAAATCTCATATGTGAAAATCATTACTCTTTTCTAGGTGAAGTCCCATCATATGTCTCCAGCATCAAATACTGCTAAATTGCAGAGAGCTGTTCATACCGTAATGCGCAATTACACACCAGAAATTCAAATACTTCCTATTGCAATGACAGCATTGCAGAATTCATCCTCCTTTATGCTCAGTGCTCTGGGAATACAGTTGGGCAGTGCAGACTGCACACTGAGGGAAAGAAAGGTCTTATTTTCTATAACTCTCTTATTCTTCATGGCACCAGATCGTGCTCAGCTGAGAGAACACTTTTTAAGAGGCAAGTCCTTGGGCATGCCTAATTGAACAGTTTATGGGAGACAGGAACATACCAGTACTGCACTCTAATCAACAAGACAAAATAAAGGGGTATTTGCTTTTAGAAAAGAAAACTGCTTTGAAATCCCATCCCCCAACGTACTGATTTTTATAAAAACTCTAGCGTGAACATACGATTCTGCTGCACCAATTACCACAGAAACCCATATTTACGTGATTCTTACACAGTTACACTCACAAGGAATATCATTATGTGTTAATACTTCCAACACACAGCAATTCACTGGAGTGTGTGCACCAAAGACAATGAGAAATGTAATAATGTACAGCTTCACTGATAGCAAAGGAAGAGAAAAGCAAACATCTACAGAACGGCATGCAACTGTAACAAGTTTCCATGCCAAGATGTACATCTGAAAAGATGCACACCATCAAGGTAGCACCCAAAATCACAGGCATTGGAGACTCCTGAAAACTAGTGTGAGAGAGAAGCACTGAGAGAGGGAGAGAATGACTCGAAGAAGATCTTGAACACTTCATGGCAGCTAATGCAGTAAGAAGAATGCCGTGGACGAAGAAAACACTTCAAAAGTGGAAATACAACCAGCATTGCTGGAGATAGTGCTTAAACCTGAACACTCACATCTTCCTCACTATTCCAACAAGTATTTACACTGTCACTTCAGCTGACACTGATTTTTTGAAAAAAATCACCTCTCTAGCGTATGTGACTCTTCCCTGGAGTAAAAGATGACGTAGACCTTCCTATAGGAGGAATATATTAGTATGAAAATAACTGTCCTTAAATTTAGTCACTGTTTATTGAAAATTTAATGGAAACACAGTCTTAGATGAAAGCAGAAACCTCAATGACAAACTGAAATGTTTTAACTACATGTCAAAGGAGAGAACATGGGACAAATCACAAATACTATAACATCAAAAGAAAGGTACGTTTCAGAAAGCGGACTAGAGCTGTAGGATATAAGCAAACTCACATTTGAAAAAAAATATATAAAACAATTTAAGGTAGTTCCCACAACCCTTCAGTACCACCATCCATAAACAAAATTCAGTAACCAACCACACAGGCAATCATTTGTGTCAATGCTTCAGAAGCGGCTGAAGCAAAAATATGCTTTACTTTGTGCTGACTCTAAATAATGAGGCTCAGCTACGGTGTTTCTCTGCAGAGCATTATGAGTACTACATTAAAGAGTAATCACTGTTTCATAAAAGAGATACTTGACTATGCCTTTATCCTTCAGATACAGTGTGTGAATGTAAAATACTACTGAGGCATAGATTAACTCTAAGCAGTGCCCTGTGGGCATAATTTCCACCTGGAACTGAGCTCCAGAATCAAATGTATATACTGTTAGGGACAAGATCCAGTAGAGACCTGGGAGAAGACCAGGTCCTGCAGCACCCCCAAACAGCTGGGCAAAAGCCTACACTGACCAAAGGGAGAAATTACTTTAAGTCAGACTAAAAATTATTCACTGTGACAACTGGGAACAGGAGGAACATTTGTTCTGGGATCCTGACCAGAAGACAGGCACTGACCTGTTCATCAGGACACACCAAGAATCACAGCTTCAGATACACAGGAATTTTGAAGTCAAACACAAAATGAATGGGGGCGTTTAGGCATGTCCTGGACAGACAGCAGCTAAGCACGGGATTTCAGAATTGCAGTCTGGATTTTAATAAATCCTTCTTTAAGCACCTAAGTCCTTTATTGGATCTTGCCTTAAGCACCTCAGTGCAGGTGCAAAATAGAAGGCTAAATGCCTGAATATTCTGACTACATTCATTTGCCCTGGGGCACTACAAGATGAGCTTTCTGAAGACCCCAGTATATTACACATTATCTATTTTTCTGGACAATTATCATTAGAACCTCTAGTCTTAATACAGCAAGAAGAACAAGTAATGTAGCTAGTGGGATGCTTATCAGTAGTGATATCCACTTAGCTTTACCATATTCCTTGATTTTCATTAACGTTTACCCTTAAAATACGTATTAGATCATATTGTGAGATACAAACAATACAAAATTTTGCCCTCTACTCAAAGAAAGGAGTGGAGAAGTTACCTGGTAGTCCAATATGCTAAATCCAAGTCCCATACTCCCTTTCTCCAGTTCAATGTGCTGTACTTCTGTTTCCCACATGGCCAAAGACGAGCTTTGCACCTCTTCCATACTCTGACCCTCGTCAGTTATTTCCAAAGCTGTTCCTTCTGTGTCTGAGGAGCCAATGAATCCAAGTTCTACGTGAGCCTGAGGAAAAAATGTTCACCAATAAAATGTAAATGTTTGTGAATCTGCAGAGACAAAACTCTTTTCATGAAAAACAAGAAAAAACTTGATTTCTAGTGATGTGTTCTCTAAACACAGAGAAAGTTCAAGAACTCAGCAAAATTAACAAAGAAGTCTGATAAATCTAGCACAGAATTCATGTATCCTTGTAACAAAATAGCTACACTGCAAGTACATGAAAGTACTCACTGGAAAAAATAATTACATAACAGAATTTCTGTCAAATTAAAAACTTCAGAAAACTTCATTAGTACATGTATTCAAATATACAGGAAATATCTGTTATTAAATGCTATGTCTAAAAATATGCTTTGATCTAAATGTAGCAACACCGACAGGAGTCAGAACATTTAAAAAAGGAAAACATGCACAAATGTACATACACATGCATCTATGTTCTTCAATTTCCTTGGTTTCATAGAAAAGCTTAGCAACTACAAAGTGAATTTGGTGCCTTGCCTGGAACGCAGAATTAGCTGTGTCTCTTTACATACAGATGTTATTCTTTGCATAATATACTACAGGCCATTCCTACATGTTTAGTACATCGGGCTGCCCAGAGCTTTCACGTGTGAGCAGTTCTGCACGCCCCCCCCCAAAAAAAGCAAAGTTCAAAACCAGATTAAATATATTGAGATTCTAAAGAACACAGTTCAGTTTGCCATACCCCATAGCCCAACCGCAGACAGAAGTACAGTACTCAGACAGATACATCTGCACCCCAGAATAGCCCATGACCTACCAGGGTTGACTTCTTCTGCTGGCCTAAAGTACAGCTGATGTACCTAATCTGCCTTTTTCTATTTATGTGGTTCAAAGTGAATCCGTGAAGTCTTAATCTAATCTTTTACAAGAACTTTGTATGTTTTTTCCCAATGAAACGATCATTTTCTCAGTGATTTTTTTTAAGACAAAATACCTTTTTTGTGAGCTGAACCTCAGATAGACTTAGTCCCTCCAGTACTTCTGGGTGAGCGATGGGTGGAGCTACTGGACGACAGCACACCATTGTCACCTTAATAGGCAGTTCCTTCAAGATATTGACCACATCCTTGTGATTTTCTCCAAGCAAAGAGATCTCATTCACCTCAATAAATAAAGAATACACAGTGTTCAGAAGTACACACAGTATTTAGAATTACAGTGAACAAAAATGGGTAAAAAATATCAACTCAACTCACTAATCACCTCATTTCTTAAAACAAACAAAAAACACACGCTAATGCACACTGTCAACCCTTAATTTCTCCTCAGTTTGGTGCTCAGAATCTGCAGCGAAATAATTTTTCAACTGAATGTACAGTTGTGTAAAGTGCAAAATAGAAGGCTAAATGCCTTAATATTCTGACTACATCGCTGCTTTGCATGAATGATGCAGTCATGCGTGTCAAATTGCTTGACACCACCCTACAAATATCACATACTGTCACTTCATGTTTCTTGCACTCATGTGAACCAAATTCACCGGGATAGGGATATTCTTATTAAATCTAAATGCTTTTACTAGGTATTCTTTTTTGTGACCTTGAACTGTATCAGAAACTCAGTTACCAGCTGAGAAATGCACCTAGGCACACGCACTCACATAAATATAGAATCATAGAATCATATGGGGTTGAAAGGGACCTCTATAGATCATCTAGTCCAACCACCCCGCCAGACCGAGTCTACCTAGAGCAGGTTGCACAGGAACTTGTCCAGGCGGGTTTTGAATGTTTCCAAAGGAGGAGACTCTACCACCTCTCTGGACAGCTTGTTCCAGTGCTCTGCCACTCTCACAGTAAAGAAGTTCCTTCTCATGTTTAGGTGGAACTTCTTATACTCAAGTTTGTGCTCATTTCCTCTTGTCCTGTCACTGGGCACCACTGAAAAAAGACCAGGCCCGTCCTCCTGGCACCCTCCCTTTAAGTATTTGTAAGCATTGATTAGATCCCCCCTAAGTCTTCTCTTCTCAAGACTAAAAAGACCCAAGTCCCTCAGCCTCTCCTTGTAGGAGAGATGCTCCAGGCCCTTAACCATCTTTGTGGCCTTTTTCTGTACCCTCTCCAGCAGTTCCCTGTCCTTCTTGAACTAGGGAGCCCAGAACTGGACACGCTACTCCAGATGGGGCCTCACCAGGGTAGAGTAGAGGCGGAGGAGGATAATGTACCTCGACCTGCGGGCCACGCTCTTCTTGATGCACCCCAGGATGCCACTGGCCTTCTTGGCCACAAGGGCACATTGCTGGCTCATGGTCATCCTGTTGTCCACCAGGACTCCCAGGTCTTTCTCCTCAGAGCTGCTCTCCAGCAGGTCAGCCCCCAACATGTACTGGTGCACAGGGTTATTTCTCCCCAGGTGCCGCACCCTGCACTTGCCCTTGTTCAATTTCATTAGGTTTCTCTCTGCCCAACTCTCCAGCCTGTCCAGGTCTCGCTGGAAATATATGCATAAGCACACATGAAGTGACTGCTTGAGCACTTCTGGTTACAGCTGATATGCAGTTAGATCTGCTACATTCCCAAAGTCATAATCTGTGAGAAGCAAGTCAACGCTCAAAAATCTTACTGAATGCAGATTAGGATAAAGTAGTATTTTTTTCTTACTTCCAGCAGCTCATCTCCACTGAACAGCTTGCCACTTCGTCCAACTGGCCCCTCCGGTAAGATAGATCTGATGAAATGATGTCCCACTGTAGCTTCAAGGCTTATCCCTAGTCCACTGCTTTCACTAAATTTGTTAACAACAGCCACCTAAAATAAGATTAAGAAATGTTTACTTTTGACATATTTACAGCTGTACCTGTTACTTCTGTTTCAACTGACATACAATGAGGTGAATATTCCAGAAATGAGAAACCAGAAATATTGTCATGTGTAAGGGGGACAGTCAGGTAAAAACTGAAACTTTGATCACATACCACTTCAAAATAACAAGTGGGAACTGTGTATTACAACAATATAGCTATATACATTTGCAGAGACAACAGCTGAGGCATGTAATTTTGAAATAAAGTCGTAAACTCAGATACTGCTTTCAACTGTATCTACAGTAAATGTCCTATGCATTATTTAGATCATTACATCAAACCATTTATTCAGTATGCAGAATGGATAGGACATTTCAAGCACTAGCTTCAAATTCTGGCCAATGAAGGGAGCTTTGAAGTTCACTTTAAATATTTTTTTTTCTTTAATACACATTTATCTACTTGAAGCTAGGAAATATATGAAACAATACTCATAGGCCCAGCAACCTAAGAAGCCTGTGATTATTTTGCTAAAATCAATACCAAAAAAATATGTATCTATATTCAAAATTTATAACCAAAATAAAATCATCTCAACAGATTAAGTACCACATGTACAATTTTTTTAAATAAAGGAACAAATACAATACAAACTTATTTCTATCCATATGTTAGCAACACAATAGGCAGACATTTAATAATAGTAATCAAAGATTACCTACCACTATTTCATAATTCGAACCCATAATCCTCTGCCACTTTGCCTTTGTAGTTGTTTCTTCTGTAGTAGTTAGCTGGAAATCTAAAAATTACATCTGAGATTACTGTGACAAAAACTAAAACATCCTGTCTATTCCTGTAACTGATTAAGTATACCATGCAAGACTACACAATCATCTCCATGATGCCAGAACTCTCCTAAATATGATTAAAACTTGGCATGTTTTGCCTCACCAAGCTTTGGGTTATCAGAGGAAAAACTTGCAAAATAGTATTGGATCCAAACCCTGCAAAACCGTGTATTTTGAAAGACATGAAGTTCAGTCAAAGAGTCTGGTGTGCACAGCTGGGAAGAAAGGACATATTTAAACTAGCCTCATTGTTGAATGAATTTAATGCAACTTTCCGAGGTAATGGCCACAAAGCAAATGAAAAAGTTACTTGCATGCTCTGGGCATTGGTTAAACCAGGCTGTATGTGGTCTGATCAGATTGATTCAGGGGGATGGCTGAAACACGTATGTGATACTGCATACTGATCCTTTTGGACAGACTCTGTATTTTACAGGGAGTGTCTAAGGAAAGTTTTCAAACAAAATCTGGAGGTTTTGTATTTTTAAAACTATGTGAGCAACTGTAAAATACTTTTGTGAAACTGCAGGCCCTAGAGGGCAGTGAGAGAACACAAGTCCTAGCTCTTCCTAGCCTTTTTTTTTTTTTGTTAGATTCACATACATGCACACATACAGTGAGAAATAATTCAATAATTCTAATAGCTAAGAGCAGCAATAAAATTGGAAGGGAAGGAGGGGAGAAAATGCTGTCAAAAATACAACGACAGACTAGGCAGCAAAGTTTATCTGCAGGCTGAAAAATAGAGAAATACTTTCCTTCTGCTCATTCTCCCCTCATTCACACTGTTCACATTCTAGGGCGGGAAAGAGTAAAAAGCAGTATTTATATACAACAGCCAGCAAACACAGCAGATTTAACGGAACCCTACATATTCAAGGTCCATGGCCTGTGCTGTGCCTACAGTAACAAAAGAAACCCCTTGGATCTGAATGCTCACCCCAGGCGAAGACTAGAATTATCTTCATTACAAGATTAAGTTCTCAATTCCCACTGACTTTTGAAGAATTTAAAGTGACTAATAGCCTTAGACAGTGTTTTAGATCTAGTCATTGCTCAGAAACATTACTAAAAATAAAGCCAGGTGTTGTGGGGCATTCAAAATTGGCCATACTTTCCTCACAGCAGAGACCCTGCAGTATCTGAAAGAAAGGTGTTGAAAAGAAATTCTTCAGTTATCCAGGATAATGGAAAGCATGAGTTATGAAAAGATACACATTACAGAATTCATACTGGTGATGCTTTTCCGTTCCCCTCTAGCTTTGGTAGTAGGAAAGTGTTAGAAAACACATCAAGTGCTGTCTCAACCTGGAAAACACCATCACACACAGGACTTCTGAAATGCAGTACAGTGCCCTAAGACCTCAAGAGGGAAAAGAAAACACCCATTAGAAAATGAGAATAATGAGTATGGGAAAAGTCAGAGCATATCAGTGCAGCAGAACTGACTGAATTTCAAACATTACCACAAAACGCATCTTGAAATGAATGCAAGCTCAGGAATTTGTGAAAAGGAAGTTTATCAGAAGAGGTAGAAGTCCTGAACTGCTGCTGGGCAGCTGCACGCAGTTGGAAACATAACGGACGTTGGGGAACAAGGAGGGAAGATGTTTAATACTAAAAGGACCAAAAAGAACAGAAATACAACAGTAGACTTAAAAGAGGGCTAAGCACGTAGCAAAAGCAGCCTGCTTCATGGGGCGTCTTTGACACTATTATTTTCAGACACGTACAGTAGAACACTCAAGAGTACATGCTTACATGTATGATTACTTTCCCTTTCTAGCTGTACCTCAGCTACACAGCACACAGGAGATGGAAAGACACACAAAACATCTGATCTTTGTGTAAGTACACCCAAGTGCATTTTCACAAAATTTAAAACATTGAGAACCTGCTTCCTGTTGTTTCATGTCCTCTCCAATATTTACCACACTGGCACTGCATGGCAGTGATGGAGATTCTGGTTCTGTTTCGCTGTTACCTGGAAAAAGAAAAAGACACTTTTTCAGCTATTTTATATGTTGTAAGATTCATCAGGGTCACAGGCATGCCTCAGGGCACTGACAGTCTCTCAACTGGACTTCAGAGGATCCATACTTGGCAAACAGCATCTCTCATGAGGAGCTAAGAAGAAATGCCATATTTAAAAAAAATTTTGTCTTCTGTTAATGTTTTTTTCAATTAAACAAGACGGGAAAAAAAAAAGCACCATCAATAGCTGCATCTCTGCAATTGAAAGAAAATTTACTGGAAAACATATAATATAACATCTTTTACCACTCTTGTATTATCTTCTTTTTTTTTCTCTTCTTCACTTGGTGCAATTCAGGAAGCTGACACTGAAAAAGTAAAACGCTATAGACTTGCATACTTGACAGACTTCTCACTTGTAGAGATCCTCTTCTGCCACAGAGTTCTGTTAGGTATATTGCTGTCTGTCAGCTGCATCTTGAACACCTCTAAGCACTTTCTGGGCATGTCCTCTGTAATTTTTGCTAAGGGTGGGAATGAGAGGATGCCATACAGATAACATACTACTGGGTCTTTCAAAATCTTGTGCTAGGTGTGGATTATGCCTCAGTCTATAAGCTGTGATATGCTTCTGCGGACATCAGCCTATAACACAAGTAGCTGAAAAAATCTGTGCATGCATGCTCTGTGCAGATATTCTGTACAAACACACCGACTTTCAATATTTGGCTCATATACTTCAAGATGGACACAGTATAAGATCAAGCTTCACTAATCTCACCTCATGAGTAGGAAAATTAATACTGTTCATCGGCTTCAGAACTTTGTACATGTATACAGTTTATGCCCTATCAAATTAATAACCTCTAGATATAGGCCACTCATACCTTGAGCTTGTGATACTGACATGCAAGAGTGAAAGGAACTGAGACTTGGTTTTGCTCATTGTGGAGGGTATATTTTTGCTTGCTCTTGAATGCAGCACTCACTGTCGAGCACGAATAAAACATTCACTGCCTTCTTACCATTTGAAGATTTGCAGGATCAAAGTCTTCAAGCAGTTCAGCCAGAACTGCATTACACTGCAGAGCTTTCAACACTCACTTTGAAAATGTAGCAAATAATACAACTATGTCTAAAAGATTAATCCAACCATAGTAAACCAAATTCTCCCCTCATGTACAACAGCTCCACTATCAGTAATACCTACCCAGAATGAATCTGGTGCATTTTATTTTCAGTTTGCATTTGAGAAGAAAAATGTTTCAAGCCAACTTTAAAGCAAAGCCAGTTTTAATTACCTTCGGCTGTGCTACTATCCATTGTTTGGAACAGTAAGTCCTTTTCAACAGCAGCACTGAAGTCCTCCTGGGGCTGAATATGATTTTCCTGCTTAAGCCCTCTTCTGATCAAAGTGAGCCGAACCGTTTGTCCCGTGTGCCGCAAAACATCAACTGCTTGCTGGTTAGTAAAACCCTGAAGATTTGTTCCATCCACCTGCAAGATTAAGCAGCTTTTCAGCCGAGAAGACACCACCCAGGAAAAAAAAAAAACAAACACATTCAGGGCAAAATAATATGGTGAGTTCTCAGCATCTGTTAGCTGGAGCACAAAGCAAGCAAAGGGACAAGAACAAAAACACGGATGACTTAACAACATGGGATACACAAAGCACTTTGACTGGAGTACCTGAAACCTAGGTAACAACCACTACCACAGCAAAGTGGGGAGAAGCGCTTTGGGTGCCCACCAGAGTGGGGCCAGACAGATCCCCTCTGTGAGGTGGGAAAGGACACGGCATGTGCTGTGCAGGGCACGCGGTGCAGTCTGTCTGCTCAACTGCTTCAGCCCATCTCTGAGGATAAAACACCGAGTGAATAAACTAACACAGCCGTGGCTGGGACAGATATGAAGGGGAGGGTGAGGAGAGACATATCCGTCCACTGTGGTAGGAAGAACTGCAGAGCGCAGCATTCTGAGACTAAGCGACCTCAGACACGGTGAAGTCTACTACAGAACACCATGAAGTTCAGTTTCCCAACCAAACACTCTCCCAGACAGCCAGACGTTATCTCAGGTCCAACATTTTAGCATTTAAAAGAACCAGATTTTGGCTTCTTCTGTTTTAAGCTACCCCATTATCTCATTAACTCAGGGGTTTTTTCTTCTGAAACTCAGGACTTTGGCGTTGCTCAATTTCATTCCATTATCCCTAGTACACACCACTTTTTATTATTCTTCTTCCTGAAAACTCTGTATTATCCTATTTTTCCTCTATCTCACCCTTCAGTATCTTTAATTTCTGAAATATTTCCAATAACACTATAATCCTTGACTCCTACATAGTTGTTTCACTCTGTCTATACAACACTCATGCTCAATTATTTTAGCTCCTCCTGCATGAATAACGACTCCCCCCAGATCCTTAATCATTTTGTTGCCTTTCTCTGAACTTCTTAGAACTCTGGTACTCTTCTGAATAGAAAGTAATTAAAAACGTGCTGGGGTTATTTAATTTTTCCTCCACACTTAAGCAAACCATATTTTAGAAACGTGTATTATTCTTTTGTCTGAGGTCACTCAAATCTTTTTCTCCTTCTGCATCTGCAGTAGAAGGAGAAGTCAAACTTTGGAACAATCAATTTTAGCCATTTGTACTCAGCATTTAAATCATTATAAAAAATGTATTTACTTCCACATGCAAGCATGCAGGCATGTTTGCACTTGGAGTGCTGTCTTCCCACAAATGAAAGGACAAATCTGTGACAGCCACAAAAAATGTGGTTCCTGCATTCATGACCTGATTTTCATCAGACAGCTAACATGTCATGCATGAAAATATTTTTTTCTTTCTCTGAGCATCTAAAACTTTAAAGATATACTTTTGAAAATAACTTTGAAAAAAACTGCTTAATTTAAATCTAACTTTGAAACTTTGCCTTTTCTAAGCAGTCTCAAAGATCTTACTGATAAGATATACACATACAACACAGATTTTCTCTAAGAAGCACAAGTTACACACAGGCAGAATAATTAGAAAGATAATGTGATTGAATACTCAGTCAAAAAAAAGGACTCACCATTTCAACCCCAATTCTAAATGTTTTGAGCAAGTACTACACAAGCATATTTTTACAACTTGAAGTTGAGTTTTGCAGACAAGTGATCTCATTTCTTTCTGTGTTTACTTACAACTATAATTTGATCTCCAACATGAATTCTGCCATCATGTTCCACAGCACTGCCTTTTGTAATGCTTTTCACAAAGATACCAGAAGGTTCTGGGATGAAGCAGCAGAGAAAATGAAATTAACTAATTTATTAAGAAACGATTTAAATAATCAAACAATTTCCAACTAATACGATCAACCAAAGGGAAAAAAAGAAACAAAACACAATCTCCAGGTAAGATTAGGAAAGATTCATCAAGGAAGTATATATATAGCTTTAAGGAAAACATATATATTATCATTTTCCTAAAGGATGAGCCTGATTAACGTCAGCTTGCATTACACCAGATTTCACTCAAGATCTTACAATGCCAAATTCCCAGCTCCTGCTGCAAAAGAAGAAATATTCTAACTTATTTTAATCTAAATGTTGAAAGCAACATTGACAAAAAAACATTTCTCTGACTCTTGGGCAGATCTGCAGGACAGAAAATTCAGTTTGAGTACACTAACATAGTAAGTTCTCCTTTTTCTATGTACTTAACAACTGCTTAGAAAAATACATGCTTGGAAAATGAAACGTAGAAAATTATAAGCAAGCAGGACTACAACTTACATTTGAACCAGCTTTTAACTACAGCTGTAAATCAGTATTTGATCCAGTAAATAAAAGAAAAAAAGACACCAGAGAAAAAAAGAATCCAAACCCCCCAAACAGAAGCATTTTAGACAGTTACCAATTTTGAAACAGAAGGAATATTTTACTTAACACCTACAGAAAGGACATTTTACGAAAAGAAATCCATTTCAGAAAGGACATTTTATAAAAAGAAATCAATTTCAGGAAAAAATACACTGGAATTTGAAACACCTTCAACAGCTCAGTAAAGTGAAAAATCTATGGAGTTCCTACATGCACATTTTTCCATAGTATACATGAAATTGAGAAAAATACTAGCATGAACTGGCATGAAATCAGGTCTGAGGGTCACAGGCTTGTAACAATGGTATCAGAAATCTAAGAGAACCTACTTTCTCTCAACAAATATTCCAACTCTGTTAAATGAATATGCTCAATAGGAAGATAATCCACTATAAAAAGGGTTTTAACAGCTAGCAAAACACCCCAGTGCATTTGCAAATCTGAAACTCACCATTTACTGGCCTCGATATGACAAAAGTTAGCAGGAAGGAGGGCTAAATCTCTATTTTGCTCTAATGACTACATTAAGTTTAGGAAGAACCAGACTATAAATATACTTAAGCCACAGCGTTGACAATTCTTTTCTGTTTTTTCTTAATTTGTTGTTTTTCCAGGTTTTATGAATAATTAAACAGCTGGTCTTACTAACTTGCAAGCATTTTTATACCCTGTAACAACTCTATGGTAACATGACAAGTTGTTATTAGTCATTCCTGAAGATTCAGCTGCAGATTCTCTTGTCCAGTAGTTGTACTGCTGCTTCTCTGACAGCAAAGTTCTTCTTTTCTTAAGTGTAAATCACAGAATTAAGTGAGATGTTCATTTAGTTCCTAAGGCAACACTATTTGCTGATGCAGTTACATGCAGCACAATAATTTAAAATAAAAGATCAGTGATACTCCAACACTAAACCAGTTAAAATATGCTCTCAGATGTATCACATGTTCTGCAATTTAATTTGCCTTTTGGAGATTCACCTGGAAGCTGGTAAAGAGTGGACTTACAGAAACTGTGACAATCCTGTCCTATGGAACACATTGTTAAAATTTAGACCAGCTTCTCAAACCCAACAAATTATGTCTATAAACTGGCAGTAACGTGAGACATATCTATGCATGCATTTTTCTAACAATCTATACATGGGTAACAGTCAAACCAACAGCTCCTTGAGAAGTTTGACAACACATTTGACAAATGCCCCTTCCAAGTGTTACTGCATTTGCCAAATCCCCCCTATGGAGCCTAGCAGAGGTCTGCATCATTTTTCTGAAAAAAGTAGTTGAAATTACAAAGTAAAAATATACAACTGTTCCATAATACTGTCGTACTTATTTATTTAACTTAAGTTATTTATTGGCTGCAACAGCCCAGACGTTAACAACCATTTATTATATCCAAATTTCACTAAGGAATTGTTGATCTGCCAGCAGTACTATAGGCATTGTTTAAAAAAAAAATTACCATACCTTCTAATACTACTCAGAATACTAATGTATTATCTTGTAAGAGCCTTTTAAAAACTAAAATGCAATTTTAAAAGCCCAGCTAGCTCTAACAAAAATGGCTCAATCTATTTTAGAATTGTTTTGCAAAACTACACAAGCACAAGCTTTAGCCAAGAGTGAATACAGCAATTGATTAAAAAATGCTGAGATTAGATTTTATAATAAAACTGATTGCTTCTAATCTGAATGACCTTCTCACCAAAGGAAAACAATTCCTTTTTCTTTACAAACTTTAAAAAAATTTCAGATGCTTGAGGTTTTTAGAGATGGTATACCAAAACTAAAATTAAGTCTTCGATGCACATACACCACAGTATGCAACAAATTGTATAGTGAAATGCAGGAATCGGTAATTACCTGACGTTTTGTCTCCAATGTAACCAGCAATAGTTATTCCTAATCCCTGGTTGTTTTTAGTCAGCTCAACGTTAAATTTCTCTCCATCTTCACAGCTATCAACAGAAGCAACTGCCTAATAAGAAAAGTGTGATTAGAAAGGAAGCCTTTTTTTTCTTTAAAGAGTCACCACATTCTTTGATGTCATTAACATATAAAATTAGACACAAATGTAAAAAAGAAGTACCAACTTTGCTTCTGCTCTTGATGCTCAGCAAAGAAAGTAGACATAGGTAACATTCTTCACTGTAAAGCAATTCAGGTCATGTCCTCCCTCCCGTACTGCTCCTGGGGTATTACACTCTAACCTATAAAATCATTATTTGATGACTACAATGACTGGTGGAAATTCTACAAATTGAACAATGAAGCTCTTGTAGAGTAAGTTCCACAAACCGTGCTTAAATGTTAGAATATGTAGCTTGCTGCCCTTCTGGGACCAGAACCAGCTTTAAAATACTGTGTTATAATTCGGATCTTTTTTTCTTCTTTTTAATATTCTGTATTCTAGTTGTTTAATACCTGTAGCTATTTTTTTCCTATGCATGGCAAATTTAAAACATAATCAAAGCTATTACTAGTGAGGCAATTACATTTCTTGGTTTTGAAAGACTTAAAAATACTGTTTCAGAAAGTAGCAATTATACTTCCAGCTAGTTAAATAATGACACTCTCCACTAATATCTACTACAACCCTGTGAATTTCAATAACAAAGAACTTTTTGGGTAACGAATTCATTTATGTATCATTAATGAAAGTACAATAAATATTAAAATCCCATTTCAACACTATAGCTTTTGTATTAAATGAAAAAAAATTAACTTACAAAACAATTTCAACTTTTAAAAAAGGGAGTTATTTATTCTTCAACTTTCAGCTGTCTAAAACATAGTTACTAGCCACTCCCATAGCTGCTATATATCAGTATATGATTATATATACAAGGCTTCAATTTCATTGTATTTACATGGACATAAATATTTATGCACACACTTAAAATGGGAATTCATAAATACAGTACACATCTATCAAGATCCTGCTACACTCCTATCTTCTTCTGTCTCTTCTGCATGACAGATAGCAGCTAATGCTTTTTAAAACACCAATATGGCAACCAGGCAGATACTAACTAAACCCAGTTTGACTAGATGAGCATGCACGTGCCAAAAAAAAGACTTCAGGCGAGCTATGATGCTACTTGCCAAAAGGGAATCTGACTTCAGTTCTTTATCGAACAACTCCACCCAAAGCTACAATCAAACATGAGAAAAATAAATGTCTGCTGCTATAACTACCTCTCTGCTTGATAATACAGGATTATTTTAGCCACAGGTCATGCCACTAAAAAACAGCTTTAATTTCTATAAACTCATTAATTTTTACAGGACAGACATCTACATGGAACATGAAGTGTCCATTTTGGAAAGTCATTCTGCTCTCCCTAACAGCTTTAAGAGCATCACGAAGTCTTCACCCATTCTGTATTCACCAGGAAGAAACAGACAAACCAATGTTTTTCCATCATCATCTTCACCCTGAATTAATGCCCGCAGCATCATTAAGTAGGTGCTTCCTCCAAGAACAAGACTTTGTGCAAGCAGTTTAAAAATAGCTCTCCTGCTAGTAGAGATGTACCAGGAACAAGGTGTTGAAAAGGATGGAAACAGAGAGGAAGGTAGTGAAAAAGTCAAACTTTTTCACTTGGTGGCTTTGAGCAATTTCCTTGGTACTAGAAATTCTATACATCCTGCAGCTGCAGATATGTCCTTCCACACTGCATCATAGAACCTCAGAAAGGCAAATTCATCTTCTCCTTTGAGACTGCTGTTTTCCCAATAAATAATATTTGGGCTAAATATTGATCCTTTTATCTAAAATACAGCCAGGTTTTCATGCTTCTGAGTGCTGTAAAAACACGAAAGTCTGTCTCTCCTCTTAGATGTTCAGAAGACTCCACGTCAAGATTAATTTTCCTTATAATCACAAAGCAGTGGACGAATGTATGTCTGTTTTCCACAGACTCCACTACAATGAACAGAGGCAAAATAATGGTCATCATGAAAAAATTAAGATTTTATTTATTCCAGAAAATAGAGGTATTTTTATTCCAAATTACATCTGAAATGTAATTTGTAACTGGGAAGAAAATGTCTAGAAAATCAGGCTCAAAAACAGCCACCTTTTTCTTCTCTCATTCACTTACTCCACAAAACCACATTTAAATATATGTGGTCATAACTATATGTGACAAAACACTACTTTTCCTCACTCCCATGAAACCAGGCTTTGCTGCAAATGTGCAAATGACCTATTCTGTAGAGGTTTTGAGTTGACAGGACGTGATATTATTTACAGAATTTTTTAAGTGGCTGACAACTGTAGAGGAGTAACAGCACAGAAAGCAGAAATCAGCAGCAGGGGAATAAGGGTAGAAGCTGGTTGACTTTTTTTGGAAGATGTCTAGCAAACGAGCCATGCCAGGTGATGTAGGAAAGAAGCAGCATCCGTGTGCTGGTTGGCACAGGGAGAAACTGATGGATTGCTGCAATGATACAGAAGTAAGAAATGTTCCTGTAGAGGAAAAGGAGAGCCGTACAGAGAAACGCTACAAAGCCAGCTTGCTCTGTTTGAAGAAAAGACTGCATGGCTTCAGTTGTTCCCAATGTATTACCGCACAACCACAAACAAACCAGAACCAGACATTATTCAGATCACATTTATGGAAGTCCTAAGCTTTGATCCAAAAAGGCTTCAAGCATACAGTTTCTTGCATTGTGGATTCATGACACTTAAATTCTCCCAGACTGTCACCACTACTGGGACAGAAAATTGTGGCTTTTGAGAACATAAACATGAAAGACATTCAAATAGAAGAAAAGAAAGACTGAGGTAAAAGTTTGTCATGAGTTAAGTATACCTGTTTCTCTGGTGTGGAGGTTGGTACTGGTGTACCTGGTGGGACTGCTGGTGGAGGTGGTTCCTCAATTGGACCTCTTGCAATTACCAGTTTCACTCGATTTCCACATTGCCTCAGAACTTGTGCCACCTGCTCACTGCTCATTCCAGCTAGGTCCGTATCACCAATTTTCAGGATGTGGTCTCCACTACACAATCTCCCATGCTGGAGGAAGAATAACAAAGAAAAAAAATATATTAAAATCCCACTATTTTTCCCACATAACATACAATTAGAAAAAGACCACATAGCTTTAGTCACTTTTACGATAAATGAACCAGGGAACTTTTTTTGGGTGCCCAGTCAATAAACATGGAAAAGAAATGTAGGTTGCCTAAAGGCAATGCAGGATATCCTTTTTCAACCAGCCACAGGAGCACAGAGAAAAATACATATAGTTATGGTTACTACCTACTGGTATTTAACAGGTGCATGTAGATTAGAGAACTTCAGGTTTCATTTCAAAACACACCTCCAAAAGACAGTATATAAACGTGTAACTCAGCTTTGCACTTCTATTTAAAAACTGGTCTTCAGGATGAATAATAACTTTAAAATAAAACATATTTCGCCCTTACCATGATCCAGAAAAATTTCACATGAATTTAGCCCATATGAAAAGTATTAAAGAGACAGGTCTGTAAAAGGAGCTCGTCTACCTGCTCAGGGAAGCAGTGTGGCAATAAATCCTGCCCATGCATCTCTAGGACCTGTTATCAGGTCCTAGACTGATTATTGCAAGACTCACTAGTCTCTGTGCCTACTCAGTCCTTGACCATCATTAACGCAGCCCCAGATACTTGCCCAATGGACAAGCTGGAAATGAGCTGTGATCACCAAATTCAATTCACATGAGCCCTTTAGGCAGGATCAGTGGACACATAGGGCCTGTGTCCTCAAGCAGACGCATGAAGCCATATGCCTGCTTCAAGCCTCAGTAAGCCCAGTGGAGAGAAGCAGACACTCTTCTTAACTGTTGGGTCTGAGCAAGTAAGCATTTGGTGTCTCCCTCACCCCTGGATTATAACCAGTATATTCATGAAAGAATTAGGACTCTAAATGCACACCAAACATGTACAAAGTAACAGGTTTGCAAATGCAATTTAGAGCCTAATCCAGCTTTTACATTCAAAGGCACAGATCCCCTGCACTAAATACACCCCTACTGAGAATAAATTTCACCACTTGCTCTCTCTTTCTTACACTTACGAGGAAAAAAGCTTCCACTACTCAACGTGATTATAAAACTAAAGGGTAACTTCACACCTTAATAAACATTACACAGAGGACAGGTTGAATTTACCTGATCAGCCACCCCTCCTGGAAGAATGGTTTTAACAATCACTCCAGTTGACTTTCCTCCCACTATCCCAAATCCCAGGCCTGAGCCATCATTCACCAACTCGATTGTCTCCACATGCTGCCAGTGAACCTAAAAGGAATAAATAATGAGCTTGCAAATGTTTGAAATAAGAACATATGTACTAAAATCTGCAAAGTATTTCCTCTTATTTATTTGGTATGTTTTTGAAGAAAGGAAGACTGGAGGAAGGTAGAAATATGGGAGCTTTTTAACAGTTATTATTAGGTGTAAGACTACAAAATATTTAAGCAATAAATTGCTCATTCTGTAACAGCTGGAATTTCTCTGGTACAAAACTTCTCTGGGTAGTGAGTCAATAACTTTCTGAATTAATTTAACCAGCAACCTAGAACTGTCCATCTCCATGGCCCATTGCAGTCACTGGGAAAAATACTGCTGCTAGGAAGTATCATAGGACTGGAAACTAAAATCCTCAGAAACTAAAATCTTCAGATAAGAGCATGTTCACATTGGCCATTATAACAAAGCACAGGAGACAGCATAAACCCAATTCAGAGGTTAAAGCTGAAACCAGCACCAGGTAGTGCAAGGTAGGCATTAGCAGAATTGCCCCCTGTGTACTGAACAAAGATTTCTGGTTGTCTGATGTCAGCAGCACTGGAATGAAGTAGTTTTGATGGCAGACTTCATGTTCTGACAGGAGCGAAACTTCTCTGAAGGAAAAACAAATGTACAGTAGGCAGTACAGGGGCAGAAGTGAAGGAACAACTGGAAGCTCCTGGTACTGCTTCTCCTGAAGAACAAACCACACCATAAACTCATCTGAATTTAAAACTGCAGCTGGTGCTCCAGCAGGTAGGATCTTGAAAACAGTAAGTTATATTGGAATAATCAAGGTACTGCAGATTCAAAGCCCTGTCGTACCTGTTTGGGAATTCGCAGCCTTAACACAAAGCAATGATGACCAAGCAAAGCCTGAATGAAAAATAACAGAAGCTGCTTTCCACCAGCATTTGAAAGTGAGGTGAACACAGGGACCAGGAAAGGCATACATAAGAAAACCATAAGGAGCTGTGGCAGCTTTGAAAGGAACACTTTTTTCAAGCAAGGGAAGCTGTTCAGAGAATATGGAGGCAATCACATAGAGGAAGAAGTGAGTTGCAGGAGTACTGGGAGAAAGCAGGCCTCTCCTCTGTACTGACAGGAAGTCAGGCCAATCAATCAGCTTTATTTCGGCATGTAAAAGAAAGGAATAATTGTGAAAATTCTTCACTAAAGGTTTTATGCTAATGATTACAATAAACACTAAAACAGATGCTTTTTCCAGGCTTCCTGCTCTGTATACTTCTGATTATCAATTCCGATAAAGAAGAGCCACAGACGATTGAACAGTGAAACCTACAGAAACCAAAGACAGGCCTTTTCATCCCAGGACAAGCCATTACATAAGTAAGATACCAGGAAAAGAAAGTGCAGTTAGTATCACCATGTTTTTGAGCTATGTTCTTTACACTTAGATGCGCAAAAGCTTTCAAAACAAAATAAATACAGCAGAGCTGTTTTCTGGGGGTCCTGAAGTGTGTACCTACACATGGCATTTTGATGGCTCACTCTTGCTGCTCTACTTAAGCCCCACCACTAACAGACAACAAAGGAAAAACAGAGGAGTACCCATCCAGTCCATGGTGCAGACGAGACTGAAATTTCTGTTTGCCCAAGCAGAAGGTAAAGAGAAAAAAAAGATCCTGTTTATGGCTACCTGAAAATAAGGCTTCATAAAGTAAGGTAAACATGCTGTACTTGCATTGGTGGATACAGAGAATTTGGCAGATGGGAAGAACGAATTCATTCAAGATCAATTTCCCCCCTCCCCCAGCAAGCCTGAGTATTTTCTACTCTTTGCCTGGGAAAAGCTACAAGAAAGATAAATAGAAGAAAAACCTCAGGAACTGTGAAGGAAATGTACATACAAGTTACAAAAAAATGGCTCAAAAGACTAGATGCAGTAAGCGCATACATGCCCACAACTGAATAGAGAGATGTTTGGGGTATACTCACCGGGTTGGAATGGGCTGAAACTGTGCTAGCAGCAGATGGAGACCGGGAAACTACAGGACTGATGAGCTGAGGGAAAGTGCCCCTGGCCACAACTAGCTGGACATTATCTTTTGCTTTCTGTAGGATGCTGATAGCTTGTTGATGTGTAATTGTCTGATCAAGGGCTTGTCCGTTAATAGCAAGGATTTGATCTGCTTCCTTCAGCTTTCCATCTCTGTCACGTATGTGTAAACAGGGAAGGGGATGACAAAATAAACAAACAAGAAAAACCAAAGAAGTGTTGCCGCAGAAATGACAATATTTTGACAATTTTCCAATAATTTTAATAACCTGTTCTCTATTCCCCACACTTTTTAATCTCACCCTGCAGTTTTGCTAAAAGGAGCTGATGCGGCACCCTGGTGATCGCTTCCTTTGAAGCTAATCCCACTGCCACTCTCCCCTGGCTACTACCCCCTAGCTAGCTTTCTTCTCCCTGTACCCCCATGCGAGACTAAGCATATTAGATGTCAGTTGCTCCCAACCATAGCCTGGGAACTTATATTTATTCTTGACTTTGAGCCTCTTGCTTAACAGACCAAGTGCTTCACTTTGTTCAGTGCGTCCATTCTGAATATTCATTAAACCGTGGAGTGGAACACACTTTCATCAAGATGTTAGGGAAACAAATTTTGTTTTGCACAAAACCAAGGGGGAAAGAAAAAAAAAGAAAAAAAAAAAAAAAAAAAAAGGGGAAGCACAGAGAGCAACAGAAATAAAATGATAAAACAGATCCCTTCTAAACGACAGGGGAAAAAAGCCCTGAACAAATTAAAAAATAACTCTTCACTTTCTGACAAAGGAAGCACTACTGTAAAATTATATACTGAGCCCTTCCCCAGACCTACTTCAAAAGAAGTGTATGAAGCCTCATAGATGAGTTACCCTCTGCCTCCTTCACTGCTTCTATTGCTTCTGCAACAAATCAGCAAAAAATCTGGAGTTTTGTCTTCAACATCCTGAAGCAGCAATGCTTTGAAAACAAATGGCAGCACCAGGATCCCTATTACACCAGTTTTTGTGAGCACCTACAGTGTATAAGCCAAGGTACTCAACAGCATTCATGAAAAACACTATTTAGCTTCAGCCCTTGTTATCTCATTTGTGAATTTGAGCTGTTTTTCAGAGTGCTTCCAAAGATTTCATACTGCCAGGGCCTTTCTGAATTATGACCCCTCTAAGAGCTGTTGAATGTTTCTCTCTTCAGGCAGGGCCTGATTCAGTAAGAGGTCTCAACTCCATGCAATAAGGAAAGTAAATGCAAAGACCTCTTGAAGCAGAAAAAAAATAAGGAAAAAAGAAAGTAAATGGAGTTCAGGCAGATTAAAAAATATTGCAATGCCACTTTTCATAACTGAATTAACTCTGTAGGCCACACTCTGCCCTCTGTTAAACGAACAGTGTTCAGACAACAAATAACCAGAAAATTTCTCCCTACAGCACAGTGAGATACAGCACTGAGATGACTCAGCTGCCCCATGCAACAGAGAGAGTACACCAGGAAGCAGCTCTGGCTAGGATCCCGACCAGCAAATCCACACACAGTGATACACCCCACCACCCCGCAGTGAACCAGCATTGCTGCCATTCACCACCGAGTTTCTTTCCTCCCTCAGGCTGTTCTTAGAGCAGAAATCCATTTCTCTCAACACTACTTGTGGAATCAGGATTAAAGCATAAGCATACTTTCAACAAGCCATTATTATTGCTGAGTTCCTCATAACATCAGCTGAGTATCTAAGAGTCCAACAAGTTTACGTCAAGCCTTGCTTGATTTAAAAGCTTCGTTTCACACCTGCTCACTTGGAAGCTACCTAGCAAACAACACTGCTAGTCACAGCTGATGGTTTTTGCATCAAATTGGTTTTCAGTGCATTCAACGATAGCAAAATCTGTATTTCAGCTTTAAAAGCCACGACACAGAAGAATATCCTCCCTGTTTTCCCCACTGGAAAGGGGATATTAAACAACACAGAAACTACAGCTATCCTGTCTAAAAATTCGGAACAGATCATACTCTGCCCTGTTCAAACATTACAAGCATGGCTTAAAATATGAGAGAAATGTGCCCTTGTACCACAAAAACAACAGCAATAAATTGCAGTGACATGTTAACACTTGGTACAGTAAAATATCCCAGTAGTAATCTTACCGATGTGCCACACTTCCCTCCTGGATTTCTTGCACAAATATTCCTAGTTCTCCCCTGTTTTCACTCTTCAGTCCTACAACACTGAAGCCCAGACCACCACTTACAGGTTTATTAAGCTCAATGGTCTCAACAAGACGACCCTGTTAAGCAGATGGGAAAAAAAGGGTAATAACGTTAAAAATGTTGAAAAGCAGCATTAATGAATGTGGTAAACAACTTGGAAATTTTTAAATTGACAGCTACAACTGGACAAGGCTACAATAGCTAATAACTGAAAGATAGTTGTTCAGTTCCAGTTTCTCACTATCATATACAAAAGTGACAATCATGAAAGATTTGAGAAATAAAGATTGTTACAGCCCAGAAGAGGAAATCAGGAAACAACAGCTAAATATACAGAGCTTAGGCTCAGCAGTGACTTAAGTAGGATAAATGTGTGTATAAAATTTTACAGGGTACAGGCCAACTCTCAAGCCAAACTAGAAAAAGAGGATGAATTTCAGAAAGGGGGAAAAAGCAGGACTGTGCAAGAGGCTCTCCAGAAGAAGAGCAGAAGACTTTCCCCATCTGGCTCCATTACCGGTTAAACAGAAAAATGCTAGACTATATGCCTGGCCATGCTCAGCTCCAGCCACTGAAGGGACTTGTAAACCATTTCTGTGTACCACAGGAAAGCAGTAAGATTACAGCACAATGCATGCAAGTCCAAAAAGGAATTTTCCATCTTATTTCCAAGCAAGTCACAGAACTAGCTTTCATTAGTTATGCATACAAGAGCACGCTGTGACAAAGCATCTCTCTCACACACAGAGCAGCACTCCCTCAACGAGCACGGAAAGATAATGGCATGCTGATTTGTGAGAGGCACACTGCCCAGCTAAGGACAATAACTCAAGAGTGACAATGTTAAGGCTACTCTTCCAACTGTTTTCTCACTTACCAATTGTTCCTCAAATTAAACGGTTATTTTTGTTTAAATAGCAAGTGAGCCTTGGTTTGCTTAATAATCGCTTTTAAATAAACATACATGTATTTTAATCTTCCAGATAATGAGTGATCCACATTTTGTGGTTACCAGACAACATGCTTACCTGGGACATATTTCTGATCAGCTGCTCAAAGTCATCACTAGAGGACTTCCCATTAATCTGAGGAGTAATGGATCTCATCGATGCTTCTAGCACATTAGCTGGGCTGCCATTCTGTTGAGCCAACAAATATGACTCATTATGTGGTAAGGTCCCTACGTTCACACCATGATGGAGAAGCTGGGGGAATTCACCAGTGGAGTGTATGGAAGGTGTAATATTTACCTGTAAAAGATCAATGGCAACACAGATTTACAGACACAGCAGAAACCTCCTCCTTATCCAAAAGCATCATGATAGGCCAATTGCTCGTTAAAAATATTTGAAATCCCAATTTGCAATTTTAAAAAGAAAAATTACCTTTCAGTTGTGAATTACTGGCATAAAACATGACAAAAATCGATGAAAATAATCTAAGATTATTTTCCATATTCTTGCCTAAAATTCTTTTGCTCATATTAGCACAACAGCCTGAAGTACTCCAACACAATGGTAGAGATAAACAAGTATGAACAAGCTTTTTTTACAGTACCAGTATTTTTAAAAACAAAATTATCAATTATTTTACAAGAAAATAAAAAAAAAAAAGTTTGTATATTTGGATGAAAAAAGAAGGAAACATCATCAGCTACACAGGGAACAAATTTCACTGGCCGGGGTTTCTGCATCACTAAGCACTATTGCTGCCAACATGACTGCATACATGAACTAGAACTAGATACAAAATTATTGAACAAGTCTAAAATCACCTGGCTGATCTGGAAACCACAGTTGTACCTTTACACAGAGAGCCTCAACAACAGATTTCCCTCAGAGCAAAAAAGAATATAAGAAAATTGTCTGCTTTCCCCAGGCACAGTAAATCACCTATCTTCAAGCAGATCTCTGACCACCAATCTAATGAATGGCTGGTGGGGGTTTAAAGCTCAGGTGAAGCAGGAGCCCTCATCTGGCTGGCATCCCACTTGCCTGTTGACTGTAAACAGGCACTGTTTTACTAGACATCGATCTGTTTCATACTTTCCTGGCACACTAACCACAATTTAGGACCACAATATTACAGCCTTAAATACTTTTCATGGTTTTACAGTGCAAATGTTCTAGCATTCTGCACCACAATACAAAAGACTGGGATTCCCCTTCCTTGAAGCCTTATTTTTAAACACCACGTATCAACAAAAATTTTCAAGACTGTAAATGCATTCTAAAATGTCTACTGCACCCATCTCAACTGTTTAAGCACGCTACTTCCATTAGGTTTATCATATCATTCTCCCAACAGTCCAGTCATTAAACGGTCAGTACGTCACATAAAGTGGCTTCTAACTTGTGAAACTCCAAGAAAAAAAAATGGAACTCTAAGAAAAAATGTCACTCTTAACAGAATAAAATTTTGTGTATATGTGTGTGTAAAAAACTTAGATTTCAGAATGTCTCCTTTCCCAAAACACACATATATTTACACTTTAAAAATATTTTTGTTTCATAATGACATTTATAATGATGCTAAAGGTAGACGTTCAGAATCTTCAGACAAATTAAAAGCGGAAATGTAACAACCACTCTCTTCCCTGTCCCCACCAAAGTACAGGCTTATAGCATGTAAAAGTTGAGAAGAACTGGTGTGTACTGGTTTGTTAACCAGAGAAGTCCAGGTCATTCCAGGGGGAGCAATAAACCACAAGTGGAAATCTTAGAAAGACAATGCCGTTCTGGTTGCATGAAATATTTTTCGTAACATATAAATTACATTACTTTGCAGTAATAAAATCACCATAATTCCATCAGAAGTAGCTTTATATCACTGTGATTGTGTAAGTACTGTATGAAAGAATAACACTTCGCTTTAAAATTTGCTTTATGCTAATTTTCCTTGATTGGCTTTCTCCTTACAGTGTGTAACACCTGCAATCTGGACATAATTTGGCACAACACGAAGAAAAATTCACAAATAGCACCTAGTATGATAACACTTAAAGTCACGCAGACAGGCACTAAATACAGCCAAACAGTGCCTACACACAGTCACTCAAAACATTTAGGAAAAAAGGAGCTACCCAAACCGTGTCTGCAGTGTATCAACATTTAAAGCAATGTAATCAGCCTTGCTAGGTCTCCACTTGGACAAGGACAAATTCTGGGTGTTTCTGGACTCCAGCCATTGGGCCCATGCCCCTGGAGACCCCGAGCAGCACAGAGCACTGTCTGCAGCTGCCTGCAAAGCCTCCTGCGTCTCAAAAAGGTCGCTGCAACGGGGAGCAGAGAGAGGCAGCGCAAGGCAGCCGTGGGGGAGCCCTGCCGGGGAGGAGAGCACCCCCAGGCCCCCTGCCCCACAGCTAAAGCCCCTGGGAAGGGGCACCAGCACCACCCTGCTGGCTGCTCCTTCATCTCTCCACCTTCAGGGATCCCAGATCAGCGCTTCTTATAAGCTTTTCATCTCAAAACACAGAATACATGCTGTTGCTGCAGAAAGTGGATAAGGATAGACAATAAAGGTCTCCTCCAGTTGGGGCAAACCACCGAGATAAGTGACTGTTTACAAAATACACAATTTCTCCACTTCTTCCCTAAATCCCTTCTACTAACATCCACCTATCCCATGCAACCCAGTACGTGCTGTGCTGCGGGGGGACTCTTCCTCACCACTGCACTGTGAACAAAAACCTACGGTCAAATGCACAAGCAAAAAAAAAAATCTGAGGAATGCAGCCCAGCCAAGGGAAGGGTATTTTGTTGTGGCAGAGCCCTGACTGCAGTGGAGGCAGGAGGGGGAGGTGAGGAGGAGGTGGACAAGAGAGAGAGAAAAAGGCAAGGAAGAGAAGCGGGAGAGGACTGCCAGCACAGCCTGAATATTTCCTTTAAAATATTTTATAACAAAAATAAAATACTATTTAGAAGTTCAACACAATCTCTGTTTTTCTTTTCTATCACTCCCTCATCTTCAAACAAAGAGATTGCTCTTCAGCATCAGAAAACAAACATTCACTGAAGAGTAACATATGAAGAGGCAGAAAGAAAATCTGGTTCCTTCAGTGCTCATCAACTTCAGTGACTAGTGAAGTCAGGACTCGAAAAAAACATCCCTTTGCTGTCCCTAGACTATTCCCACTCCACTTCTTAACTTTACAATGACATATTTGCAGTGCAAACAAATCCTGCTTGCTTGTTTAAGAAAAAACTTTAAAGCACCAAAGCATTAGATTTGCTGACTTTAGCATCATGCCTCATCAACATCCAGATGAAGCAACATAACACTCAGTCTACTGCACGAAACTCAAATGCAAACTCCAGAGGCTTTTGTTAAGCACACACCAACAACTAATGGGATTGATTTCCAATTACCACACAGCAGCTTTTAAGAAATGGGAGAGCAAATCTGAAACAATTCTATGCATGCAGAAACACACACTTCTTCAGATCTTCTTTTGGTGCTTAAAAGATCACTTACCTGCAGGGAAAAGGAAAAAAAAAAAGAAAAAAAAAAAAGAAAAGGAAGTCTATTTTAAACTACAAACAATGGTAGCAACTCTAACTAGAATGCAAGGAATATTTGTCTGCTAAAACTGTATATTTGCATCCAATTTTTTTTTAGGAAAACATGACAGATGTTTTCAAGATTTGCCAGCTCATTTTCCAGACTCGCTATGCAAACAGAAGACAGGGTTCTCACTATCATCTCCATGCCTTCCAGAAAGAGTGCCTCAAGAGAGGAATACATGCTACCCTCAAATTTATTGAGGCCGCCACTGGCCCACAAGTAGGTCTCACTTAGTGACCTACTTCTACTGGGATGCTTGCAAGGAATCAGTTTGACTTAGAAAGAAAATTGCCAACCTTTCAACCTATACTTTCCTAAAGGATGGCCTTCTCCTGAGAATCTTGCAACAGCCTTGTAGCTCTTTAAAAACTCATTAACTAAAGACACAGGAGCAGTTTAACAGACTGTCACGTTTCACCTTGAAAAGAAACAAGAGCCCTGTTCAACTTTTCAGCGCAGTTCATCGTGAAACATCAGAAAAATTTAGCCAACTTACTCTGGAGCGGGTAGAGAGTGCAACACCTAGCCACAGCACAGCCCAGCACCAACTGCCACCCCGTCCCAAACACAGCTCTGGCTCCAAGTGCTCGGGTAACAACTTGTCTCCTTCCTCGGTCTGGCACAGCTTGGCCAAAAAGCCTGGTCACTATTCACAGGCCATGCAGTTTTCACCAACCTGTAGTTTAAGAGTTTCAAGAGCACAGTGCCTTCCCAGACGTAAAAATAAAACTACAGTGTGCAGGGGCTGCATCCTCCCCCTTCGGCATTTCTGCATACCAGCCACAGAGCTGCCCATATTGCAGGAGACAACAGGAACAACTACTTGCAAAGCCATATACACAGTTTAATCCTAATTCAATTACTGAACTATTTTTTGTATTCTTCAAGTTCCTGTTCTTCTGATGGGGAAATTAAATTATAGTAAAAAATAATAAAGTCAGTATAGCCAACTTGCTGCCCCTTATCCTCACGGAAGACATACAGAAAAATAATACTTTTACATAAAATCCTGAGCAAGCAAAAAGGAGGTAGGAGCTCTTGCTTCTCTTTGATCTTTTATTCCTATCAAAAAAAAAAATAGATCTTCAAGTCCTTCTGAAGTCAACAATCCACAGCTTCCTCATATATTCTCATTTTAGCAGGGTAAGACACAAGAGAGCAATAAAAGGCTCCTAGAAAAAAACATCCTAAGACTTCATACAAAACATGTTCCTTTTGAAGGACAGACAACCTTATGTTAACTCCCCACTCAGTATCACCATTTCCCTACCATGCACATTGCAAGCAACAAGCGCGTACATAAAAAACACATACAGAAACTATAGGCCTCGAAAAAGTCAAAAGGGTAGGTACCCCTCAGCTCCCTGAAGTTTTGGATCAGACATTTAATGTAGGCTATTTGATTTCACTATTCAACATGCAGACATGCACACATTTTTGCACCTTCTTAGCAATTTTTCTCTTGCGCCTGGGAGGCTGTTTTTCCTACCTGATCCTTCAGTTGTTGAACCGAAGTCTGAAGGGTGAGAATTTGGTTAAAGAGAGGACTCTGCAGCACTGATTTTAATAAGCTCAGTTTCTCCTCATTTGCACTGTCACCTCGATCCCGAAGTTTTGCCTGTAAGCGCTCCATGGCCTGGAGGGCCCGATGTGTATCTGTAGCGATAATCATTCCTAGTCAGTAGCAGTTCAGAAACAGCCACATACAAGCAGGTAAAAGGCTTAAATGTATCCATTTCTACTGTTCAAACTACAGAGGAGTTGAATAGTTCAGTTCTGAACAAAAATCCCAGCCCAAACATGTCTAATAAATCAGGCAGTCAGAGGCAGAGCACAAAACAGAAGCCAACAAAAATCACCTTTTTTGTCCATCAAGATCTGGGTTACAGAAGTGAAAGTACCTTCATTAAAATTCAGTTACAGGAACTGTGGCTACACACTACTGCAAGTAAGTAGTAACAAAACCAGACATAATAGAAACCACTTGACTTTTGCATATGAGCTTTAATTCTAGTAAATATTAAAACAATGACATTACGACAACAGGCTAAAAATTAAATACATTACACAAATGATGTTACTTCTTTTGTTTTCAAAAACAAAATACAAAAACCCAAATACATCATCTCTGTGCACAGTAGATATTTATTACAAAACCTCCCTCAGCAGTATATATCAATATCCTAAACCCATCATGCACACTTGATTTGGCCATTAAAAAATCTACTGATGCAAATAAAAAAAAGATTACCAATTGTTTCCAACATGTTTTCTGCTTCTCAGCTTCTATTCCAACAATGGTAAGAGGCAGCAAATACAGTATCTCCCTGAAAAACAACAGAAAGGGAAAGGGGTCACATTTATAGAAGTACTAAGCTTGACTTCTGAAAACAAGAAACAGCCCCACAAAATAAAATCCACAAAAACCACATCTCCTTGAATAATTAAAATTACCTCAGAGGCAACCACATTCTGAGTCATTTTGGAGCTTAAAACCTACCTGAAAATTGCTTTTAGGAATATACTTTGCAATATTTTTGCATTTCCATATCAAAGCTGCTATCTGCACACTGTTGCACAATATGTCCTGCATTGCTTTAATCAGAAGCTATGAATCATAGCTGCCACTGATACTTTACACAATTTTATTGCTTTCCTTTTCAGTGATTCATAAAAAACATTCCCTGCGGGATCACTTTTCAAACTCTGTGTTGACAATTCCAGGTATATGAGCCATTGCACATTTTTTTTAAATTCACCCTTTAAAAAGAAAAGCCACATAAATCACAAAGTCTTAATACTACACAGAGTTGCAGGACTCACACTACAGCCTCCATTATTAACACCTCTTGGAATTGAGATTCAGGTCTGGATGATGGCTGGGTTTTCACCAGTATGGGTTTCTAGGCAGGACATCCTACACTACGAGGAAGAAATTCTGAAATTGCTTTGTTTAGTCTTTTTTGTTGCTTTTTGGATTGTTTGTATGGGTTTTTTCCCAACAATATGTTTGCAATTGCTCAGAAATTGTAGCGATGAAATATGTTTGATGGAGATGGATAGCTGAGAAGTAAGGCATTCAAGTATCATTGCAGGTCTATGAACTGACCTGTGCATTTTACCATCTTGTCTTTCACAGCGGTACCGTTGTTTTCTTGATAATAGGAAAGCACTTCAGTGTAGCACCCCAACTTGAATCTGGTGAGCTTATCAATATACAGAGAGCTGTGACCTCTAAGCACTCTGGAAAAAATGGTTTTTCGGGGGTTTTTTTGAGATTTTGAAGAAAAATAGAGAAAGGAATGGTACTGTCAGATCTCTGGGTAAAACAGTCTAACTAAAATTCAACAGGACCACCAGTTACAGAACCTGAGCAGGACAAGCATGAATCGATCCTCACCATGAAAGAAAACATCTATTAACATAAATTAATTTATAAGGAACACAAGCCAAGATAAACGTTCTGACAAGCCTATATTATTTGCAGTTTATGCAGAAATTTCAAATCAAGTGAGTTTAAAACGGTTTCAAGTTCTATCACCAAGACTTCCCTAGTTTTGACATGCCTGAGGCTTCATACCAGTTTATTTTATTGCATTTGAATTTGCCAATATGTTGGTATAGAATCACTGATGATTCCTTTTAGGACAATGTACCACTTAGGGAGAGATATTCACATCTTTTGAATCTGACTTCATCAAAGTGACCTTATTCCAGGTCCAAATTACGCATACCAGTAATAAATTAAAAAAAAAACCATTATGAATTTGTTTTCTCATAGGGTAGGCAAATCCCAGTACATGATTACCGGACCTGAAAACCAAACCAAGCATCCTGTGTTTTTACCTTGCCACTCTGCAAAAACAAGACACACACACAAAAAAAATCTATTTCACATGGGAAGGGCTGAATGAGATTATTTAAACATTATGAAGGAAGCTGGCTTCCCGAAACCTTAATCACTCATAGCTTTTCCTTCTGGATTAACAAACTACTGTCAAGTTCTCTATTCAGAGTCCCTGTTTACTAATAGAGGCATTTATGTCATGTTATGTTCACAGGTGTTTTTTTCAGTGGCAATGCCAACCAAAGCAGTTCTGTCCTGTTTCACCATTTCAGTTTTCCCTCTACAGCTACTCTTGGGGAGGTGCTGTGAACGCAACCAGAGAACGGTGCTAAAAAAAGGATGTGGAGTATTTTTCAGCCGTTTCAGTGCTATGATCCTGTTTATCACACCACTATATGCACAAGCACATAGCATCACATGTACAACTCTCAGCACCTGAGGAAACTAATCAGGAAAAATAGAGGGTTACTGTTCTTCTGCTTTAGCTCCCTGAGAACCTCAGGAAGAGATGCAGCTGGAAAACATCTGTATCTTTGGAGTAGCTGAATATTGCTTTATATTATGATTCAATTTGCCTAAAATCTCATTCCTGCTGTGCTATGAAAGACATGTTTTACAAGTGACAGAATGGACAAGGTCACCACTGTGTTCATGCAATCCCAGAGGTACAAACTCTGATGATACATAATGGAAGCTCTCTAAAAGCAGAGTCCTAAACATACTCCATAGATGGAGACAATCCTATTTAATTTGCAATGAAAAGTCCCTAGCTCTGCTAAGACACTCATACTTTCTATTTACTTCATGCTTTAGAAGTAGGAATACTGCTCCAGAGCTATCTTAGCGCCAGCAAATCCATTTTTAACTCTCAGTTTAATTCTCCTTATTTTGTGTTTATATTAGCAGGGAATTCCCCCTCAGCTGACCAGCTTAGTACTTCTGTTGATTACTGCACTAAGCAGGAGCAATACCGAAACTGCTATCAGGATGTTTTCCTTCAGGACACTTCCTCTGACGCAGAAACAACGCATTAAGAGAGACCAGCATTTCCACATGTTGCAGTCCAAGATGCCCCCACTCTGAAATGGTAAAAAGCCACGTGACTGTGCTCCTGCTGTGCCACATCCCATGCTAATAAGTGGGACCTGTCAGCACCAGCTTAGTGGGACATCAACATAGCCGAAAACAAGGCAAGCAAGTGACACACCAGAGAGACATATCCATAACCACCACCACCACCCACTACGTGACTGTGCTCCTGCTGTGCCACATCCCATGCTAATAAGTGGGACCTGTCAGCACCAGCTTAGTGGGACATCAACATAGCCGAAAACAAGGCAAGCAAGTGACACACCAGAGAGACATATCCATAACCACCACCACCACCCACTACAGCTGCAACCCCTGCCCTTTAAACCAGCTTGCTTCTAGGTATTTTAACAATCGTGCTGGGGAGAAGTATGGAGGCATGCATGACTTTTTGTTGAAAGGCATAAGTCTATCATCAGCTATAGTGAATATTTTTATAATGCCATCCCAGATTTCCAGATGCAGAAATGGGAAGTTTAGTTCTGACTCTCTGATTTTGCATACTCCTGGCAGTCTGTATCACAGGAGTCTGAAGCCAAAACCAGCCCTTCTATACATGATACAAATACTGCTCATGCCTCAAAGAGCTTAATAGCTTAGCTCAAAGTAGATTTAACTATTTTTGTATTTCAGTGCTAAAGTTCATTAATCTCTTCACAGTAATAAGAACACAGACTGAGATAGACTGTTTTATTGGCAAGAAGAAATACTGTTAAACAAATAACAAGATAAATTCACTTTCAAGTTTTTAAAGGCACAGATACCTGAAAGATGTGCCATTAAAAAAAAAAAAAAAAAAGCAAAAAAAAAGCAGCTTTTCTTTTTCCTCCTGTTACATCACAGGAAAGCAGAAAACACAAGTAATTTTAGACAGGTACATGGTGAGAAATGTGCCACCCTCCACTAAGCACACAGAACAGTTAAAGACGAATCCTTTCAAACTCGCACTTCTGAAACTTGATTCTTCCCATGCTAACAAACAAAAATGTGTTATATACATATTTCTCTACTCTTTATGCTGCCCTTCTATAAGCCCAGTTGCCAGAAAACAGTTGGCATGCTGCAGCTCTGGTTTATTTGTGCTCACTTCTAAAACACTGAAATCCACAGGTCTCAGAACTTTAAAAAACAGACATGAAATTTATTTCCACTGCAACCATGCGAGCCACTTAGCTAAACAGCCAACAGATCCATGGAAAGAGAAAGATGACCCACTTCCAATGATTACTCTTTCACACCTGATCATGTAGCTCCCAGGAGGAAACTTACTCTGTTTCACTGATGGATACTCCACCTACTATTTCACAAAACCATTTCAGGTAATACCCTAGAAACTAATGCTCATAGCATTGGATTAGCAAACATGCGATGCCAAAGATAGAAAACACCATAATAGGCTTTGCCTTGCAGCTCCTGCATTACATGAAGTGCTACGAGGATACAGAGCAAACGCCTGTCTCGAGAGCAATCTCTAGGCCCGAACTTCAGCAAGGAGTTGCTTGAGATTAAAACTAAATCTGCTTCAATTAAACAGCACGGTAATCGCAACATGTATTTTATAACTGCTAAAGAGAGTTTTTCAAGACTTCTAATCATTTTAACACCTGGTCTTGGATTTGGCTGGGCTACAGATACCCCTTCGTCCTTGATTTTTCCCCCATGTCGTCTCCCTCCCCTACTTTCTGGCTATCACTCAAACAAGCATGTTGTGTTAGCAACGCCTGGCACGGGAATGGAAACCAAACGGCACGGGAAATGGAAGACACTAAATACTGCCAAAGCTTCTGCTTTCCCTGCAATTTCTAGGAGTTTTGTTTCGCCCAGTTACCTCACACATGTGGGCTACCACCCCCAGGAAAAAAAAAAAAAATTAAGGTGAGCCCCAGACTTCTCTGGGGGAGTCTTGTCAGTGTAAAGGCAGCAGAAACCATTCGCGGTAGACCGAAAGATCTGTGTACACTTCCACTGTCACAAAGGCAATTTTGCAGTTCCATACAGCACTGTCTAGCACTGCTATCAACGTTACAAGGACTTGACAACTGTAGCCTGACTGGTACAGCCTCCACTACTCGCAATGAAAGACAGACACATACTTGAGCACGCAGTGAAAAAGTATGGAAGAAAATGCAAGAGCGAGCAGTGACCAACAGGCTAAGAAGGATAAACAAAAAGTGGAAAGGAAGAAAGAAGGGGAAAAAAGGCTAGCCTACCGTTTTACTGACAGGACATATGCTTGCCAAATTAACATCAACCACTTGTTTTCATCAGCAAAGAGACCCTGGACTGCACGCTTCTGGATGACAGAAGAGAGAACGGATTCAAATTAAGGATTTAATATAAGCAAAAGCAACGTGTGCTGTTCCACAAGGAACAAAGCAGATTTCCACTGACTACCTGGGATGTAGCAGGCAAGCACGAGAAGTCTGAAATTTACATTGAAAAGCTATGCTAATGAAAATTGTTCTGAAACATTCAAAGCAGAAATAAAAAGGCAGTTCAGAAACACAGCCTATATTAAGACTATAAGCAGTTTTGTTTGAAAAATAATGTTAATAGCCTCTTGAAATTTAACATAACACGGAATGCATCAAAAACATGTAAGAAGATGACGGTGGCTCTGTATGTTTAAGTACTGTGATAAAGCTGAACAGTATTATGTACTTTGAAGCAGCTATAAAAATACAATTTTTAACAATCAACTATTTTTAAGCTTCTGTACGTATCACACTAACGTAGTAAGGAAACCCACAATGCTTTTGGATGAACAAGCAATCTGCTGTGTTTAATTAATAATGTTCTGTAACACTGTAAGGAACCCTACATGAGCATAATATCCATTTTAGCTGATGTGCAAGTTATAATTGCAACTGGGAAAAGGGCATAAATTACACGTACCGCTTTCAGTTACTGCTAAACATGTGTGATAAAGGGTATTCAAAAGTCATTTGTATAGAGTACTGCAAAAACAGTAACACTGCAGGGAAAATTATTCTGGTGGGATTTGGGGATTTTTTTTTTTTTTAGTTAAGGAAACTAGTAGATCATCTGTTTACAAAACCAATGACAACAAAAAAATAGGTCTTCCAGTAAATACTTTAAATAGAGATTAACTGGAATCCCTGTCTTCTAACTCCTGAAATACAGTATTAGCTTCAGAAACTAAAAAGCAGCTTTTAGATCATCTGATTACAAAAACAATGACAACAAAAAAATAGGTCTTCCAGTAAATACTTTAAATAGAGATTAACTGGAATCCCTGTCTTCTAACTCCTGAAATACAGTATTAGCTTCAGAAACTAAAAAGCAGCTTTTTAGTATATGCGGAATAAATGCAACGCTACAAATACTGAATTGATGTATGAAACCCAGGCATGGTTAATATTGCCTTGCAACTGATAACCATATTCATTACACTCAGTTAAACCTGATGAAAATTATTTCCTACAACAGCCGCACTTCTTAACGTATACTGGGTGTTTCAGGTGATGGATACTGGATGGAGGTGACAACAGCATACATAAATGAATAAATAAGAAGCCCCACTAAATAGTTGCCAGTAAGCTTCAATGAAGAGCTTCCATCTTCCTCCAAACTGAAAACACACACAACTCATTGTATATTGTCACAGTAACAGGCGAGTAATGCAGAAAATCATTACAGCATGTAACAAGACGACCGTGCAAGGTGTCTCAGATGCAAGGACAGGGTCTGAAAAGCCTACAAAAGAAATACTCCAATACTGTCTAAGCAAAAGTGGCATATTTATATATTGACTCGTTGGGAATGCCAATGGTGAGACAAAACTGTCCTTAGCAATGATGACACAGTAAACTGCCAGCATGGCATTGTATTGGCTTAAGCTGCTTCAGCAGGGTGCTCAAATATAAAGCCAATTAGAAAATTTACTGGATACACTCCACAAAATTTTAAATTTTCTTACATGAAACATGGAGCAGATGATTTAAAAGGTCTTTATAATGGTTCTCAATACACTGATTAAAGTGTTATCTGTTAAAACCAAACCGTTTACAGCGATCTGCACAACGGAGGAGTTGCATGGCATTCCTCTTTGAAGAATCCACAAACACAGAGCCAGACGGAATATAAAGATCACCCATTAGTATGTAAGTAGCGCAGCTCTCTTTTCCCTAGTGCTGATATTGATCTAACTCTCCCAGTGCACTTTTGTTCGAGGAGAGGGGAGAATGTATCCAGTTCCTCATGAAAAAGCTTCTTGAAAGCATAAAGGAAGCCATCAGAAATACCAGTGTAAATCAGTAATTGTTACACGCATGAAACTGTTATCACAATACAAACGGATAAAACAAAATTTAATAAAAATGGGTAACAATTTTGAAAGGAAAAAAAATAAGGCGATGTCCTCTGCCATAAACAAACGATGCTAGTTAAGGTGGATATGCCCTTAGATATTCTCATACTGCATTTTTTTTCTTCTAATATTACATTACTTTCCATTTCCACAAATAACATTTCCAAAAAATACTCTATGGCTTTCCCCTTTTCCAGTTTAGATTCTTCCCTCCCAACGAGTTGCTGTTATCTTGGGAAATGCAGTGCTGATGTGGAAACCACAAGGCATTACACAATAAGGCTTCCGCAGCAGCAGAATTCAGACCCTTCAGCTTGATTACGGTACATCACTGTTCTGCTCTGGAAGGAGAATCCTGATACCCTTTCTGGCACAAAAGCCAGTAAGGACATTTTCTGTTCAACAGCTTAGACTAAGAAAATCTTCTGCGTGTGTTAAGAAGCAAAAATATAAAGGGATGAGGCAGTGTTTATAAAAGCAAAAGAAAACGGGAAAAAAAAAAATACACAACATTGTTCAGCCAAGTGGCACATCAAGTCTGTTAACATGCGGCACACGGAGTTAAATAGAGAATTTGAGAATTTTTATTATTATTTTATTTCTTCCTATTCCTCTTCCCAGTAACGCGGAGAGGTGCAGGCAGCAAGGGGGTGCACCCCAGCAGAAACAAACCATCCCTACAGGCAGACCCTTTGGTTTGCACCGCCAGCCCCACCGAAGGGGGACCCCGCCTGGCCCCTCCGCTTCCCCCCCGCCACAACGCCCACCTCCGAACGCACAGCGCGGAGGGCTGCGGGGGCTGGAAGCGCTAACGCGGGCACGGCAACAGGTACCGGCGGCCGCCCCTCCGCCAGCAGCCCCCCCTACTCGCCGCCGTCTCGCCTGGGCCTCTGGGCCCCCCCCGGCTCCCAGCGAGCCCCAACGCCGCCGACCGCCAGCGCTGGGCCGCCGCTCCACCCCTCCCCGGGCCGCGGCCGCCCGCAGGACCGTGTCGGCGGCAGGTGAGGAGCCCTGCCCCGGCATGACAGGCTCCCGCGGGGG